GAGACCTGCAGTTCGTTTTCTGGCATGCTCGACATTTTTATGCCGAATTTATATGAATTTATTAAGTTTTCCAGTTGTTTGTGCTGCACTTTGTCCAGTCTTTGCACGGCGCACTGAACCCGGCATGGCTGCACCTCCACCTCGAGCGGCTTCCGCAAACATGTTGACCCCCATTCACGATGGGGTCAATGAACATTCAGTCACGTTGTCAGCTTCTAGAATATTTCGATTTTGGGTCAGCAGTGGGCTTGGATTCTATAAAACAAGCACTCTTTATAAGATTTAGTAGAATCAGCAAATAGCCCTGGAAATTCGTTACAAGAGTGTATTAAAATAGATATAATAATTCAAAAGACTTAACACCGAATTCGTATCACGGTTTGAAACTCAAATTTGAATTCTGCCGCTCAATTTTCGCTTGCAATCGGAACCAGTTTATTAAAAATAAAGCTATCGATAACCTAAATAAGGAAATGCAGCATTTTTGGCATTTCTGCCGGAAATGAATTGGAAGTCGAAATCCAGTTATCGTCCGGATAAATGATGATCTCCTTGTTACGGAAGTAAACTGCAGTCGGAGAGAGAGAGAAACTATTTCGTGGCTGCTGCTGCTTGCCTGGATCCTCACCAATTCTTACCAATCTAATCCAGATGCAGTCCATCCACGTCCATTTCCTTTGGGCTCCAGCTGTTGCTCCACTTAACTACAGATAAGGTAACTACTTGTACTAGATAGTTACCAACTAGGTTAACTTTAGTTGCTATACGTTGTTAGTTTAGTTCGAACTGTGAGTTTAAGTCGATTTGGCGCGCGCGTCCCCACACACACACACACACATATCATAACGGATCTTTCACTAGGGCTGGATCGTTTCGTTGCCGAAACGATAGTATCGATATAAATTTATACATTGAATTTATATAAATAATTAAATTGCAATCCTAGGAAGAGATGAGATGAGATAGATATAGAAGTCCTTCTATAACTATAGCTCCTGATAAGGATTGGTAAGGTCCTTAACTGGACCTAAACGTACAACAATCGATAGTATTGTGTTCGTATCAGCGTGACCGCTTATGGTATTTTAAATACTTTATGTTATTTAAATGGTATTTCTCGAAACCGAAATGGTATTAATTTTTTGGCCGGATGGTATTTTTCATCGTTATCGTCACGGTCACGCTGGTTCGCAGCACAACAAACTTTGTGAATTATTTTTGCAATTTTTTCAATTATAAAACGGAACGAAGAGAAGACATCGAATGACGATATGTGCCAGAGTCGTGACTTTCCTTGTTTTGTGAGGCGCTAGGGCCTGGTGGGCTGACAGTTTTCGCAGCACGGGCCCAGAACGGTGCCGTTTTTGTGTCGGTGTCGCAGTGCTAGACGGGGAAGGAAGAATAAATTAAGTCTGATTTTTAGAGTTTGGGGAGGCAATGGAGACTGATTATCAAAATTATGTCGAGTCATTGTCCGGTGTATCTTCGGATGACGATGATATGTCCACAGTGGACAGCTCGGACGAGACTTCAGAGGAGCCGACACCCTCGCCATCGCTCAACACGCGAACGCGAAACCTGGCGCAAATGCTGTATGACAGGGAGGTGAGGAGTGCACCACCCACCGAACACCCACCGATTTGTCTTCTAACCAAATTTTCGACATCCGCAGCGCTCTGGATTCTTCTCGGGCACATCACGTGCTGGCCAAAAGCAACAACTTCCATACGACCGGGTGCCAAATAGATTAAAATTGTATCTCAAGGACGTAATAGCCAGCAATGTCATGGAGGGGTAAGCAGTGCACATCATTATTGTTCGTCGCTCGTTTCAGCAGCCCAAATACTTGCAGACACATATTCATGGGATTGACTGCCTGCGGCCAGTACATGCTCAGCCATCGGGTCGTCTGTAACGACAGCTCCTCGCTCAATCACTACTCCTTCAACATGGGCTACAAGTACACGTGAGTGTCGCCGGCCCAGCTGTTCAATATCCACATTGAGCTGAAATAACTGAATTCTCCCTTTTTTTGCAGTCTCTACTTTTGGATCTTTCAGCCGTTCAAAAAGCTGCGTTACTTCTTTACGCGTCGCCTCTTTGATGATCATGTGGTGGACAACATTAAGACTGTCAGCATGACGCAGTGGAAGAATGCTGGGAAACAAATCTTGGTTGTGCATGGCGCTGCCACGGAGGAGAGCGAAGATAGCTATATCACATATGTTAAAGTTCCTAAGCTTGGTTGTTTGGAGTGCAAAAAACTTAACGATGACGGTCCATGTATGTGCAATCAATCAATCAGTCATTGAATAGAGTTCCCCAATAAATTGTACACAACTTCCTCTGCAGATTCCTTCTACAACGCGCACTGCCTGAATTGCCATTTGACTGTGCATACTAAGTATTCCTCGACTGAAACGGATCCCGGATTCCAGCCAAAAATCAATCTGCTTTGCCCCGAGCGCATTCTGATCATTTCGAATGGATTTATGCATATGCTCCGCATTGATGTTGACACGCCGGCCGTGTCCACCAGCAGCTACTTAAATCAGCAAAGCCTCGTCCTGCCCTATCCCCAGCAGTCACTGCCACTGTCACAGTCTCAGTGCTTCCTGCTGCCGCGCACCTTGGGGGCCAGCGAGGATGATCGCGGCTCTGTAGCCTTTCCAGGCTCAGGCTCGGAGGCTGAGTCGGGCAATGAGCAGAGTGTTGTGGCACGCATCATAGCAGACTTTAGTGATATCGAAACGGAGCAGACCCAGCGCACGGGCCAGTCCAACAATAGTAATAATAATAATAATAATAACAATGAGGTGCAGACCAACAGCATTTGCTGCTCGCCACGATCCTATGAGAAGCTCGTCTTCACCCCCAACTGTAGCGCCACGATGGGGTCCAGCATGACGCTGCCGGACACCACGTTGCCCGTGGCCAAACAGAGCCCAGTCAGCGGAGAGGCGGGACAATCACGCAAACGCAATCAGCGGATAGTTACCAAGTCCTATCGCAACGGCATCACCACCATAGACGTGCAGGTAATTGCTATGGCCATATTTTATTTAATGTAAGCTTATCTGACAGTTTTGTTGCTCCCCTCCCCACCGTTTAGAGTACGCCCAGTTCCACCTCCATGACGGACAAATCGAACGCCTATGAGTTTTCCGAGGACAATGAGAAGTATGAGAAGATTTCCACGTTTCGTAAGCGGCGACTAGCCGACAAGAAGTACGAGTTTTCCGAGGATAACGTGGAGAATATCATACCATTCACTAAAGTGCGCTCGGCTGGTCGTGCCTCGGCTCCCAATTTTAGTTCCTCCGCCGGCAGCTCTACGGCCCGCAGTTTTCATCGCTTCTCGCCCACGGCGCACTTCTTTCATAACTCGCCATGCGCCTCGCCATCCTCATCCCCGCATCCGGCCCATCCATCACAAACGCCACCACATCTGGGCTTTCGCTCGCCGCCATCCAGCTCGAATTTAATGCGCTCGCCCAGCCGCGCAGCCAACTCTGCTGTGGCTGCTGTGGCAGCTCAAATCTACAACCAGAAGTCGCCGCCGCTTTCGCAGGCCACACAGCAGATGCTCAGCTACAAGCCTGTGGGACCCTTGGGAGCACTCTCTCCGCTGCAGGTGTCCATGGCCAAGCGCTTTGAGATTGGCGGCTCTATGTCGCCCAATGCGGGTCTGTCCTTTCTGTCGCCCCGACGTGATGAGCCCCGCATTGTGGAGATGCCTGTGCAGGGCGGTGTGATGCCGGAGAAGCCGGTATGCACCAAGAAACTGCGACGCCGCTATGTGGAAGAGGACGATGCCACCTCGGTCATCACCAGCGAGGAGGGTAAGAAGAAATACTAGCAAATTAAATGTAAATGATAACACAAAAGATTGCCTTTAGATGACTGCATATCTCCGGGATATCACACATCGCTGCCCATGGAAGTACACGGCTCGTGCTACTCGGAAATGCAAATGATTTCGCACGCTTCCTATCAGCGGCTGCGCTGCAGCAGTGTGGTCATCACCCAGCACTCGTTCGATCTGGAGACCTTCACGTACTATGTGATTAGCTTGCTGTGCCAGAAGCACCACAAAATCTACAATGTGTTCTACGACTGGGCCTACGAGGTGATAAGCGTCTGTCCGCTCAGCCAGACAGTTAGCTGCCTGCTCATGGCTCAGTTCTCGGCACGGGATCAGCCGTACGCTCCGATGACAAACTGCCTGCATTGCACTGGCCGCATAGACTGTATGTTCCACAATCGCCAGTACGAGTGTCGCATACTCTTCACCTGGAACATGGAGAGCGGCCAGTGGCAGGTGCTGGACTATGGCGAGCTTCGGGAAATGCACGAGCTCTTCAATCCCTTGAAGCGTCTGTGCAAGGCGCGCCTGACCTTTGCCCAAATGGCCAAGAAGATGGCCAAGGAGATGACGGAGAGCTTGAACAAGCTACCCGACTATGCCTCCAATCTGCGTGTGCTCAACTCGGATATTAAGAAGTCCAAGTCGTATATCTGCGACCTCGACAACATGGTGGAGTTTCACCTGAAGCGCACACCCCAAGGGACGCTCTGAGCTCTCAGTGCCAGAATCTACCACAGATTCACGAGCTCTGCGCTCTCTGGAGACATAATTTTTTTTCGTACAACTCGCAACGGTTGCGTGCATCTAGTTCAGTTCTAAACACAAAAAACGTGTGCTGTATTTAGTATTTAGTTACCTACAATATTTGTACATCTTACTTAGTGCAACGAAACGCTTTTGCAAACGGTCCTAATTTCGACTGAAGTCATTTAAGTAATCTACGATCTAGGTTCTAGTGGAATTTCGTAAGCGAAAGTGGGCGCTCAAGGGCTACGGCTCTGACTCTGGCTCTGCTCATTGTCTATACACATATGTATACTTTTGATATTGGAAATTGAAATTCAACAATTACTTTAATATTAGTTAGCAACTCAACGAACTACGGTACTAACGATGCCAGTACTAATTTAGTTAGTGGCCGCCCTTCGCCTCTGCAGGGTGTGCCTCAAAAATATACAACTTTAATCAAAGCATTAAAATATATTTCCAAAAAATACACTTTCTTGACGCGAGGTCCAATTAATTCCTTTCGGTATTAGCAGGTTTGTCAGACTCCAGGGACCGACCGTTGCTAGTAAACTCTGTACTGGTGCTGTTCCTGTTTTGGATGCTGAAATAATTAATACAATTTTTTGTAATGCAAATACTTTTGCTCTCTCCTGGTAGATCTTACCGCCTGCGCATTGCCTTGAGTATGTCCCGATTGCAGAATGTGGCCAGGAAGATAATGATGCCTTGACTGCAGTTGACAATGTCAGAGACTGTGACAAAGTGCTCTAAGATATTCTCCAAAGTGCAGACATATCCAATGATTTCCAGAATCCAACTGCCGCCCATTATGATGAACAAACGCAAATACACACGGTAGCTGAAGATATTGAATATTGTAATCAATTAAGGACTGCTAATTTTGGCACTCACTTGGCTTTGTTCCTGGACTTTCGTTGTCGTTCATTTTTGTTCAGCACTCGCTGATTCTTCTTGTTTTCCACATAAATGTATCTGGTTGTCAACGCAAACATCGTTCCATTGAGAAGCATCAAAATCAACAGCGGCGAATAAAAATAGTACATGGCCGACCATCCCTCTGCTATAGAAATAAACAGAGCATCATCGCTTAATTCCGAAAACTGATTAAACACAATTTATTCTAGGTACGTACTATAAATCCAGCACGTATACACCCCCACGCCGGGTGTGCTGGGATTCTCAAAATTGAACTTGACGGAAAAGTCGACCACTAATATGCCCAGAGTCAGTACAGCAGCCGTGCTCCAAACGATGAGATTATAGTTGAGGAACCTAATGCGGCTGTTCTTTTTGAACTCTTGCAACCGCCGTAGCGCGAATCGTCTCCACACGTCAAAGCTTATCACCGACAGCCAGAGAAATGTGGCCATCACTGCAAAGTATCCAGCGTATCCTAGAAATGTTATCATGTTAGAAATGCAATCAGTGTTTTATTATATGTACGAGCATTACCATTGATCCGACACACAACTGAGCGTGAGCAAAATATATCGAACATACTGAAGACATTCAGCAGGAAGGAGGCTGCCAAGCAGATAAAGTACAGATTGCAGCACTTTCCATGCAGCGAACGGAATCTGGGCAGATACAGATAAAGGGCAATGGTAATTGTCATAAATATTACGGTGACGGACTTGACTGGAAATTAGAAAATGGGGCAGTTATCAGGGTGAGCAAACTCGCAACAGCACATTTTGAATACCTACCGAAAGCCATTGATCGGGAAGGCTCGATAGCGCAGTTGTAGGGCGCGATGGTATAATTGTAGTATGTCCTATTGTTCGCCTTTCGCGGCTGCAGGCAATACTCCTGCTTGGAGAGGTACATCTGGTCATATTGCCGCAGTAGCGTTCCATTCTAGACAATGGATTCGATCAATTTTTATAGAAATGAAAGAGTTGAACACCAACAAACCTCGAACAGTGTCCACAGATCTCTAGACTTCTCATTGTTAAGTAGAAAATGAGTCTTACATGGCAGGGGAAGATCTTCCTGCACGAACATATCTCTCAAAATATGTTTCCACGCTAATGTACCATCGTGTTGCATTATTTCCAGCGTCATGTTGTAGGAAAGCGAGTTCCCTTTCTTGGAACACTTGAAACTTCTCATTCGCTTTTCCATCGGACAACAGAATCGAATGCAGGGCCTCAACTTGCACACACATCCTCGGATGTGCTTGGGAACTCGGCTCCTGTCTCCGTCGTGCTGGATCACATAGTCGTACTCCCCAGTTAGGCTCGCAGGAACTGTGAGTTTCTCGTATCTATAAGATCCATTTTCTGCCTTTAAGCTGCTCGTTATGTTGACCGTATCGAAGAAATCGCAATCGGGAATGTCGCTAGCCTGCACACCAACGCAAAAGAGAATGCTCAGCAGGCTGCTTTGATATATGAGGTTATTCATTCCGCACTTATGGAACTTATGAGGAAATTTTTCCGTTGTACTGACTTGTTGCTCGAACGACTCGATCCATAATAACCGACCGGCTTGGGCTCCGTTCAATGATATGCAAAATCCTACACAAAAGAAATCACTTAAAGTTGTTCCTTAGAGTCAAGAAGTTTTCTTTATCAGCAGATGAAAGTGAGCATGTGGGCATATCCATAATTATGCGTATGTATACAGGGTGCGCCAAGTTTTAGTACTGAGTGTTAAAATTGACTAGCTTTGACATTTGGAACCGATTTTCATACATGAGGTATTTTTATTTAATTTGGTCCAATTTATACAGACTCATTTTTTAAAACTAAATCAATAAGGTGGCCGACTAGCCTATAGACTGAGTATGGGTATACAAGTAGAGTCGCGGCCACTGCGACTCACAACGCTCCTTCTCGTTTTTATAGCGGTATAGCGATGATTTCCGCGGAATATTTGCCTTGGGCTCGTCAATGGTAGAAAGGCTTGCTGGTGTAAGCTTTGCTTTTTAAATATCCCCACAAAAATAAGTTATTCAACATTTACATGGGGTACTAAAACTTGGCGCACCCTGTATATGTTCGATATCAGACTGTAATTTGCAATTACATACAAATATGATGGAATAAAATCAAAATCGCTTTTCGAAAAACGCCACAAAAATTTTATGAGGAATGTCGCCGGGCTGGAGGCAAGGTAGTATCCCTTGTATGAAAGTTGATCGAAAGTTTATTCAATCCGAGGATCAATAACAGTCAATTTATTTGATATCCTGCATGAGCTGGCAGTCCTGTGTCAGACTGCATGTTCCATTCTCATCACCACTGAGCCGTCTATCGTGGTTTCTGAAAGATGTGATTTATTTTCGTTAAAATATACTTTGATAACGGTGCTAAGGCACTCACCGCTTACGAATGATCCTGAGCATGTCCCTGTTGCAGAGTGTGACAAGGAATATTATGATGCCCTGACTGCAGTTTATTATCTCATTAGCTACGATCAAGGGCTTGAAGACTTTCTCAATTTCACAAATAAATGCGACAATTTCCAGAAGCCAACTGACGCCCATTATGATGAATAGATGCACATACACGCCATAGCTAACAAAATATATAAGAAATGAAAAGAATCATTAATAATTGGCTTCGTATATGATTGAAAGAAATTGGAAGGATTGGATCTCATTACACGGAAAACTTGAGATGAATATCAATATCTTTTCAGCAAAATAATCTTTGGATCGTTCTGTTATGTACATACAGTCACACCTTAATGGTGTTCACATACTTAGCTCGGTTCATTGACATTTGTTGCTTTCCGATGCCGTTCCACACTTTTGGCCTGATCTTGTCCGCCAAGTAAATGGTGTGAGTCGTCAGAGCAAACATTGTAATATTGAATAGTATAAATAACGTCAGTGGCGAATAAAAATAAATCATTCCCGACCAACTTTCAGCTGATAAACATAAAAGATTGTATACAGTTCAATGGCAAATATGCAAGCACAAACGATATACTTAAGATCCAGCAGGAAAAGACGCCCACAGCAGGTACCAAGGGGAAAGTTTTGTCTGGTTTAATGGAAAATGGCACAAGTCTGTCTACCAGGAATACGCCCAGAGTAAGTGCTCCAGCAGTGGTCCAGGCGATGAGGTTATAGTTGAAAAAGCTGCTGCGGCGTGTCCCTTGGAGCTCTTGAAAGCGACGCCACACATTGAAGCTTACCACAGACAGCCACAGAAACGTGGCCATCGCTGCAAAGTAACCCGCATAGCCTGGCGTAGAAAGTGTGCTATGTTTGTGGAACATTGTAGTAGATGAGATAATTCAATTATGTTACCATTAATAGAGCAGGCAACTGTGCTGTCAAACACGTGGAAAGTGCTAAAGAGATTCAGCAGGAAGGTTGCTGTCAGGCAGATAAAATACAAATTGCAGCACTTTCCATGCAGCGACTGGAACTGGGGCAGCCAAAGGTAGATGGAAATGGTAATGACCATAAATACGACAGATGCCGCCTTGACTGCAGATAATAATCAGAGAAATTCCACAGTAAATGATTCAATTTCTAGCCCTACCATATGCCATTGTCCAGTCCGGTTCAATGGCGCAGTTGTAAGGAACGATGGTGTAGTTAAAGCCGTCATTCTGTTTCCTAGACTTCCGCGGCTGCAGACAGTATTCCTGCTTGGAGAGGTACTTCTTGTCGTATTGTCGTAGGAGCGTTCCATTCTGGCCAATAAATTTGATCAATTTAATTAAAAATGAAGAAGAGATGTACTCTGTCATACCTCGAATAGTGTCCACAGATCTGTCGTATATTTAATTCTGTTTAGAGCATAATGAGTGCTACATGGCAGTGGCAGCTCCTCCTGCACAACAAAGTCCTCCATGATGTGCTTATGTGTTACACTCCCATTGTCTTGTGTTATATCCAGGGTCATTTTGTAGGATAGCTCGTTGTGTATGTGCGGCGAGCACCTGTTGACCTGCAACACATTGCTCCGAGGACAACAGAATCGTATGCAGGGCCTCACCTTGCACACGCATCCTCTTGTGTGGCTGGGCACCGCTCTGCTGTTCCCGTTGAACAGCAACTCGTAGTCGTACTCCCCCGTTAGAGTCGGCGGAATGATGAGCCGCTCGTAGCTGTAGGATCCGTTGGGGAACTTCGAACTGTTCGTTAGGTTGACAGTATCGAAGTAATTGCAGTCGGGAATGTCAGCTGCAATGCTGCCCAGGAGAAAGCTCAAAAAGCTGCTCCAATGCGGTACCACACGCATTCTGAATAATGTTTTTTGCTGTGCGTACGACTTATCCGCTTCACAACTTGATGCAGAATAAACTGGTCCCGGTACTACGCCTAAATTCCCACTGGCTCTCTGTCCATACTTACATACACATATGTATATGAGTGTCTGTTGTGGTTAGGCCACTCCTTTCTCATCGTCATTGAAAATAAACATTCGTTTTGTCGGTCTGGAAGGAATGGAATGCAAAGAGGGGCGTTTCATTTTGCTGTTGTTTTTTATTACATCTGTATACACATATAAAATATATATTAAACAGTAACGTATTTGTATATTAACAGTACCGTAGAGTGAACGTAATCAAACAGACCCGTACACATTTTTTAAAAAAAGAGTCGCATAACATCAATAATCTTTGTGCTTCGGTTTAGCCAACTAAATCGTTTCCCAGTGCTCTCTTAGATCGTATATCGGTATATCGGAGGAAACTAGTGACAGTCGTCGGAATCGAAACAAGTTAAATATTTTCCTTTATTCCGTTGCGGGATAACAAATAAAAAAACACAAAGATAAAAATCAACGTAGGAGGGGGTTGGGTTAGACGGTAGGTAGTATTAATAATAATAACTAACTAACTATAGTATTAGGACCGCATTTCGAGAATGAAATTTGGACTCTCTCTTTCTTTCTTTCTTTCTGTAATAGAAAAGTTTTTGGGTTTTTTTTGTTTGAATTGTTTTTTTTGTTGTTTTTTTTTTTGTTAGCTATTGTAGCTTTTGTTTTAGCTCCACCATGGGATGTGTGATAATCAACGAACTTAACATAATTTGTCGCTAAAATACAAACTTAAACGAATGACAATTTGATTTTGCTAACAGTATTTACACATACATACACACTATATAATAATATTTCATTTTGATTTTTGTTTTTTTATTTTTTCATTTCCTCTTCCGTTTTGTCGTTTACGTTTTACATACATACATACGTATATCCTCCTCGTTTGACTAGTGGTTTACTATATAGTACGCGTATGTATACATATACATATAATATATATATATTTTAATATGTACGTTTGATTTGCGGGGGGTGGGGACCCCCCCACTTGGCTATAGACTACCTGATTTGAAACCACAACACTTATGTAATTAACACTGCAAAAACGTTAAACTCCTAAAAAAATACATTTAGTTCACAATTAGTTGTTTTTGTTTTAGTTTTTGTTTTGTTTTTTTAAAATCCATTAGATCATTTACGTGGGACTGACTCTTGGCATCATAATAATTATATTTTTAGTACGGTGTACATTTACATATTTCTTGTTGCTATTTACGATCTCTATGCATTATAGTAGACATTTATTTTATGCTGAATTTGTTTGTCTTGCTTGTTAGCTTTGTTCAAAATAGTTGGGCCAGCAAAACTATTTCCTCGAATTTCCTTCCTCTACAGTTCGATCTTGTCTAGGTCTTGGCTGCCGACCACCACCCAGCCTTTGAGGCTGTTCCGATCTAATCCAAAAATAATAAATCTGAATTCGCATTATCTTCTATCCTCTAGTGTCCTCTCCTCTCCTCTCCACTCTCCTCTCCAAGCGCAGATGTCGCCTGGTTTTTGTTTTTGATTTGAGATTAATCATTTGATGATTATTCACAGAAGTACTGAGGTAGTTATTCCATCTGCTGTTCCACCGCCTGCCTCCCTACCAGCTGCTGTTCATGGCCTGCTCCAGCTTGGCCTTGGCCACGGCCGCAGCGGCGACAGCTGCCACCTGGGCAGCCGCCGAATTGGCCCCCACCACGGAGGACAGTGGACCACCTGCGGACGCGGAGGCGGCTGCTGCGGCCACCACTGCCTGCTGTTGCTTGCCAGCTGCAACGGCAGCTGCAGCTGCAGCAGCGGCCAACAACGAGGCCGACGGGGAGCTGGGCATGAAGTTGACATTGATGTTGATGGGATGCACCACCGGCATGCTCGAGTAGCTCTTCTCCAGCAGGTCCATGCCGTTGAGGAACGGCACCAGGGCGTTGTAGTCGACGTTGAGGGGCACGTAGTAGTTGCCCTGGCCGTGCAGAGCGAAGATGGGCACGGTGAAGGAGTGCCGCGGCGCCAGCGAGGTGGTGGTGCTGCTCGGAGTGCTGAGCTGAGCTCCGGCGGCGGCTGCTGCGCTGAGCTTGGCCAGCAGCGGGCTGGAGTTGGAGTTGCTGTTGTGCAGCTCCGACTTGATGTCCTTGATGTCGCTGAAGTTGAACGAGGGCGAGGGTTTGCTGTCGTCGCGCAACATCAGCAGCTGGCGCGGCGGATTCGGATTGCTGGCCTCGCAGTGCACATCCAGGGGATGGACATCCCCGTTGGCTGCTGCCGCCGCCGCCTCGGCCATCTTGCGCTTCTTGGCCATAATGGGGGCTATTTCCGGCTCGGTGCCGTCCTTGGAGTGATCGGAGTGGGCCTGCATGTGCGAGTGATCGCTCTGGAGGTGAGCAGCCACCGGGCAGTGCTCGCTGCTCGTCTCCTCGTCGTGCAGCTCGTGGACGAACCGCTCCTTGATGTGGTTCTTGTACTTGTAGTTGTTGTTGTGCTCCACCTCGTGCGACGACTCCGAGTAGTTGCGCATGCGCACCGACATCAGGCTGTCCTGTGTGTGGTTGTGCCCCAGATGCGGATGCTGCTGCAGCAGCAGGTCCCGCGGCGGCGGCGAGTGCATGTTGGAGGTGTCCGTGTGTAGCATGGGCTCCCGCGACGAATCAAAGTCGTGGTGGCTGCTGTCCGTGTGGTGGTGGTGGTGGTGCGGGGCCGTCGACGTGATCACTGCCGCCTGATGTGGCATGGGCGGCGCCACCTTCTGCGCCACCGACGCGGACGTGGTCGTTGGGCAGGTGATCGTGCTGGGGCAGGTGGTGGAGCTTGCTGAATTGCTACTGCCTGCAGCGGGCAGAGAGCCCGTGGAATTGGTGGGAACATTGTCGCCATTGGCATTGCCACTGCCACTGCCGCTGCCACTGCCACTCCCATTGGTCATGGGCAGCTTGCTGGCGGCCTCGAGGTTGGTGGAGCTGGAGGAGCTTCCGCTGCCATTGCCGGCGGCGGCGGCAGCTGCTGCCTGCTGGTTTCGCTGCAGCTGATTCAGATGATTGCGGAAGCTCAGATCCTTGACGTCGTTGTGGTCCTGGCTGTGCTCCACATCCGAGGCCCCCAGCATGTCCCGCAAATGGCACAGGGGCGGATGATAGGCCTGGTGGGGGCTGCCGCTGGAGGCGCTCACATTGTCCGGCATGTGGCAGGTGCGCGTTGACTTGTAGCACTCGGCTGTAGAACAGACAAACAAACAGAGATTAGAAGATAGTTTTATAGGGGGGGAAAAGATCGAGTCCACTCACTCTTGAACATGTCATCGATGTGCTCCTGCAGGCGACCCAACAGGCGGTGGCAAAAGTCCTGCATGTGGACGTCGTAGAGGAACTTGGCCGCCTCCTTCATGCAGTCCATGTACCCACTGCGGTAGTCGCTCTCCTTCTGCAGGCACTCGCTCTGCAGATGCTTCAGGTGCCTGATGGCCATCTCGATGATCTCCGTCTTCTCGATGCGGCCGCGGCCCTTGCGCTGGTACTGCGGCGGGATGAGGCGTGAGAGATCCGCCAGGCAGGAGTTCATGCGATCGCGTCGCCGCTTCTCGATGATCCGGTGCGATAGGGGGTCTTGCTGTGGGCACACGAGAGGACAAAGAGCTCTGATTAGATGCGGTTTGCTTGGGGGTCCAACGATATGCGGGGGGGAGGGGGTTTAGGCATTATCCTAGTAATGATTGGTTCTTTTTGCATTTTTCAATTTCATTTTATTTTCACTTTAATTTTGGGTTTTCTTTTCTCTTTATTTTCAATCGCTTTTCTTTTAATTTTAATTTTTGGTTTAAACTTTTTTAGGCGTACAATAAAAAAAAGTGTCAAAAGCGGCGGTGGGCGTCGTGTCGTCGGGGTTGGGCAGGGCATGGCATCGGCCCCTCGTGGCACATGGCTGTGCGTAAATATATATATATGTGTGTGTGTGTGTGCGTGTGTTTGGGTGTGTGTGAGTATGTGATAGATACATAGTCCAGGCGCTGCGCTGCGCTGAAGCCTCTCCCTCTTTTGATCCTTTGATCTTGCCGTCGATCGTTGATCGTCCGTCTCTATTCGTTTTATATTCGCTTATATTCGCTTTTATTCGATATTCGATTGTTTTATTCGTTCAAATTTGCATTCAATTTTTCATGGTTCACAATTGAAATGATCAATGGATAGATAGCGATCGATCAGATCAGATCAAATCAAATCAGTTTCTGGTGTGAGTTCTCGCGATCTCTAAAATTGTAATATTTACCCTCGATGTTTTATTACGTCTTCCTGTGGCATATTCAGCATCGTCCTCGCTGTATGCCGTCGCAGAGGTGGAAAAATTTAAACTAGATTCTGTGCAATAAGGAAAACTGGAGACAGCTGCTTCGCTATATTTTCGTTTTTCGATATGCAAAAGAAGTGGGAAGGATAAAGATAAAGAAACACAAATAAGTCCAAATTTTGTTCAAAAAATGTATTGGTTGTTTTTTGGTTTTTTTTTTCTTGTTTTGTATTTTTTGTTTTTTCAAATTTTTCATTTCGATTGTTTTTCGGTTTTAGTAATGCATTTATTAGGCGCATAACTTAGCCTGACTTAGGAGTAGTAACTAGGGCTAATTAGAGCTATGGATTAATATTTTTATTTCGGTTTTAATTTAAGACTCAGAGATACAGAAGCTAAAAAATCTGCAATCTGCAAAATGGCTGCAACGGAACAGAGAGAACATAATAAACATTAAACGTTGATTAAAGCACCAAGTGGCATCGAGATCGAAGGATCTGGGGTACTGGGGCACTGGGGGGTGGGCCTCAAAGGCGTCGCTTGGCTAAAATTGTTTGTTTTTGGTGTTGTAGTAAACAAAAAAAAATCGAATAAAAATATGCCTTAAAATACGATTAGCATACGGATACGTGTAGTTGTTTGTTGTTACTCCAGGATCATCCACGATCACTATATCACTCACTGACACACTGAGAATTGTGAACTGAAGTCGGGACCCCACATAAATAGTTTCGCCATGTTTCCTTAGACAACCCACAAAATGTTTTTCATTCGAAAAATCAGTCCCGCCAGCTGCCGTGTGGGCTGGTGATGAGAAACCAATTGAAACGAGCCAATCCCCACACACGTTTTCACGTTTTCATATGCACTCCATATATCAGAGCGGCTATTTTTAGCATCTACACGTTTTAATTGCCATGTGCCAAAAATATAATAAAACAGAGAGAAATAGAGAGAGAGACAAAACTCGAACAGAATTTTGTAGAACTGGGAAAACTGTTGCCAAGCGCCACAAGAGCGGCCACAGCGGCCACCACAGACTAAATGTTAGAGCAGAAAAATTCACTAAATGCCAATTCCCGAACCAAAACAAACAAAAATCGCTTGAGGTACGGACGACACGGGTAATCATAATGTACGCGGGGGAGGGGCCCAAGTAGCAGAATCATTTCGAAAACGCTAGAAACCAAAATAAATGAACGAGCAGCCCAAACGATAGAAAGAATAAGTGTCATGGCTCCGACTCTTGCGTTGCCTCTGGGGCGATAAGCGACAACAGACAACAAACATTAAGCAAATATGTATATACGAGTGTGTATCCACATATTTGTACACATCAAAAAGATATACTAGAACGCACCAGTCCATGGCGCCTAGAACTTGTTTATCTGGACGGCCACAGCCTCTCCAACAATCCAGCCACAGCCACAGCAACAGCAACAGCTAGCCCCGCCCTCTGCTAACTTGTTTTCATCTGGTCTGGGCGTTTAGCACAATTTGCATTATTTGATCTGTAAGCCGTAGCCAATTATCAGTATATCAGAATTACGACTTCGGCTCACGCTGCGTATGAGTAATTCAGCACAGATTTCAATCCAATGTTCGCCTTGGGGGCGACTCTTGAGTTGATTGCACTCTGCCCGCCCGCCCGTTTGGTTTTTGTTTCTTTTTGGGGGACAACGAACGGCGTTCCCGTGAACAGGGCGTGTACTCCTCCTCGGTTTACATCAGTGGCCAAAGAGCACTTCAGTTTTGTGGCCAGGCGTCAGCGAGAGTCACCAATCACTCGCTTGATTCATGCGATGGCACCCCAACAAGTTGGCAGCGTGCCCCTTTTGGGTGGATTCCTCTTGGCTCTTGGCGCTGCAGTTCCCACCGTTTTGTTTACGTTTCTCTTTGTTGTCGCACTATTAAGTAATTGGCCCCCGTAAATATAGGAATGAGGCACGTACTATACAGTCGCGGGGACACAGCCATCATCATCTACAGGTAGTCTCTGTGGACCCATGACGACAGTCTCCGCCGATCAGTCGCCCATCGCTTGCCAAAGGCATGAACAGCACAGCATATTCTCCCATTCCCGCAACCATTTTCCCATTTACCCGTTCACCCATTTACCCATTCACCAGTTTGCCCCTCTTCCGATTTCAATTCACGTTTATCTCTAGCTCTACGCATGTGTTATGTTCTGATAATAATAATTACTACCAAACAGCTTGCACACGCTCAGCTATCGCTCTGCTATCGATATGCCACTCAAGTGACTTGTTTCCTGCGCTTATCGCGACGGCTGTAAGGTAACTAAACCCCGAAATTTTCGTAGATAAGATTACACTGCCATGCACGTGACGATGTTTTTTTCTTTCTTCGTTTATTATGGGCTTTTGAGGTCATCCATAAACACTGATATAGTTGCAAGCCAAATACAACTGGTTCGTGGCAGTTGTACGCAGTTTAATCTTGGCTAATGGCAGCAGGGAATTTCCCCTAGATTTACAGAATAAAGTTTATTAATTTATAGGCTGCACCTGAAAGACGTCAGACTTGACTTTACAAAGATACAGAGATACGGATACGGACCACGAAAAAAATACACTGACTCACAGGCACAGCACAGACACAGCATAAAGTGAGTGATTCATGAATCCCCATATATTTCCTATAGATTTTGGTCCCACCACTTACACAACACAACACAAACAAAACGGAACGAAACTGAACGGAATGGCATTCAATGCCACCAAGAGATAGAGAGAGATCTGTGTCAGACATTTCCATATTGACATTAGGCAATGGAAATTGTGAAATCTTAAATCAGAAATCAGAAATACTTGAAACGTAGGAAAACAACTCGACAAGCGGTGACGTTTTAGTTGATAAATCAACAATAAAAAATCTCTTGACTTGACAATCTTTTGGCTCTAATTGGCAAAAAGTGGGCGGGGTTCTCTGGGGGGTTCTCTGATCAGCTGACCTTGAACCGTGGAGGGGGTATCTCTATCTCTAATGATAAGATAACACAACACAATACAAGCACAACAAATTAGCACGAAATTAAACGAGAGAGAGAGAGAACTGCAGTGTCGAGTCGAGCATCTGATCACGTGAGAGCCGAGCAACGAACAACGAACGGAACTTGAATGGAAACTTTAATGATGCCTCCAGCAGCACTCATGAATATTCACGTATACACATATTCAGGTGGAAACTGAATGGCTGAGCGGGCACGTGATATAACGATGAGATTGGGCAATGGCCCAGAGCCAAACGAACTCAAAAGTTCAGCCAAATACTCTGAGAGTGCTGGTTCCAGCAAAATCCAATTGTCTTCTTTATTTTTTTTTGCCAGCCCCCAAAACGTGCGCACGTGCCGGATGGATCGCCCGGCAACAGAGCCGCAACGAGGGCAATAATACAAGTACCTCTCCCCTCCCCAGCGATTCTGCCAGCAAATGGCACGCTGGTCATGCTGTGTAAGCGAAAAACAATTCAATATAAGCAGATACTGGCACACAGATACACACAGCTAAATACAGATACACAGATACAGAATGCGGCGCGACACAGCGAGAGATACAACAAACAAATTGGACACAAAACAAAGGCCAATTGAAGGCGGTCTGTCATTTGGCTTTTACGCACACGCAGCAGGCAGGCAGCAGCAGCAAACGAAGTTTCGAGATATACCAGGAAAGCTCAGGCAATTGGAGACGCCACAAAGTAGCAGCAGCAGCAGCAGCAGCAGCCTTTGTCCCAAGGGAATTCCAGCAAGGGGGAGGCTAATGATTCATCAACGAAGTTTACTTTGAATTGGAGTCTGCGTTCACTCACGCACTGGTTGCTGTAGAATCTAGAAAACAATTCTGCGAATTCTGTGTGGATTCCCCTCCAAAAATTCGTGTAAAAAAAAATGCCACAAAATTCGTAGCAACTCCGAAATATCATCATACAATCTGGCATATCAAAACAATATTTCGCCTTGGAAAACTTTCCCCTAAAGAGTATAAATAACTTGAAAATTTTCCACACGTACGCTTCCAATTCCAAATGTTAATCGAATGCCAACGATCTGCAACCCCACACATCCCCATGCCCATGCCCCATGCCCATGCCCATGCCCATGCCCATCCGCATTCCCCAACTAATAGACAGCCACAAATGACCCAGCATGTAGTAATAACTGGGTCAAAATACACTCACATATTCACATCGCAACTATTCAAATCGTTTAGTGGCAATCAAATGCAATGTGCGGAGCACCAGAGCCCCGCATCCCCATCTCCATCCCCATGACTCACGCGGACGCGGACCTCGAAAAACGTCGACGTTGAATGCATTAATCATTGGAAACCACCATGGAAACCAGAGTGTGCCCGTGTACCGTGTACCGTATCCCTCCCCCACGTATGAGAAATTTGTGTGTGAATTCCACCATATATATTTGTACTGCGGCACGTTTCTCCCCCGTGAGCAGGCAACCTGCAGGAGGAGGCTCATCATCAAGAGGAGTGTGGTGTGTGTGTTTGTGTGTGTGGCTGCATTGGAGAACGTGTCTACGTGCCCGCCTCCGAAATGCCAATGGACGCCGCGACGAACAGAGACCGAGCGAGAGGCGACCAAGAGGCCGGCCATCAACAGAACAGAACGATGATGACGACGAAAACAGCGACGACGACGATAAGACCGACGCTTCGGCGTAACGAAATGGGATCGATGCGAATAAAGATCGGAACGGGATTCGGAATCGGAATCGGAATCGGAGAACTGGAAGATCGTCAACAGACAGCGCCGCAGACCATCCGCTAAAAATATTTGTATAATTTATAACACTTCGTTGGGCTCTATTTATAGCAGCCTTCCTGCAGCTTGCGTTTGTTGTTTATTTGGAGAAAGATACATAGATGGATGGTTGGATACTTATATACTCGTGGTTTTTGAGATTCATTTCATTTACTTGTTGTTTGCTTTGACGTGTTGTCTTGCTGAACATTTGTGAGTTGATTAGCCTACATGATTGGCCCCTTTGGATGGATGGAGATACAGTTGGCATCCAGACTGGAGGGGTTGATCATGTAACACAAACGTAGCCAGCAAACAAACACACTTTATCAGAGTTCTTTCGTTCTTACTTTCATTTTGGGAAAACAGAAAAACACAAACTCACTTATCACACACTGGTCATGGTCACTTGAGGGCTATCACTGGGTGGGGGGATCACATACACATAGTCGTAGTACTTCCATTGATATATATATATTGTATGGCGTCGTTGACAAGATCCCGAAATCGAAAACAACGAGAGACAGCTGCGTTTGCAAGTGGATAAGCCCTCCTCCTCCTTCTCCGTTACTCCTCATCATCAACATCATCATCGACATCAACATTATCATGTGGCGTCTGCTTGGAAAGAGGTGGGTGGGTCTGGAGCAACTGTCTCGTCGTGCAACAAACCCGAGATCTCACTGACGCATGGAAAACAACTCTATAGATTAGATATCTCTCTCTCTCTCTCTCTCACTCTCTCTACGTACTCGCTCCATATTGGAGATTGGCTTGTGGTGGGGTGGCGGTGGCGGTGGCTGTGCGTCACGCCCCGCCTTGCTGTTTATCGCGTGTTTGCTTATCACTTATTTATGTGTTCTTTATTCTTTTCTCTTTATCTTTTTCCTTCATTTTCTGTGGTTTCTCTCGGTCGTTTTTTCATCTCTATTTGGTGGTGTTGATTAAAAGGGAGGGCGCGCGTAATGCAAATTATAAACACTTGAACGACGACGAAGACGAAGACGGAGACGCGACAAAAGCGTGTTTACTTCGAGGGGCAGTTGATAAGGCGACACACACACACACACAATCGTTTGATCACGCGTGCAAAGGTATTTTTTTTTTTTTTTTTTTTTAACAAACCAAAGCGAACCGAATCGAACCGCAACGATCGTCGAACTAATTATGGAAAATGTGTATAAACTGTTTGTGTATTGTTAGTTGTGATAATTTCCACATAATTAACACGGTTAGGGGCATGTTATTATTAGCCACACGTGATATATGGGTATAGGTATCAATATATATATATATATGTATATAGATATAGGTACATACTACCATATCATATGCAATTATGGTAACACTTTCCCCCCAATCAGAACCCTCCTGCCAATTGAAATTGGGAGAACAAATCAAATCAAGCTGCATATTAAATGAAAAACTCAGTGGGGGCGGGCCGTGGTAGGATATTTATAGTATAGGGGGGTTGAGCGCATTCCCAGGAGTGGTCACTGAATACCAAAATAGCCCCCAATATAATACTCAATCAAATAAATACGACAACAGCAAGGAGGAACATGGGAGAAAGACAAAACTTGTTGACCTTCAAAAGGACACCGACTGGCACCAACACCACCCACGCTCACGCCTACGCCCACGGGACACAGCACACAGATATGTATCGGGATAGAGACGGACACGAAGGCGAAGACGGAGACAGCCCCCTCCTAGGCAGACACACAAACACGTGTGTGGCCACCCCTCTTCACCATTCATTGGCCAATCAATGGAGCAGGAAAGAGGGGGCTTAACTGATATTTATAGCCACGTTTTGGCCGTTGACATTTAGCCGGGAATAAAGTTCGCGACCATTGGGGGGCCGCGACTAAATTATTGAACGAGTCTCTGGCCACACTAGCGGACAGACACCCCCGAGTCCGAATCCGAATCCGAATTTGGGTTCCACTCGGACACGTTTAATGAAATTCAAGTTCAGAAATACTCGTACACAAAAAAAAACACACACACAAATGTGGGAAGGGGCATGGGCAGAGTAGTCTCGGCATGGGAGATGTGGGAGGAGGAGGAGAGGGAGATTGGCTTTTGGGGGAACGTCACGTTTGGCGGCGGGTCGTGCGTTGCTTTTTGTGTGCTTGTGTGTGGGTTTTTGTTTGCAAAAAACCCCAAAAAACAAAAAAAAAGATGAAATAAAATTAAGTGAAATAAAACTAAAGCACAAATCCGGCCAAGAATAGATCGACGACAGCACAGAGTCTGCCCACGTTTTTAGCATGTTTTCTCGCCCGATTTTTCACATTTCACGAGTGTTTTGCAAATGTTTTCTAGCTCAAAGGCTATAAATAGAGCCCACACGATCCACACCCAATCCACAACACACGCACACTCACACACACCACACACCACACACACACATACTAAAGCACTGCGAAGGCCGTTACAAAGCCAGACGACGGCGACGGGCGACGGCTACGAAGAAGAAGACGACTTAAGGTAACAACTAAATTGGAGACTAAAATCTACACTAAACCATTAATTAATGCATAGACTTAAGCGCGCAGGTGAAAGTGAGTGTTTTTTTTTTGCTGTTTCTGTTTTGGAGCTGCTTTTGGCGGAATCCCTCTTTTGTATACCTACCTCTCATACTTAACCGGATGTGCGGTATGTCCGTTCGCCTCGTTCCAATAGGGCTCCATGCTGCTGTGGCAACTCCTGCTCCCTCCTGCTGCTGCGGCTGCTGCTTCTGCTGCGCCCTCTGCTGCGGCTGCGTTTGCTAACTGTGCTATCCTGGACTGCTGCTGCGACTGCTGCTGCGTCAACGTGGCTTGCAGTTGCGGTGGAATGGTGGAAGGTGGGGGGGTGCGCTCCTTACGTCAATGCAGAAATAATTGTACAAATACCAAGATAAATGCCGGGTGGGGGTAGCGGGCGAATTATGGCTGAGCAAACAGGTTGTCGACGGTGGCGGCGAAGACGAACGAAACAGCGAAGAGCGACGGCAAATTTGGATCTACGGCGAAGCACAGCTCTTCCTCTCTCTTGCTCTCTCTTCGGTGGGTTGTTACACAAGGATAGTTACTTTTACTGTTATTTAGGTACTGTGTTATTTTGTATCACACTTTTTTTGTTGTTGCTGCACGTCTCTCAAAGAATATCCAATACTCCCTGCACTTGCCGAACACGCTGCGTTGCTGCTGTCTTAGATATAGCATAACATTCCCGAGCTATGTATTTTTTTTTATTTATGTTGGAACGAATGGAATTATACTACCGATAAGTCTTGCACAGCGGGCGGGTGGGTAGTTACTGGACTGTGGGCCGTCAGCGGGGTCTTATCAGCAGTTAGCCTTTTGTTTGTTCGTTTCTTTCTGTGTGCTGGCGATAACGAAGCAGCGATAAAGTTATTTTCTCCTTTTTTTTGTTTTACTTGGCAGCAGCGCTACGTCTATTTTTGGGGTGCACTTGTTGGAGCATCCACTGTGGCCTCTCTCTCTCTCAGACACTCTCGCCTGCTCTTTTTCTCTGTCTGTCACTCGCGGCGATGCAAAGAGTTCACGCAAAACAAAAAATAAATGTCGAAAAACGTGATTACTGCTGCTCGGCGCACTCGCTTTGGGCCGTTTACACGTTTTCAGCTTTTATACAATTTTTTGTATAAACATTTATTTGTTTTATTAATACTCGTACGCACACACACACACACACGAGACACGCAGCAGCAGCAGCAACAATAACTTCCTTTCACAGTGGAATTTTACCAGCAACAGAGTTGCCTATACACACATACACACACACACATATATATATATATATATCTGTAGGTGAGGCGAGCAGCATATGAGCGATTTGGTATGCGTGTGCGTGTGTTTCACTATTGTGGCACTTTTGTACATATAATAAATTTTGTTGCTGCCTCCAGCTAATTTTGACGCTGTTGTTTTTCTCTTCGTTTGTTGTTTTTGTTGTTTAACTAAAGCAGTTTTTTCCTCCGTTTGTTTGTTATTTTGCACTGTCACTGTACGTATACGCTCCGTGTGCACCGTTCCGTCCGCATCCGTTGCCAGAAATAAAATGAACCCGCCGAACGGCACGAGACCCCGACACAGCGAGGCGAGCAACGCGAATTGATGACGTTCGGAGATTCCCGAGCACGACGGAGCTAGCCAGAGAGCATTGTGGGCGAAATGTGAGCACAGAAGAGCGCGCAGAGAGAGCCATCGATGGTTCGGGCGCTCTGCTCTGGGGGCTCCACGTTCCTCAAGTCGTGTTCGGCCCCAAATTAACTTACATGTGTGTGTCGCCGATGTTATCGCATTTCGTGCGCGGCGAACGTGATTGCCACAGTGGGGCCAGACAGCTTGTAGTATGGCAAAAATATCACATGGGGCGTAATACAAGAAATCATTTTATGGTCCACTTTCAAACGCAAACAAACAGGAAAAAACCTGCCATAAAAACTAACGAATTAAAATTAAATTAGGTTAATTAAGATACATATATGAATACATACGTATGTATAAATTTTTAAGTTAAAGCTAACGAAAGCGTAAAGTTACTTATTTAATTATGGTATGCCTAAGAAAGATCCAAAATTTAAACTTTTAAAAACTCAGCCACGATTATGTTTCGAACTAACAGCTAAATTTGCTTAACCTATTTTCTCCTTCATCTCTTACCTAAACAAGGGCTGTAAAGAAATTTACCTCAAATACTTAATCCACACTAATTTATTGTTTATTTTCGGAATCAGCAGATGGAAGCACAGTTCTTACATATTTATCTGAAAGCACTGTGCGGCTGCCACTGTGCGGATGACTAGACTAGACTTCATTTACGGTCGCCTGTCCGCGCACTTACACAACTAAAGCTGGGTGTTGCTGTTGTTGCTGCTGTTGTTGTTATTGTTATTGTTTTTATGCATGCATAAATATGTTGCGTGTAAATTATATTAATAAGCATTTACCTCTCTCTCTCTGACTGATTGTTATAAATAAGCTAGCCATATGTTTTTCAAATGCCAATCTCTGATTGAAGTGGTACACCCACACCCGGTCGGGGCAACATTGAGCCATTACAGTTACAGTGTCACTTGATTGACCAAACATTATCTCTGTGCCCGCTTAGTCATGGAAGATACATGGAAGTCGACACTGCCCAACCTTCAATTAAATGTACCTTGGGCAGGGCGAACACTCAAAAAAAAATAAATAAAAAATATTCAAAATATATAATAATAATAAAGCGAAAATCAACGACGCAAAAGCCCATGGCAGCGGCGCTCAGATAGCCAGCAGCCGAGGGGCAGCAGCAGCAGCAGGAACAGCAAGAGCCAGCGAACACGGCAGCGGCATATAATAAAACACGTGAACGTGACAAATTCCAAAGCGAAATCCAACAGGGCGGCGGCGGCTGAGAGTGAGACAGAGAGAGATAGAAAGAGATAGCAAGTGAGAACGGGAGCTTGAGAGGCGAAAGAGCTGATAAACACTCGCGCTTGGCAACAACAATCGGCACGAATGTGAACAACACAGCACACACACACACACGGCAAACACACACATGCACTCGAACATGGTCGGCCGACATTTTGTTTTTATTACAGAGCGCAACAGTCCGTTGTTTTTTTGTTGCTGTCGCTTTTCGGTTTCGGTTTTCGTTTTGTTTTTCGTTTCGTTTTAATAATCGAAATAATAATCATACGCTGCGTTGTCCCGTCATCGCTGTCTCTCTCTCTATCTCTGTTTCCCCCTCTCTCTCTCTTAGCCGTACTCACTCTCACTCCATGGACGGCCAGAAGCTTAACGTTTTTAATCGAGACACGTTGAAAGTGGCAAATACACAAAAAAACACACACGAAATTCGTGGCGCATGACGTAATTTCTCACGCGAGCCGAGCATGTCAGCCATTCCACACACACAAACACACGGAAAAAATGCACACACACAACCACACGGACAATGTAACACTCAAGTTTGTTGTTGGTCACGTGTCTTTGAAATGTTTTTGCCTCCAGAAAGCGCACTTTGTTTATATTAAAACCAACTTGACTCGACTCGACTCGGATTCGGATTTGATTATTTCATTTCCATTGTGTTGGATTTTCCAGCGTGTTGATTATATTTAAATGGCAGCTCAAGCTATTTTTAGAGCCGGCTCTGGCCCCAAAGGTCACGCAAACACACAAACACACACACAAATACAACTTGCAAAAGCCGCGATCCGCGGTGATAAATGATATAAACGTGTCCAATTAACCACTGGGCTTGCGTAACAGCAGCTTTGGTGCTCAACCAGCCGATCCATGGTCTGGTATACCCTGTCAGAGGGCGGTTATAAGGCCAAACAGAACGTTGGCCAAAAGATTAAGTAGTTTTCGACCCTTAAGCCATGCCCATCTGTTTGTTTTTATGGAAATAAGTCTCGCTGGTTTTAAGTTATACTACAGGTAGTCACAGTATCGCATGGCTTGTCAAATAAAATCAGTCAAAGACCAAAAACTGTCTAATTCAAACAGAATCCATGTACTATAAGGCTGCACAAGCAGGGAGATGTTTTTGTAGGAATAACTTTTTGTATTTTAAGATCATCCAACGGAACTCTACCTCACTTTCACTTGAATATGTTTGTTTGTCTTCGCATGGTTCTGTTAAATATAATCTTTGTGTACATATCAGATAAAGGTCTAAAGATTAGACAGAGTATCCCAAGTTTGGGGCCCATAGGCAGGCCTTTCTGTCGTGCTTTTGTTTTGTTTTCGGTGTTTGCTGATCTCAGAGCTAATTATAAGTGGCACGTGCACTCGTATGGCATTTCGTTACGTATACGGCCCGAGGTCGCTGCGGAAATTACACACATGTCCGCCCCGCCCCATTGTAGGGCACGTGCAAAGACATAAAAATTGCTGGAAGTGGCTCAAGTTACTCATGTGGCCACATTCCCCCCTACACCCACACACACCGAGCACTGCCATCCACTCCGACCACGTTATCATGGCGGTAACATATTTATTTACAGCACGGTCTCTATGCTCACGTGTTGCTAATCGCAGGGGGGCGTTACGTGGCTCGGCTCTCGCAATTTCCACGAGCATGAAATGCAATCCGCCCGAAAGGAGGGGAAAGGCCACAGACATTTGCAGTGTGACGAAAGGTTTGCTTTTCCATATAAACAGAGACGAAACAGCATAACAAAAGGCAAACACTTGTGGATTGCCCTCAAGGGGAGAGTAAACACACACTCTCACACACACACACACACACACACACACACACAGGGAAGGGAAGCTTATCGGGCTCGTCTGTTTATCTTCCCCCCCTCACTCTCCTGGCTAAAGTTTAATCACGAACGGTGAAAACGGCTGGAAAACCCCAGCAAAAGTACATGCAATGGGTCAGGCATGGCGAAACTATTTGGTATAGTTAACGATTGCCCCGCAGAATGCACAGTGTGGCGAGAGTGCAACAACGAGAGTGCGGTATCCCCAGACAAATGTTAACTTAATTCAATTAAATTCCACAGCTTTTCCCACTGTGCCTGGTGGCATGCCATGCATCAAACGCTTATGATAACCACAAATAATCGTGAGGCAAACTTAAGTTTTGTGCCTTCACACACAGGTGCAATTCACACCTGTAATTAGGACTGACATTGACGAAATCAGCAGACCGGGAAAGGGCCCCCAGCCCCAGCCAGGCAGTGAAGTGAAGTGGTGCACAAAATGTGAGCTCTAATCGTGTTATATCTTAATTGGAACCTTTCAAGTGGGCTGAAAACATTCTCGGACTTATCGCCTCATCATAATCAACAATAAACAACATCAAATCGCGTGAAATGACAGAAAATTTCTTATCATCTTGCAAAATTTCAATTTCAAAGTCGAGGTGAAATCAAAAAAAAAAAAACATTCTCATCAGTTGATAAGAACTATTACTATCACAATCAAAAATAAATAAAGGTACAAACAACAAAAAACTGGAAAATAATACACAAAAATGCAAGTGGAACGAGTCTGAAGCTATAATAGATACATATGTACGAGCATTTGCACAGATATTGCGATTGTAGCTGGCTGCTCTTTGCTGATATTCCCCATTTGATGCTAGTTGTTGTTGCTGTTATGTAGATTAGAAATCTCGAGAAATGTTTATGAAAAGACCCAAGCGAGAGCCCCAACAGACAGGGACAGGGGCAACGACACGTGCGCCCGCAGCTGGACAAATAATATATATTATTTTATAGACGCATTTGTAAGAGTATATACAGGTATTTGTTTACATGTGCATATGAACGATCCATGTCAGGGAATAGCTGCATGTACAGTGCTTGCACTCGTAGATCGATGTACAATATATATGCACATATATTTGAGCTATATCAGGGCTCGACTGAATGTCAGCTGAGAAGCTAAGAAGTTCAACTCAAGGACGCTGGGAGGAATTTCGGTATTCACAAACAGAAATCCCAAAACAGATAGAAAAACAAACGATTGTAGCACTTCGAATTGCTCTTAATGAGGCTTTAATAAGGTGCTAAAGAACTTGAAGCAAAAATAATTATTTGCACTTTTGCAAGTTTTATTTTGAAGTGTTTTCTTCGTACAAAAAAGGGTCAACACTATAAGGCCTATTCAAATTGAACAACATTCATAAGATGATGAAAACACTTAATTTTGATCGGGAGAAAATGTATCTATTTGGACAAGTAAGATATCATTTTAATGGATTAAAAATTAATAATGAAAATTTAAAGAATACAAAAATGGAGCTACGGAAATCTCTTCATATTTTTAATGCTTTCCCTATTCGTATATGCATTCTTTTCAAGGCCCCTTTTCTATGTGGGTTCGTTCGATTTAATTTGCTACCAATGATACCGATTCGAGTGTGCTAATGGCTATGGGCTATGAGCTCTACTTCTGGCCGGGGCTGGGTTATGTAAAACTTACAAATTGTTACACGTTTTGCATTCAAATGTTGCCACTGTCGCTGCTGTTGATAAATCAAGCAAAGTCGACTTGAGATTCCAGCAACAACGAAGCAACGAAGCAACCGACAAGGTGACGCCGTACCGCCTGTAACTCGCTGGACTTTGGTTCTATTTTGTTTTATTTGGATTTGCATTGGGAAGAGCGGGCTCGTGGAGGAAGTCGAGTTAATTGTATGCATACACACACACACTCATACAATATACATATATATGTTACATATACATATATAGGTGGATATGTATGTATGTATTTAATGGAATTTTCATTTGCATTAATTGAATTTGCATGTGATGCGGGTTATCTGTATGCTGCGTTGTTTTCAGCTGGAAAGTGATTGAATGGGTAACACATGGATGCCTGGACGAGCGATTCAACTTGTTGGTTCGTGGGCAAGATATTCTCGCCAGACAGTCTGTGTCTGTCGGCTATCCTCTGGCATTCCGTTGGCTTTTCTCTAGTTTTCCGCTGCTTTTCAGTCTTTACCTTTATTTTTTCTCAGTTTTTTTTCCGTTTCCTCCTCTCCACTCGTTTCCTCTGGTATTCCTTTGGTTTTCTTCTTCTTTTTTTTCCTGATTTGCTATAAGCCAGGGGTCTTAGCACGTAACGCATACGACATGGAGGCAGTTTTTCTGGCTGATATGTTGAGAGAAACAAACGCTTTGTCAGAGAGGCAGAGAGACACAAACACGTTGCAACAGCTGCCGCTGCTCCAAGATGTACATAAATACATGCAAATATGTGTGGCTGTATCTGTGTTTCTTTCCATTATTTATCTGTGTGTGCGTGTGTGTATCCGTTTCCCCCTGTGTGTCGGTGTAATGCTGGTTACATCCCATCCCGACTTCTGTGTGTGGGCGGCGGCAAAACCCAATGCCTTTGACTCAACCAACGCTGCTGCCACCGCACCTCATCGCCCGAGGAAACCACGTAACAGAAACAACGACAAAACGTGCTTCTGCCGGGTGCCTCTTTCGTCTGCCCCACCTCCCCGCGCCGCCAGTGGCAGTGCATGCGGTGGGGCGGCAGTCACATTTTCAAAACATTGTGGCAACGTGTGTCCATGAATTGTAAGGCTTGGGTCTGGGCCTGCCGCTGACATTGGATTGGAATTGGGATTATGATTATGATTATAACACTCACCTACCCCCCAACTTCCATCTGCATCTGCATCTCCATCTCCACCCACCGCCCAACAGCCACTCCAACAGGTTGAGAGAGCGAAAGTTTTTGAATTTTCCAGCGACACCAGGGCATAACGGTAAATACCAGGTTATGGCTGTGTGTGTGTGTGTCCGCACAGAAACTGCAGAGACTGCCACCCACTCACCTTGTGGAGCTGCCACTGCCACAGGTGACTCTAGAAGTGGGGCTCTTCTGGGGCATCGGGCTGACTGGTGGCGATGCAACTGGTGCTAGTGGTGGCACTGCTGCTGCTGCTGCTGAGCTGGTCGGTGGACTCACTGGAAGCCTCGCTGCTGCTGTCGCGCGGACTCATCTCGGTCAGCCGCATCATCAGCGGACGGAACAGCGACTCTGGCAGATTGGCCTGCAGCATCTCCAGGAGGGAGCCCGGATTGGCGCACAGCATTATGGCGGTGCACAGGTGCGTGAGGCCCTCGTCCACGCGACCCTCCTTGATAAGGCCCTCGCCCCTCTGCACCTCGTCCAAGAAGCGCAGCTGCATCTCCAGCTGGTCGGCCTCTTCGTTGCCGGCCGCTGCTCCGCCCAGTTCTGCCCGGCCACCGTCACTCAGCCGCTGCTTTGCGGCCAGACGGCGACGCTCGTGCACCTTCTTCTTGTAGTCGGGCGCCGAAGTGCGCTTCCGGTCAAAGTAGAAGCAGTAACCAAGGAACAGAGCACCGGCCGTGCCCAGTGCCAACAATTTAGCAGATCCCAACGACAGCATTTTCGAAAGAATAAAAGAAATGCACTCTCAAATTTACAGAAGAAACGAAAAATAAATTTGTGATAAATTAGCTTGACTAAATTAAATTGAATTTAGAAAGAAAGAAAAGGAAAGAAACACCTAATCTGAACTCTGCTGCTACGTTAGGAATAAAATATGTTCAGATATCCCCATAAACCTCTCAAATCGGGTAAATTCAAGGCTGAGTCGATGGCTTTGTGTTAGCATTTTCTTTTAAATAGAGTGCTTAAAAATTTTGTACATTTAAAGATGTACAACAACAGCGAACAACATGGGCAAGAACCACTTTTATTGCATCATTTGTTCACGTTTCGTTGTCGGTGGATAAACGGCACGGAAATGCCTGGCAAGGTGACAAATGATTGACAATGACCAGCAGCAGTAATGGAAGGTGCATAGTAATGATTAAATAGTGTATAAAGGTAAATGCAAACATAAAGAGAAAGGAAAGGTGGCAGCAAATAAAATTAAGTATTAAAATATAAATTCAAAACAACCGCCAAACGGTTGTATATCAAGGTGTCCAAGAAAGGCATGTGCACCGTTTATCAACACTAAATGTTGCGAATTTGTAATGGTGCGATGACATTAGACCGCAGCTCGGCACTAATGGCTTTCAGCCGACCAACTGAACAACTATACACAAAGAATTAGAGGGCAATTTGGTTTTTTCTCTTTTAAGATATCAATAAATTTAAATTATTCTAAAATTTTCACATTATATATCGTCGATTTCATTTGGGAGGCAGCACAAGCACATTATCTATGGAAAGTGGACAACAAATGAACATATTGATTTGCTCGAACAAAGTTCATAGCATGATACTCACGAAAAACTATTTAACATACTTCTTTAAGATACTTCCTCCTATCTTTTTTCTCTGCATCGTGGGGTGGACCTACGAATTTTCAAACAGTATTATTTTCCGCGCTTAAATAAAGTGGATTTAAGTAGGTTAATTTCATTCTTTGCCTCGGTATATTTACGGTATATTTTGAAAATGAGAAGGTATATTTCGGTTTAGTTCTGAGGGTCAGCTTTCTTGTGGTATTTTATCAGTATTTTTGTTCCCAGTCACGTACGGTCACATGCGCCATATGACTTTTGTTTTGACTTCGTTTTTTTTGTTTTTTCCCAAAAAAACTCGTGCAAAATGTTTAATTTAGTAATTAGCTAATAAGAATCCGTGCAATATATAGTTTTAGAATAGCCACCCTAGCGGTGACTGACCTGGCCGGCGAGTGACCACCCAGCGATAGGGGAGCGTGATTCGGCCTTTTGGGGGCCCAGAACATGTCAGCGGCCGCGGCCGAGCATTGTTTGTTGTTGTTGTTGCTGGTGGTGCTGCCTGTTGCCAGGCAACGAAAAACGCAAACACAACAAGTTACGGTTACGTCGCTGTTCGGGCCACTTCCTTCCGGTCCTATTTCTGCGCCGTAATACAGTTTTCTACGTTCTCCGACTGCACGTTAGCCCGATGAACCGAGGAACGAGTTTCCCAATTATTTCCCCAAAAAAAAACCACAAGAAATTCTTTAAGGAATCCCAGGGATTTGCAAGTGAAGGATTCCCATTCGAAGGAACATTGGATGTACCTGGAAACTGGAGCACAGCTCTGGGGATACTCTTTGGATACTCTTACCACGACGTAATGGTGAGTTCTAGAAGGAATCCGTGTGTCCGTGTCCCTCAGCTGCCGCATGCCTCATGCCCCCATGCCCCCTACGTAATTATAAAGAAAAACTTTCGAGTGCCGCAAATGAAAGATCAAAAGCGAGGACAACTTTTCCAATTTCGTAGCTTTTTTGAACGCACGGCGGGGGAATTCAACGAATTCCATTGATGGAGAAAATGAGAAAATTAGCCAGCCAGCCAGCCAGCGAGCGGTTTTTCCGCATTTTCATTTACACGCTTTTACCAGCTCCCAGCTCAGGTCGCAGACTCTCAGCCATTTAGAGACAATTAAGTCGAGTCCTGGTCGTGGTCGAGCAGCCGCGCCGCCAGTAACCCACCCTGGCAGGCGCAGGACGGTACGCACATGTGCCACCGCCACCGCACCCGCCTTCGCATCCGTGTCCTTATCCATGTGGCGTGTGCGCCGCTGCCGCTGCCACAGCCACAGCCATGGCCATGGCCGGTTGCACATTACACCGCGTTTGGCCGCCAGGTGTAAGCCCGGCATCCCAGTGTGCATTTCCGCTTTGTTGCCTCGCACTGCCACGTCCTGCTTGACTGACTCGGTCCCGCTCCCCCTTCCTCCAGCACCAAAAAAGGAAAACTAAGAGAACAAGCCAAAGGGGCAGGGGGCAGGCATCGCACTGGCTTGCCGCACGCCAAGCGAACGCCCGCCTTATTACATTCCCATGTCAGCGTCGTCATCATCTTCATTTGATGAGTGGACGGACGGCCGTCCATTCTCATAAATGTCAATGTCAATTTGGCCATCAGATGTTACAGGAACTACACAAACGGAAAATGTTCAGTTGTTGAAAAGAATAAACTCAAATTGAAATTCCTCATTAACAACAAATAGAATGCAGCTAAAATAATTCTTTAACATCATTCTAAAAACATTAATGATATTTTCAGGGTTCAATCGATCCTAAATATATATCCAACAGAGGTTCGAGCTGTAACCAGCTACGGGTTCAGCAAGAAAGAAAGGCTAATTTCGGGGGGAATGCTTGAGATCCACTTACCGATGGATCTTTCATTCTTATTGCAGGTATATTTATTTTATACAATTGCAGAATAAGATAAATACCAAATTACAATCAATAGTTATAGCAAGGGAAAAGTAAGGCCTCCAGGCTGAGGTATATTTTATTTTACAGGCAGCAAGTGCACAATTGGATAATAATAATAATATTCATTTTGTTTCGCTTACTCAAAAGATTTAATATCTTATAAGTACTGCCTAAAGTGTAATATTTTAAAATAGTACTCAAATAATCACACGTATTATAGACAGATTCAAATGTTATTGTTTCAACAATATTTTCTTCTATTGAACAAAACCATTTACAGATATGTTTTACTCGGTTAACCTATTAAAAGGAAGAAACATTAAGCCTAAAATTTCATGGATTCTTTTGATAAATGCAGAACTTTTCTGACCATGCTTTCTGTGTGAATTAATCGAATCGGCAAGTAATCCTATTCCATTGGGACACAATCCATTGATTCTCTGCACAAATATCCAAAAGCGAACTGATCTATTTGCTACAAATAATAGAATCAGAGACCACTCGCTACGAGCTTATTTAATCAACATTAGCGATTATTTATTAGTGTAAAATAATGATTGGGTATTAATTAACTAGATCACAATTATTATAGGAAAATAAATACTCAAGTAATATCATTTTTGGATGGAATATTTTAATATTTCTCCCTAAAAACAGAAACTTTTACATCATTTTGCATTTTATCCAACATCCAATTAGTTGCCAATTGAAACCCCTCTAACGAGAACCCTGGAAAGATATCTATTCTTAGTCCAAAATCGCTTTAAGATGCGTGGCATGGGAAGAGGACTGAAAGGGAAATATTCGATATCAATCAACTGCATAGCACGCATATGCCACGGCCTTGCATTCACCAGATGTGACATGTGCCATGTCCGGCCAAAAGATTCCACCCACCTGGCTGGAGCTGCTGTTGCAGTTCCTGACTGAATACGAAACATGCAAAGAAAGCGTCACGGTCTCTGGGCTTTAGTCGCCCTGTTCCTATGCCAACGCAGCTGCCATCGGAGCTGCCTCCTTCGAGATCCGAGGCCCGGCTCAGGGGTAGGTGGACATTCCAAAAAAGGGGTCAATGCCATGTCCCAAAATGCAGCCAACTATGCACCCACTCCTAGCCACACACGCACACACACTCCTTGCATTCGTCCTTTCATTTTACTATTCTACCACATTCGTATCTATTGCTCTCTTGCTCTCCTTCTGGAGCCGACCAGCCCAGCCATGTGTGGCATGTGGATTGTGTTCGTAAACCGCCTCATTTCAGGGTCCATTATTCCTACACAAAATTTAAATGAATTTCCATCTCGCTCTGGCCAAAGCAGGTCGTGTGCAAGGGGCACGGGCAGCAACACAGGCAGCGCTTTGACCGATTCCCTATTACCAAAACTATCAACCCCCTATGGCATTGTCATTGCCAATGCTCTGGCTCTAGCTCTGGCACTGGCACTGGCACTGGCTGCTGCTGCTGCTGCTGTTGTTGGCCCTGGCTCTTGGCCAGTTCGGGGCAAAACTTTTCCCCATGTTGTAGTTGCATTTACACGCTCAAACAAAGCGCAGCAATCGGGTCGAACCGCAGCCGCCTGCAGTCGCACTAGAAAAACAATATAATAGAATATTCTACATAGACAATCGTTAATGTGGAAACGTTGAAACCCAAGCGGAACTCTACTCGGAAGGTATACAGAATGGAAATCCCCAAGAAGCCTCTCTAAAAAAATATCACAATAAAAAAGAGGAAGTTATTTGATCAATAATTTGCCATTGCGCGTCCTTAGTGATTTATTTTACAGGTGTATCTGTGTGTGTGTGTGTGTACAGGTGTAAACAGTTGTGGGAGAGTGTGTGTGTGTCTGTGTGGGGGTGGTGTCGTGACTGGAAAACTTCCCTCGAAAGCTGCACTTTTCACGCGTCAAATTTATGAGCTTCGGCTCGCACGCCGTTTGATTTGTGCACTGAAAGTCCCGGCACTTTGCATTTCCGTCCCGGGGCGGGACAACGCATTAGCCTGCCGGCACTGCCACCTACCCTACCACCTACCCCTAAAAGGAACTCCACCGATTCCCGGACTTCGTTTATTGTTTATAAACAACAACTTTTTGAGCTCGACTCCAAAACTACGTGACGTATGCCGGGTCTCCTGTCCGTGCTCCCACTCACCCCATTGCCAGCTCCCAGCTCGTTCCCGTCTCGCTTAAGGGAATACCCTTTCGGGATGGACGTTTGACGTTGACGTTGCCAGCGGCATTCCCTCCCAGACTTATTTACTTTCAGCCGGTTGCCCTGAGAACAAGTGCATGGGAGCAAGTGCCCCCAAGCCAAAAGCGCAGGAAGAAGTGTGAAAATGTAAACCAATACCGTCGTCAAACATCCATGCAATGGAAATGGAAAATGCAATTAAAAGCCATTTCTGTTATTGGCAAAAACATAATTAAGTCAGAGAAAAGTGAGCCAAGAATTGATTAACTTTCGCCATCCATAAACTGAGAAAATACGCAGCTAAAGCGAATGAAAATAGTCAGCAAAGCAGCGAAGAATGGCCGTAATTAACGATGATATCAAATTGGTTTGATTCATGCCAGAGTGAAATGTGTATTACACGCTTGAGTCCATGATTGATTTCAAGGCAATATGTGTGCGGCCCTGAGCATTTTCGCTCGTTTAATTGGCCAGAGGCGTCGTAGCCCCCGTGTCTCCAAAGGTGTGTGGGATTATGTAAGTGCTACACAGAGTACGTCCTCAGGCGGGACGGGGGTGTTTATCCCCCCCTAAAACCTGGGGATGGGAACGTAGATGGAGAGAGATTTTTAAGGAATTTACCTACCTGCTTCCGCATTTTTTCCTAGCTCACTTCTGCAGTGGGTCGCCCCCTCTGTTTCCTTTTTTGCTTTCTGCACTTGCCTACGCTCCTGTTTTGGTGAAATCCTCAAATGGCTGCCCCCCAATGTATGCTACACAAAGGATGGCGATAAAAGATGCCGCAAAAATTGCAAGCAAATCAAAATGGCGGCCAAAAATACCATTGTTCGAAGGATATACACGGCATACAGTGAACCCCTGCTGTGCGGGTAACCTTGCCAGCACAAAGAAGACTATCCTTCCACTGTGGTTCCACTGTACTTGCAAATATATTTATATACAATGCTGGATGTTGTTGCTGCTGCTGGTGCTGCTGCGCAGAGAACAAAGCCGCCGAGGAAATCAAAGCAGGAAGAAAATACCTGCGAAAAGTTTAATTTCATAGCAACGCCCCAGCGGAAGCAGCACCCACCACCACACAGTCAAGGAGGGGGTTGGTTGGATGGTTGGTTGGGGGCGGGGGGTAGGCAACAAAAGATTCCTACGGTGGGCGGAAGAGGGAGAGGCGGGTGATGCGTTGATGCTTGCTTTATTGGGGACCTGCTCCTTGAGGGCAGCATATTATCCACACAAATTGATTAATTTCACTTTCATTGCAGCAGCCGCAAAAGGAAAGGAATCCGCAAGAATCAAGAAAATAAAGTACACCTACGCACCGCCATTGCCTTACGTCCGACACAGACAGCAACACAATACAGATTGAACAGGGAAAGACAGAGACAGAGAGCTTAAAAATCAAGGAATTTCACACTGAAAGTGCAACCAGAAGGAAAGAAGGAAGGAAGAAAGAAGAAGTCTCAGTGACAGCTAAACAAAAGTGGAATAAATAGAACTGTAAGCAAATGACCACGCGCCTGGCACCCCAGCGCCAGTTCATCATCTCGACGCGCTCTGCCGTGGCTAGTGCCAGCGCCAGTGCCGTCGTTGTGGATGCCATCCAAGCGGAGGCAGCGGAGGAGCTGCAGCAGCAGCAGCTGCAGGAGGATGTGCTGACCGTTGAGGTGGAGAACACCAACCACACCGCTGCGACCTCCGTTAGCACATCGCCGACACATGCCGAGCAGTTCGAGTTCTGCACGGAGGATGGTGTTGTTGTCTCCGCCACCCTGGAGGACGTCATGACGCAGGTAAGTCCCTGCATGCCGCCTGCATCCCTGCAATTCTCTTGTGCCCCAATCTTGGCCGAAGCTAACTCTATTTTCCTGTCAGAACTGCCAGCTCCTGCAGAAGAAATTAAGCGAAGGCGACGACACTGTCACGGGCACTGCAAACGGAGCCGAGCAGCTGGAGGTGATACGCGTCGTCCTACCCATGGATGCCAGCGACTCGAGCAACGAGGCCCATGCCCATATCCATGGGCATGTGGTCAACAGCAGCAGCGACATCGGCGGCACCATCACCACCACAGAGCCCAATGGCAGCACCATCACCCATTCCATACCCTTACACAGCATGGCCGACCTGAGCGCCATCAAGAATGGCGTCGATCTGGCCCAGCAGGTGGCCAATGGCCAGGTGACCGTGGTGCAGGCCACCGAGGATGATGACGGCACGCCATTTATCACCGTTACGGGTGCGTACTAGCTGTAGTTTGATTTAATTTCTAATTAATGTAGGAAATGATCTCATAAACGTATTTATCATCGATGTTTCGAAGCTGTGGAAAGCCATATATTCATGCTAGAATGCACTTGTCTTTAAGCTATTTCTTCTGCATCATTTAGGTCTAAACAGATTGCAAACTATACGCCTGTCGGTCTGTATTTTAGAAGCATAGATCCCAGGGGACATATGTACGTAGATCTACCGATCTTACAAGGTATAGAATTTATGCAGAAAGTCACAAAATGTAAAAATGTATTTGCTATTACGGGTTTCACTAGGATCGGGGCCAGTGGTGAGGAGAGACAAAAAAGAGTGTGGGGACGAGAGAAATAACTCACACTTTACTGCTGCTAAGCTACGCTGTGAGAGAGAAATTTTGTTTTCTTTAATCTGCCTATATTAATGTCACGATTCCACAATCTGATAGATAAGATAATTGCTTATCATTCTGCGTTTTATACGAATTCAATATACCTCTTTGAGTATCTGCTATATACATATACATATATACATCTGTATTCGTACCCATTCACTGTTGATTTTCCACGTATTTTCTACGGATTATGATTGCCAATCCAATCGTAATGCAAGCGATTTCATTCGTTATAAGTCAGAAAAGTATCAACTGATGATGCTCACCGGTAAATAAAAACTGTCTGCAAAAACTGGAATGTTGGAATGGAAAATATTACCAAAAATTTTTTTAATGAGCGCCAAAAAAGTGTGGCCTGGCCGCTGACAAAAAAACCCGCAATTCGCTTTATGCCGATTTATTCGGGGTTACTAGCAGCGAGCGAAAACAATCGGAGGGAAATGCGCGAACAGAAACCAAAACAGAAACTGAAACAGACACAGAATCCGAAACCGAATGAAGGACGACAGGCAGGACTGATGAATCCAATGGGCTGCACTTGCATCAAAGCGGAAACCAACAGGAAACAACAAACAGCAAAAGTCGCGGCTTTGGAAACAAACGTAATGACAGGATCAGCATGTCCTGTCCCTAGAGAGAGTGAGAGAGGGGTGGAGGGGAGTGGGATGCTGGATGAGTGAGATGAAAATAAGGACCAGCTTAAAATCCGGGGCTTTTTAAACGCTTGCTTGATATCACAATTAAAGCGACTTAATTTGAAAACTGAAACGAGCAGAGAGATGAGGACGGACAGGCACAGGGACCGTCACACAGATAGGCAGGCAGAGGATAGGATGAATAGGTGGTTGGATGGATGAGCACGCCACCCCGTGGCGGATGATGGACCAATGCTACCTGTGTCCGTGGCACGTGCAAAACAAAGTAACAAAGCGATGAAAGAGAGCGCAACAAGGGCAACACATTTTGTGGCAAAGTGCAGCTGGGATGGAATCAACGGACAGACTTAGCTGGGGCTGGAGGCGGGAGGCGACACACTGCGAGTGATATCTGCTGCTGCTGCGGCACACATAATTATTATATTCCACTCGGGTGACGCACAATGAATTAATCGAGATTACACTTTTGGTGAGGAACTATCTCCTGGGCTGGGATCAGAGCCAGCGCCCCGAAAAGGGTCGACTTCGAATGTTTGCCCTGGTACTTGATTTTATTAGCGGACAAATTACCACCACCCCTGCCTGACAGGACAAACATCCGAGTAATCACAACAAATTGAGAGGGCTTCAACGATGAACGTACGAGTGCGTCGGGTTAGGGGGGGGTGCTGATGTGCTGTGTGCACTCCGCTCCTCACGTGGATGAGTCGACGACTCACTAATAACCGCCCGCTGTCAGTTAATACTTTGCTGAGACCCATCGGCGGCATGGAAACTTTTCCATTCATCTGGGACTGCTTCAGCGCGCATTATTGTGGGATTCGGGGGGAAAGAGCATCCCGGAGTCGTGTTGCCTCCGATTGAGTGAGTGGTTCGAGCAGTCCGCCTTTTGATACAATATATTGTATTGTATTTTTCAATTGATACGGATTTGCTGGGTCCTCATCGAATCGACGAGGCGGAAGACGACGCTGAGCTTAAAATGTAATAACGACAGCAACTAAAAATAGAAAGAAAAAATATAAATACAAACAGGAATCCATACCAGTTGAAAGAGCTGGAAATACGGGGAAATGGGAATGGGAATGGGCAGAAAGGTGGGTTCAATGTGAGTTTATGTGGTGGGTGGGTGGACAGGGGACAGGGGCTAACAAGTTTCTAACTTTAGTTAGGGAAAATCAGCATATGCCGGTCTTCTTTTAATTGTGCCAAACGGAAAGCAGTTCTGTGTGTGTGGCACATCTAGATAAGCGGAAATTCATTAAATAAAAGCGAGTCGCAGTTCATAATTTTCATGGAGATGGAGACTATCTCGCCAAGGGCATCACGGGGCATCACAGCAAAGGGAAGCTCTACAAAGGACACCTCCGCATGGCTCATGCCTGCTGGCTTCCACCCAACCCCCATCCAAGGTTGGATGGTGCTGCTCATCCCTGCCGACTCCGACAGAAAGGTTAATTGTTTGTTGATGTTGTCGTAGATGTTGCAGGATAAGCTGCAGTCCCCTGCCATCTCTCCCTCTGCTGCCGTGTCCATGCTGTGCTCCTGCACTTGTCCATTCTCGTTATCCTGGCAATTTGTGTTCATCTTTTCTACTTTTTGTTGTTGTTGTTGTGGATGCTCTTGCCACTCCAGTGCTGTCTGTGTCTGTACTGGGAAAATTGGCAAGTGGCAAAGATGGCTCAAAAATTGATAAGTTGATAATTTAATAAACAGTTCGAAAGGGCAGGAAGGTAAGGGACATTCAAAGGATAGCCTTATCTGTTTGTTGTTTATGTTTAGGGCATATGGCAAATGGTTGGATTGGACCCGAGATTTATATCTGATGTTTTTTTTTTAATTCCAACAAAAGCAAGAAAATACCCTATGTGAAATTCGAATCATGCACACGAAATGCATATTGTTTTTGCAAATCTCAGGCATTCTCCTAAGAATGAATAAATTTCATAGATTTATTTAATATAATATGAACATCTTTTGATCCTTCCGGATGGAATTGCTTGGGGATGGTTCTTTTTAATTCTGATTCAATATATCAATATCTGATAAAAAATGTTTTTTATGTAATATGCATGTAAAATTCCTTCTAGGCAATGCCTTTGGTTCCTCAGTAAATCTTACAAAAGAACAGTCTAAAATTTTTTCAAGTTGTACATCTTTGGTTTTTTTGTTTTTTGAATCATTTAAGCTAAAATTAAATTAATTTCTGGGTGAAATTATTAGAGAACAACTACGAAAATATCTCAAAAAAAAATCGTACCATCTCTTGCCTCTTCTCTCTGATTGAAGCTCAAGTCGACAGCTGATGTAGCCTCACAGTCTTCATGCGGAATCTTCCTGAGTGCCAAAATACTTCATAGCAAAAGTCAATTATCAAAGCAAGCTTACCACCTAATTCTTTCCATTTCCATTCCACTCAGCCCGAAAGTCATTGAAAACCAAAATGTTTTGGTTAGAATGTGGTCCACTTGAAAAACCCCCAACAGATCGGGGCTCGACTGGGACTGGGGGCGCCGCCACGGCTACGCCGTACGTAGAATATGTCCAACTGCCCTGCCCCCACACCTGCAATGCTGCACCTGTCTCACAGTGCTGCTCCTTTACGACGGACAGGAAGAGGGAGAGGGAGTGGGTGCCCGAGGGGCTGCCGTTAATATTTACTGTTGAGCGTGGCATGTGGCAAAAGCTCCCAGCTTGATGGGTGGCCGCAAAAAACTTCAATTCATGGATGCTGGGACCCACACAAGGACCCCCCCAGTGCCAAGCACCGGCCGACTGGAGGGTCAGAATTAATATCTGAAATATGTCATGTGTCGTCCAACAGTCAATCCTTGGACCGCTGACACCGAGGCGGTGGAAATGAAAGGAAATGAAAGCACCAGGAACAGGATAAGTGGTCGAAAAATGTGCCCCTGACCACGGCAACCAAATATGGAAAAAATTCCATGCACAGGCCACGCACACACACGGAACATCAACCATCATTCCTTGGCAGCCTCCCCCCACGCCCCAGACGACACCCCTAGAACTCGGGCTCACCCCAAGAAAGGGGGGGAATGAGGGGAGGGGATGATGACGATGATGATGCCGTGCAGGCAGCAAGCGATTTGGTTGGCCAGGAGACATCCACATCCGCAGCATCCTGCCCAAGCCCCAGCTCAGGGGTTGCTGAGAGCAACTGCGAGAGAGAGAGAGAGAGAGAGAGCGAGAGAGGGTTAGAGGTAAGAGAGCGAGAGAGCAGGCATCCTAGCAACCACCAAGGAGTCTGGCGTGGGGGGGGCAGCCGGCTGGGATTGGCCGAGCTGCGTTGCCTTGACGCCGCACCCGGACCCGGACCCTGTTGCCATCCCTGTCCCGCTCGGAGCAGCGACCAGACCACCACTTGTGCAGATCCCAGAAAGACGACTTCGAGCCCGGAATTAGCCGGCACCGCTTGAAAAATAATACCTGTGTCGCGGGGGGTTGGCGCTGGGGTTGGATTACTTGCTAGCGGCAGCACCCGGATCATGGCAGCGCCCGGGCAACCCACAGCGAGTGAGTGAGCACCCGGGCAACCACCCACCCACCCAGCCGCACTGCCGCAGCATCCGCCAACGTAGCCGTTGCCGTAGCCGTTGTTGTAATTTAATTCGTTGCTGCGCCGCCGTCGTCGTCGTCACCATCGCCATCGTCGTTGTCCTCATCATTATTTTCGAAGGCATATTGCTAGGATAACATTTGATTTTTGATTCAGTTGTAATTCTACCGTTCGTACGTACTGGCTGCTCCGTTTCCACGACATCTGCCACCAGCCATCCAGCCATCCAGCAACCAGACCATCCGCTTTCCATCCCAGTCCTGTTCCCCGTTACCTGTTCCCTGTTGCCTGTTTCGGTTCGAACCCACCCACAAGACAGACGCGTTGGCAACGCCAGTCGAAGATTTCACTTTCGCTCTCACTTTCGACAGCAGTTCCGTCCCGGCACGGCACGGCCCGGCTCGCCGTCACTTCCGGGCCTACCCGGGCTCTGTTGGGCAGTTGGGCAGTTGCCCAAAGCAACCAGGTCGCGTCTCGGCTTACAGCATCTCCTTGTCCTTGTCGTTCTCGAATCCTTCCACGCCACAGCCGGTCATGTGGCGGCTGTTTGTGTCAAGTGCCAAAATATCTAGCGTAACAGTTCCGCGCCACGCGGTCCAGCCGGGATCAACTCACGTCTGAGTGTCGGAATTGGGATCGGGATCGGAGTGGAACCATTTCGCCAGCCGCTTTAGCTTCTACAGCCAAACGAATGCATTCGCGGTACGGCTTTGACTATCAGACGCGTCAGCACCACCAACAGCAGCAGCAGCACCACCAGCACCAGCAGCAGCAGCATCACCATCATCATCATCAGGCCCACCTGCACCACCACCACAAGCTCGAGTCGTCGCCGCTGAACTACACGAATCTCCTCGAGAAGTGCCGCTGCAAGCAGACGCTCCCAGTCAGCCAGCAGGCGCCGCCGCCGCCGCCACTGCCACCCGCCCAGCTCCAACTGCAGCTGCACCACCATCACCACCACCATCATCACCAGACATTCGTGGCCACGGCCAGTGCCAGTGCCGGCGCCAGCGCCAGCGCCAGCTACAACAACAACTCCTCGGCCATTGAACCAGCTGCTGGCTCCTCCCCAGCATCCGCAGCCTCGTTCTCCTCGGGCGCAGCTTCCTGTGCGGCCGCCTCCAACTCGGTCTCGGCGGGCCTGGGCGCGGGCTCTGTGGCGAGTGTCTCTGCCACAACCGCAACCATGTACCACCACCACCACAGACGTCACAACAATTTGTCCTATTGCGGTGGTAAATATCCAGAGATGCTCGTTTATTTTTACTCCTCCCCAATCAACGCCCCCAATCGATGCTGCATCCGTGTCTGCGGCAAGTTGCACAGGTGGCAAGTGCCAGTGTCAAGTGCTCGTCTGAACAAAGTGGAGAGGCAACTGTTGGGCATCTTGAGAGTATTATTCCAACCAATACAACCGAACCAGCAGGATACTTTCATCCTTCTGCCAGCCACCAGCCACCAGTTCGAAGTTCAAGTTTAAGTAAAGTCTAGGGTGTTATACTTGTGTTTTGGCGTGCAGAAGTTTTCCACACAATTGGGTAACATATTTGAATGTATTTTTAGTGCTGCGATAAATTTTTCCTTGTGTAGTTCTATGTCTTACTTTGAATATTGAATATATTCGCCTATTAATTGCTATAAAATATGGCAACAATGATATATATATGCCGATCACATTCGAGACTTTTTCGAGTCCTAAATCGGATTAAAATAGTCGTAAATGCGCTCATTTTGTAGCCATAACATAAATTTAAATTAAATTTTGTCGGAAGAAAATGTGTAAGAACCAAACCCCTACTCTAGGATCTTTCGGATCTTGGCTTAAACAGAAAACAAATGGAAATCACTGCACTCCTTTAAATATATTTTGTGGTATTAAATGGTATTTAGATAGAGCACACGATAAAGCACACCCAGCTATCAATGACTATAAAAATTCCTAAATATTAACGAGAAGTAAAAACTTCGCAACATTTTGGTACATAGTTTTTCTTTTGCTATTTCTGATATTTAAGCATCGATGGGCATGGCATTACTTGTATTTTGTTTTTGCATTCTCGGAAGCGAGTCTCGGTCGCGCAAACCTTTTGTACAGCCAGATGCTTGTGTTTTGTCTTGTTTGCCGAAGAATATCTTGGAGAAATGATACAAATTGGTAGCACTGGCATGCCAACCGCTGTTTAGAGTAAAACTTTGCAAATGGCAGCCAAAGAAAAAGGCAGCTTCCAATTAGATGTCAGTTTCAAAATGTTTTAAGCTCAGATATTCCTGAAAATTAAATCCTTTGCTAAGTTCTTTCTAAAATGCATTTGGGATTATTTATGGATTATCCTGTGAACGCTTGTTTATATTGCCATTATCCCCTTTCTTAAATCAATGTCTCAGCGTTAGAGCTAGCTGGCTTAATGCCGACGGCTTTGGGATCCATCGGATATCAGTTCTACCAATCAGTTTTAATCAGAAACTGCCATGCTAATCCTCTCGTTTCTCTGTTTACTTTTCAGTTTCCGGCCAGGAGCAGAACTACCAGGTGCAATATGTGGACTCGGAGCTCTACCACAGCAACTCCAGCCAGACGCAAATGTAAGCAATCGAAACTATTAGAAAGCCCCCCAAAACCCCCAAAATACCCCAAACAAAACGAAGGGTAAATACTACTCGCAGTCGTAGTCGTAGTAGTAGAAGATGGGAGATGAAATCGAAACACAGTTGACCCACACAGCACATGACAACGCTTGACCTTTACGTTTTCGCCTCCGTTCCATCCCGTTCCACAGGACATATCCGTTCTGCCCGGTGGGCGATTACCAGGGCAATGGTCAGACATACTACTCGACTAGCACGTCGACGGGCCAGTATGCGGCGACGACGCCGTCGGCTGGGGGCAATGCGGCGGGCAATGCGGCCCACTCCACGACGCTGCCCTACCTGGTGCCCGTGGAGGAGGGCCTGCTGCTGAACGGCTCCTCGCAGTCGCACAGCCGCGACTCGCCGCACAGCCTGACGGTGAGTAGGGAGCGGGGACGGGAGTGGGAGCCACCTGAGCCAACTGTCACTACATTGACTAACCCTTGGGCCACCCTTGGGCTGCAGCACGAGGTTGCCTACATCCAGGAGGCGCAGAGCACGCCCCAGACGCCCACCTCGACGACGACCACCAACTCGGCCAGCGGCGGCAGCCTCGGGACGGGCGGCGGAGGCGCCTCCCCCGATTCGGATCAGAGTGCGCTCGGCAACAGCAACAAGATTGCCTCGGCAACGGTAGGTAGTCCCATCCCATCCCAACCGAAGGATGGGGTCCGGGGTCCGTGGTCCCCTGGTTACGCTCCGCCCTCCAGGAGCAGCGGCAGCAGCAGCAGCATCATCAACCATACTGACATCTCTCTCTGTCGCCGGCAGATCAAATGGTTGTCACGCAACTACGAGACGGCCGACGGCGTCAGCCTGCCCAGGTCCACTCTGTACAACCACTACATGCAGCACTGCAACGAGCAGAAGCTGGAGCCCGTGAATGCAGCCAGCTTCGGCAAGCTGATACGCTCCGTGTTCTCCGGCCTGCGCACACGTCGCCTGGGCACGCGCGGCAACTCCAAGTACCACTACTATGGCATCCGCATCAAGCCTGGCTCCCTGCTGAACCATCACTCCATGGAGGACACCAAGTCGATGCACGGCTACGGGCCATCCGCCGGCAACGGGGCCCTGGTTAGCGTCAGCAGCAGCACGTCCGGCCAGATTGCCGGCTCCAATGGCAGCATGGGCATGTCCGGATCCACCGGCCAGCGGAACGGAACATCCAAGAAGCACAGCTTCAAGCCAGAGACCTACGAGGCATGCATCCAGGTGAGCAGCTCAAACAAATCGATTAGTTCCGCCCCTCTAATCCACTTTGCTCTTTTTTAGTACATTGGCGACGGTGGCAGCGCCCTGCCCTCGTTTCCGCCCATCGAGCTGAGCCACAGCTTCAGCACGGAGCTAACGCTGGAGGATGTGGACACGTTTCGGGCCCTGTACCGCGAGCACTGCGAGTCCTTTCTGGATGCGGTGCTGAATCTGGAATTCGGCACCGTGGAGTTCCTGCTGCGCGACTTCTGGCGTTCCAGCGACAACAACAATCTGGAGGAGTGCGAGGAGGAGAAGTACTTGAGCAAGACGAAGCTGTATCTGTTGTGCCACTGCGCAGAAGTGCAAAAGTTCGTACGCGAGGTGGGTGCAATGGGACCAATAGGACCATGACCAGGGCCATGAATTATATTTCAATTAATATTTAATGGATTATTATTTTACGAACAGGTGGACTATCAGTTCTACCAGAACACAGTGGATGTCATCATACCGGATGTACTGCGCTCCATACCGAATGCCCTGACCCAGGCCATACGCAATTTTGCCAAGAATCTGGAGCTGTGGCTGTGCGAGAGCATGATGGGTGTGCCGGAGCAGTTGGCCCAGATCAAGACGAGCGCCGTCTCCGCCTTCTGCCAGACACTGCGTCGCTACACCTCGCTCAACCATCTGGCGCAGGCCGCACGAGCCGTGCTCCAGAACGGAGCTCAAATCTCCCAAATGTTGAGCGATCTGAATCGCGTCGATTTTCACAACGTGCAGGTGAGCGACGAGCAACGAAATAAAATCGAAGTTATTGGGCATTGAACAGCGCGCTCTTTTCTCCATGTGCAGGAACAAGCCGCCTGGGTGAGTCAGTGTGCTCCGGCTGTGGTGCAGAGATTGGAGAGCGACTTCAAGGCCGCCCTGCAGCAGCAGAGCTCGCTGGAGCAGTGGGCCAGCTGGCTGCAGCTGGTGGTCGAGTCCGCCATGGAGGAGTATACGGGCAAGCCGACATATGCGCGTGCCGCCCGCCAGTTCCTGCTCAAGTGGAGCTTCTACAGCTCGATGATCATACGGGACTTGACGCTGCGCTCGGCCTCGAGCTTCGGCAGCTTCCACCTGATCAGACTGCTGTTCGACGAGTACATGTTCTATCTGGTGGAGCACAAGATAGCCGAGGCGCAGCAGAAGACGGCCATAGCGGTGATATGTGAGCGCATGGTAAGATTCCTTGGCATACCCACGTAGCACTCGGTAGCACTCTTGATCCACTAACAGTACCAATGTTCCCTAGAAGAAAGAGATGGACTTTGAATTCGAGTGCCAGTTTGCGTACATTACCAGCGAAACGGAGCAGCAGAACACCCCCAGCTCGGTCAGTGGCGGCGGGGATGTTGGCAACGAGGCGAAGCGACTGAAGCAGGAATGAGTTGCTGTGCGATGCGATGCGGAAGTGGTAGTGGAAGCAGTGAAACTAGTATTCATAGTCAACGATTTTATGTAATCCGTAATTGTTATCCCGATCAGTGTGCACCTCCCCCCCCAGTAACCCTGTCGCCCATATATTCAGCTCTGCATTTAATAGTCGAACCGTGTGTTGTATGTACGTATCCGTATCCGTATTCGTATTCGTGTGTTAGTTTGTAGCCCTAAGTTCCCAGACTGTAAGCGTAGTCGATCAGTTTTAGTAGTAACATTCTCTAGGCAGACTCTCAAGACTCATGGCTCATGTGTAGCTGGTGCTAGCGCTGGCTGGATGAGTGTTTTGTATGAGTGTGAGTATGAGCATTGCCCCCGCATTGAAGTGAAGAGCCGTCCAGCAGGCAGGAGGCAGCAGCAGGCAGCAGGCGGCAGCAAGGCGCAAGCCGCAAAAAGCAACGTACTGGCCTTGCCTGCCTGCCCGCCCGCCCGTATCAACTGATCTGATCTGATCTGATCTCTGATCTCTGATCGATCCGTGTTGTATGTATTCATAAGATACATTTTAGTTTAAGTACATGTGCATTAATATCTGTAATTTATGTGTAACTCAATCTATTGTCTATTGTCTACTGTCGTCGGCAACCTACTACTGTCTACGATAATGTTAATTCCTTGTGTTTGTTTACGAGCGGAGTGAGCGGAGAATGCATCAGTTTTGTCTGGTTTCAAAAAACTATCTTGTATCTTGTATGTCACAGCGCACAGCGCACGGCGCACATTCGCACACATAGATACACAGAACACACAGAACACACACACATACACATAGAGCACTTCACGCACACTGAAAGCAAAAGCGAGAGTTCGATTTTATAGATTTTATGCGGAAAAAAGAAAGAAAAAAACAACAGCTTGCTCAACGTATAAGTAGTATCCAGCTCAAACCTAAGTTAAGTGAACAACAGGCCTTAAATGTGCAAAGATCAACACTCAATTTTGAAACAATACAATTTACCATATACCTTATACCATATACCATATATCTATATGGTATATATACATATATATATATATATAGATTAAGAAACATGAATGTAATATGTATATTTTAACTACAAGTGGAGAGATCATTTTATTACGAAATGCTCTAGGGGAGCAGCAGCATACAATACAATATATTTTAACAGAGGCGCTTTTCAAAGTATTTTATGCCATTTTATGTGTACGAGTACAAGATGCAAAACGAACCAAACCAAACCAAAATACGATTTGCTTTGCACATCGATTAACCCAAGTAACCAAGCGGATGGCTTCGTGCTCCATCCAACTGTCTAGTCCTAAATAAGGCACACACATCTGAAATTATCTCTGCCTGGCACAAACGAACGAATACAATACATATTCGGCTCTTGTCGAATCTGTCCCCGGTCTGGCAGTGAATGGACAGGGGAACATGTGCATTAGCATGATATCTACACAGAGTTCCTCTCGCACTGTTCTCTCTGTCCACTCCTGCCGCCCCTGGCTGCCCAGGCAGCGAAGCTCAATTACGATCTGCTCAATATGCAAATTGCTTAGCTAACACCTAAGTTTTATTGGTTGTTGAATAAACCGAAAATGGAAAACAAATAACAAAACTATTGAAATGTCAAAACTATTTATATATGTGAAATAAAAATTGTCCTTAAAAACGAACCGAAATATGTTAATTGCTTTAAAGTACTTAATTGCTTACAGGCGCTTCAGTAACTTACGATGGCAAAATAGCTGAAAGTTGTTTATTTACTTATAGAGGATACATACTTATATCTCGGTGAAATGGACACAGATCAGAAAGTGTCAACCCTGGCCCAAGATTGGGAACTTTCCATCGAGTATAACTAGTTTTATTCATGGACCACAGATTTAATTGAAAACAGTTTAAAGCATGCAGTTCAATAGTTTCATAGCACCCAGCTTTAATAGCTTAAAGCAGTTTCAATAGTTTCGTATCTTATTGAACCACAAACGCTTTGGATTCTGGAAAGGGGTCCTACATTAAAAACTTTAATTTGAATAATTTTCGGAATGTTGATAGCGGGGTCACATGGATCAGAAAATTAATTCGAAATTCACTAATAATATGAACAGCTCTGCATTGGGGGCCTACTTTAATGCAGCTTTTAAAATATGCTCAAGAATATTTCCCTCGAACTATCCCACCCATTGGAAATGAGAATTACGCGTACTGTTTATCTGTTATTTGTTTATTTCTGTTATTCTGTTTGTTTGTTGTTTTTACTCAAGCCCAGAGTTTCTCATTTCTTCTGTAATTTTCTTGTATGTGTAAATGCAGCACCACAACTCCATCTGACATCTGACCAGAAATGGGCTGCGTGGAGCTGTTCTGGAATTATTAAGATTTCAGACCGAACAGGCAGAAGGCACAAGCGCCGCTGACCTGCAGGTGGCTCGAATTAGTGCTGTAATAAATGGGATGGGAATTTACACATTTACCTTGTTGCCCCACATGCCAGGCAGTGTCTTCATAACTTTAGCACTCTCTTTGAGCGACTCCTTGCACACCTTGCACTTAGGGTCGTCATCCTCCTGCGAATTCTTCAACTTGGGAACCGGTGGCGAAGCAGTGGCCCGCTTTGCGGACTCCGGCACGTCCTTCATGTCGCCGAATTTCTTTAAGTTGTCGGACATGACTGAAAATCTTTTAAATAGCTTTTTGTAAACTTTTTTTGCGAACAAAAACGGAACACGTTTACGTTTGGAACGAGCAGCTTCAAACTGAAAATCTTTTTCGCCTAAGCTGACAATTTGACAAGAACCTCGTAGATGAATTTCGGGAATAAAAATTGAAAACGTTTGCTTTTTGGAACACCGTCCAAGTAACCTTGGTGGCAATATGTCAGTTTTCATTAAAAGTAAGTTTCCTGCATGGAAGGGTAAAGAATGTGCATCATAAGTATGTAAAATAAACAGTGTACACACTGTAGGTACTTTAAAGCCAAAATAATAATCCACTGAATCATACACATGGATAAAAACGTTTCTTTTGAATTTTTAATAATTTTTTAATAATTTTTTTTTTTATTTTTATTGAATTGTTTTTTTGGTTTCAATCTTTCAATATCAATTGATTTTCTAACAACTCTATACAAAAATTGTTGACTCTTAGCTAATTCGTTAAATGCTACTTAAGTTCTAGTATTACAACGAAAAAAAGTGCTTGAATGTTGTCGTGTTGATTTCGTTCGTGGAATAGTTGAATGCAAAAGTTACAGTTAGGAAAACAAACAAAAAACAAAAATGGTTTATATTCAAGTGAGCAAAAATGCGCAGTCATGAGCAACTTGGCCTTGTAAATGGTTTTGGCCCTGTTTTAACTGCCCCGCCCTGTCCGTACACACTACTCGGCTCTTTGTACTATTTTAAATCTGAGGCTTGATCATTATTCGCTTCAAGTCTTATTGGTTTGCGGATCCTGTCGTTTCATTTGGAATACGGGTTGGTTGTGTGTTTGGCTTACATACAAATTTTCACTTACGGGCTAGGCGCTATAGCTAACATATATTATATACTCTACATATATAGTATACAAACGTCGTTTCATTCTTATGCTTATTCTTTAATTGTGTGAAAACTATTTACACTCCACTACAATCCTACTATGTATATTCGTAAAAATAATTGACTGTTCCTTCCAGCAATAATTGTAGATTCTATTCTCCTTTTATATGGTACAAAATACATACAAAAGTTATATAAAAAATCCGCATGCGAATACTGGACCGGCAAGTTGTTTATATGTGTTTGTTTTATTTTTTGTGGTGTGTTTTCTTTTTTATACAACATTACCTAACTTTAAGTTGGAATTCGGATTCGGAATCGGCGGCATTCAGATGCGCTGAAAATGCTTGCAAATGCTGCAAATTGTCACATTTCGGATATAAAAGGTTTAACAAAAGGTGGAAAAGTGAACATAGTGTTCGCAATTCGTTGTCCAAAAATCGTTGTTGTGGCTGTTGTTGTGTTGCACAATGTCAATATTTCTATACTCTATATATAATAACTGCGTCAAGAAGTTTCGTTTCGTTAAGTTTTATGGAGGATAAAATCTCTTGAAGGTGTTTTGTGGTCAGGGGAGAGGGTGGAGATCAAATTAGAAATTGCAGTTCAAGATTGGAAAATAATTAGCATTACAGATAGATAGCTTTCTGCATCGTCAGAACTAACTACTGGGACATTCACTTGTTTGAGAGTTTATTTCTTCTGCTCAAGCGTCAGGGCGGGGGACATGGACCAAGGCCATGGCGTCGTCAAGTGTTGGATTTGGGGCAAAACTTTCGAGAAATCTTTTACAATTATTGGCATAGATTTATTCGAAAATCGACCAAACAGGACTACAAATAGATTCAAAGTAAGCTTAAGTGGAGAGATCTTCTCCAAAGTAATAAAATGTATAAATTCTGATTTTCAATCAGTTGAGATGGGGGTGGGGGGTGTATATGGAGTACTGACAACTGATTATCGAAAATGTTCTTAGGGATACGTTTAAGCGTAGCATGGGGGTTCCTATACTATGTAGCGTGGACCTAGCACTAAGTGTATGCTGTATAATTTATGTATGTGTGTGTGTGTGTGTGTGCAACATATCCATGCCACCACTATGCTGCATGGTATGTGGGGTGTGCAAATCAAGAGATTACAGAGGGCTTGGTCTTTGCCCCTTTATATGATGCGATTGACCAGCGGCATTTTGCGTCGATTATATGTGGGCTGTGGCTGTGGCTGGGACTGCATCAACTGCTGCACCTTCACCTTCTGGCCATACTGCTGCTCCAGCTCGCCGGCGGGACCGATAGCATAATTGATATCCAGACGAGCGCGCTTCGCCTGCTGTTGCTGCTGCTGCTGCTGTTGGTGCTGGTAGCCATTGTGGTTGGCATTCAGATCGGCCGGATTCAGTTCGATGATGTGCGAGCCCTGGCTGCTGGCGATGGCGCGGCGCACCGCCTCCTTATCGTCCTCGATGTCGATGGCATCGTACAGTTCATCGACCTGCAAGAGGGGGAAACAGAGCGTTAGCAAAGTGCGGTTCAGAATGGGGAAAACAATAGATGAGATACCTTCTCGTATAGCAACGACGACTTCTCAACCAGGTGCCTCTCCAAACTCACCTCAATGTCAAAGTCGCTGCTCTTCTGGGCGAGCAGGGCGTGGTCAAGGGGCAGGTGGTGGTGGTTCGACTGGCTGGCAGAGGGGTGGCTGGCGAGCGGCTCATCCTCGGCCTCGAACTCACTCAGCATCTCGTCGTCCTCATCGTCATCCACGACATCTTCGTCCTCCTCAACGAGCATCGCATCCACAAGGGTGTCATCGAAGTCATGCTCCTCGAGATCGGATGATTCCTCGATCTCCGACGTTGAATCGAGCTCCACATCGGAATCGGCCGATCCGTGCTTCATCTCGCCGCGCTCCAGCGACTCCAGGTGCTCCGGATAGATCATGGCCCCGCGTATGGCAGCTGGGTCCTTTCGCGACCACTTCTGCACCTCCTCGTCCATCTTGGTGATGCGCTCCGGGTTCATGGCCCAGCGGCAGCCCTTGCGCTGATTGCCGTTCGTGGCCGGGCGCTCGATCTTCTCGAAGCACTTGTTCAGCGACAGATTGTGCCGCACGCTGTTCTTCCAGCCACTGGGCGCGTTCTCGAAGTACGGAAAGTGCTGGCACAGGAAGCTATAGATCTCCGAGACGGGCAGCGAGCCGGCCCTCGAGTTCTTCAGGGCCAGCGCAATGAGGCAGGAGTAGGAGTAGGCCGGCTTGGGGAAGGCGCTGCCCACGACCGGCAGCTTGACCTTCTGCTGCAGCGGCTTGACGAGACCAGCGCTGCCGCTGCTGTTGTTGGCGATGTTGACCAGGTTGCTGCCATTGCTGAGCGGCGAGGAGGCCATCGACGAGACGGACGATGGCGAGCCAAGGCTCTGCATCTGATGGTGCGGCGAGTGTGCCGCCGAGGCGATGCTCTTTGGTGTGGTGCTTCCCTGCTGCAGCAGGCCGCGCTTCGAGGCCTCCTCCCGCTTCAGGACCATGCCGTTGCCGTTGCCTGTGCTCGGGCCCTTGACCGACGACTGGTGCTTCAGCTTCTGGTAGGCGGCGCTGTTGGCGAAGGTCAGGCCCCCGATGCCGGGCGCCAGCTTGATCGTGTTGGTGGTGATGCCTCCGTTGGTGAGCAGGTTGTTGGAGGAGGTCTTCGACTTGTTGCCGCCCTCATCGGACAGGCTGGACTGGGCCTTGCGCAGTTCCGTGCCCAGATCCTTGCGCACCGCATCGACCGCTGAGGAGTTGCGTCGCTGCAGCACCGAATTGGTGGCCATGGTGGCCGGTGCCGTGCTTCCGGTGCCAGTTACCACCGATATCTGTTTGGGTATGTGCGCCATCACCTGCTCCCGCCGCAGCGATCCAGCGCTGACCTTCATCTGGGCCGGCGAGAAGGTCAGGTGTGACTTGTGCTGGTCCCGGTCCCCGCATGGCGATGCCGGCACGGCCCGCGACTGTGTGGCCGTGGCAGCCTTGCCCCTGCGCGGCGACCCCAACATGGAGGAGGCTGAGCACGAGGCAGAGTTGATTAGCGGCATCACCGAAATGGGATTCACGCAGGCCCCCAGATCAGCGTAGTAGTCGGTGTTCGACCAGAAGTTGGCCGAGGAGCCCATCCACTTGGCCGTGGGCGAGGCGTGCAGCGTGCTGCTGGCCAGGAAGTTGGCGTTGGCGTTGTAGGCCACTGACAGATTGCTGCCGCTGCTCGTGTTGTTGTTGATGGCCGAAATGGTCTCCAGAGCATGGTCCAGCGGGGTCAGGTCGCTAGAGGTGGCCAATGTGCTGGCTATCTCCGCCCGTATGTCCACGTCCAGCATGTCCTGCATTGAGTCGGACACGTAAAAGTCCAGCGAAGGGCCGGCCGCATCCTGCAAGGCAAAAGTGATGTACATTTTAGTCGCGAATCAATCAAATCACGAATATTTAGTGAATCAACCCGACAAAATAGAAAAAACTTTCAGCTTTCAGCTAAATGTTGCGCGGTAATTTTGTCCCGATTCCGACTCGGGACCAATGTTGTGCAACGATTGCCATTGCACTTGCAACAGCTGATTGGCCCAGACAAGGTATATCAAACAGAAGTAATGTTAAGGAAATTAACTACATAAATAAACAAATTCTCGAATTCAACTTTGGCTTCATTAACGCCATATGTGAACGTGAGTAACGTGTACACAGCAACAACATTTACAAGGAATTCTTATTTTCCCGCGCTGAGGTTTCCTTGCCATCGCGCTTTCTTTCCCCTCCCGGGAAAATACAAAATAGTAACGCTTATCTCTCCAACATTCCATCACACACAGGACACACACACACACACATATTCCATATGTGTATGTATGTATGTATGTACACATTTTAATAAATAAATGTAACATAAGTCGCATGAATCTAAATCTGAATCTGTGCCTAAATCTGATATGCCTGTGTATATATGTATGTATGTAATCATGTACATGTACATATACATATGTATATGTTTGTGTGTATGCAAAACCGGTTTTGCGCGCCAAGCGGCAGGCGCAAGGCCGACAACACAACAAGAAAAAAGGCAACGGAGCAAACGGCAGCGGGATGGACGGGGGGGGGAAGGGGGAAATGAGGAGAAGAAGGCCATACAGCACAAACAACATAAACAAGAGCTGATGAGAGATGTGTGCGATGGATGTGCAACAGCGAGGGACAGGAACGCAGACCACCAACAAAAATAACTCATGTTGCAACACCAGAACCAGACAAAACAACAACAGCATCAACGGAGGGGAGGCGGCAAAATGTAAACAATTTCAACAGGCTGCAACGTTGCATAAAATGGGTCCAAAAGTACCCATAAGAGAGGTGCCATATGTACCGCACTTTATAATTATCATTCATAATTATCCGATTTAATGGACGACTTTTAATGGATATGGATAATGGATATATGTACATATCAAAATAAAGCAGAGCTCTATATTTGGATACCACACAACAAAAATATAATGATCTGTAGGAGGATCCTTGATACTTTTTGGGTTCTAACTTTAAGTTTCATCCATTGCCTGGAGTCTCCACTGTATGTGCGCACACATAAACAGACATTACATGCACATCTACACGTACATACACACAAGAAGGAGGCGATCCAGAAGGCCATTCCAGTCAGCGCCAAACCGGATATCAGACAAAATTGAAAGTTTTATGCAATGTCTGACCAGCATTATAAATTGGGGCTGGAGAAGGAGTTGGAGCTTGATGTGGAGCTGGAGGTGGCGCTCCGCAGTGACTCAGAATTAGATTTACTTTCAGGGCAGAACATGTTGCCGGCAGCATGTTGCAGCCACTGAAAAAAGACCCTGTTCCCATGCATATTTGTATGTATGCAACACAGCAGGCAAAAAGTGTACAACAAAAATGGAAACTAAAGCCGTACAAAAACAACAACAGTGTACGAGAGAGAGAGAGGGCGAAAAAAAAAGGGGAAACTTCTCTGTTGTTCTGCGGCTGCGGCGAAAAAGAGAAGCCAGAGCGAAGTTGCCGAGAGCGCGAGTGAGAGAGCAGAGCAGAGTTATACAGAAACATAGAACGCCGCACATAACAGAGGCGAAGTTGGGCCAAAGAGCGTGTACAGTAGGCGACAAAACACGGCCATGCGGCGAAGAGTCTGAGAACAGAAAAATGAAAACAGAGACAGCAGCAGAGGCAGCAAAGGCACAGACAGAAATCGAGTACTTTTTGCGTTTTACTTTTTCTGTTGCTGCCGCTGCTGTTGCTGGTTTTTGTGGACTTTATTCGGCGCTGCTGTTGGTGGGAAAAGCGTAGTAGGCAGCGGAAAGATTAGTAGTAGGCGCCTAACAGTCAGCAGCAAACTTTTAACAGTTACCGGTTTTTAGGCAAACTGTTAAAAAAGGCGCGCGCGCGCCTTTTGGGGGAGGAGGAGGAGGAGGAGGAGGCAGTGTGTTGTACCAATGTCAAGGTGTCCTTGAGCAGCAGCAGAACTGACCCCTGAACCTTGTCCCCCATCAGCCTCCCATTCGCCATTTCGCCACCCAGGGGGAAACTCCTCCTGTATGTTTATTATGCGGCGACTCCGAAAAATCGATAGAGAAAGAGCATACACAGCACACAGCATATTTCGGGTGAGACACATCCAGTCTCTGTCTCTGTCTCCATCTCTCTCTCTGGAGAGCCCCGCCATGCGACGAGAGTGATAAGTTGCATAATTCAACAGGATATCATAAATTGGTGGAGGCCGCGTTTCGGCAGCATTTATCATTAGAGTGGGATATTTCCACCGAATAAAATGGGGAAGGGGTGCGCACCTTTATCCACCTACTCCGTTCCGCCCCCACACCACCCACTGTCTGGCCTGCACTAGCCCCCCCTCCTGGCATACCCCTTACCCTTACCCCCTGCTGATGGCAGTTGTCTGTTTGGATGGCCTTTTAAATGCAGAACAAATGGGCGGCAGCAAAGGGGGGGCAGGCATGGAAATTTAAGTGCCGTTCGAGTGCTTCCTCTTTCATTTCACATTTTCAGCTTTTCCGCTTTTATTTTTCATCCATTTTCATTCAGTTTACGCAATTGCATATGACGCACTCCCTCCAACCGGATGACGCAGCGCATCCTGCTGGCAGCAGGTGCCGACTGCCTCCTGATAAGCGACAATGCGACAGGACCAGCGTCAGAAAAGCAAGGCTTTTGTGTAATATTGTTGCGTTACGAATGCAGCAAGGAAACCAGGCAACCCGCAAAAGACGCCACCAGAGACCCCGAAAGAGAGAAGACAGCTGGTAATCTTCCAGAGTCAGGCGAACAGAAGTGAACTGCAACAGAAGCAGAGGCAGGAGGCAACAGCAGCCAGCCCGGCCAGCTGCCACATCTCTGTTTGAGCCATTTCTTCATTCAACAATTGATTATGGACTCTCTCGGCCAAGTTAATAGGAGAAGACAATAGAGATTTTCGATTTGGCTTAATTGATTTTCTTGGGGATGTTGTGCACAACTGAAAGGGAAAAGGGAAACAAAGCGAACATGGGCTGCAAGCGGCAGATCGATCTATGAATGTAATAGAAATATATATTTCACCCTTAAGGTATACTTAAAGTAGTAAATATCCTTTTCTATAGCCATTTCCCATACTTATCTGCATGACAGGGGGAATTGTCAAAATCTTTCATTGATGGTTCACGATTTCCTTTCAGAGATTCGCTCGCTATCTTATAAAGGATGCCCCCCCATATCCATTTTCAATCGGAATATGCATGAATTATAATTTGTTGTTGAGATATTCCTCAAAGGATAACCAGATATCATGTATTATATGCATAAACATAAACATTTTGTCTATTTCCCCCAACAATGAAAGGATTCCCCCAATTGCATATATTTTTCTCTACCCTAATAAATTATTCAGAATTCACGTTGTACTCTGCTACATCTAAGGATTTACATGCACGTGTATCTACCCTGTTACCTTATTTGCTTATATTGTATAATATTAATCCTTCCCCCAATTCCTAGTTTCAGTACAAATTTCATACTTTTTATAAACAATTTGGATGCCACCACGACTCATCAAATATCGAATCGAATCGAATTCACATTTCATGGCTAAATCCTCCAATATTGATATATATTTGGCAATATCTCCTTAACCCTTTGGCCTTCGCCACCCTCGTCCACCATTAATTGAGCATTACATCCCACAGATAGGACGGACAGATGATCAGTATACGGATGTGTAGGTCTGGGCCAGGACCCCAATGATGAAATGATTAAGGGTTTCGATTGAGGCAGACCCTTTCGCTCTCTTTCCGTCAGTTTTCCCCCCTTGTACTGCTGTACTCTCTGCTTCTCTACCCTTCCTTCCCTTCTCTTCCCATCCGCCTAGTATGTTTCTATGTGTTTGTGCGCTGCTTGTATCTGTGTGTGATAACCTTTTGGTGTGCCCTCTGCTGTGTGTTCGAGTGGCGAGTGGCAGTGGCAGTGGCAGGCAGCTGCAACAACTCAGCTCTCAGCTCAGGGGTTGCTCTCTCTGTTGCTTTTACTCTTTTTACCATCGTTCCCCCTTCCTTGCCCTTCCCCTCTTTGTTTTCTGTTGCCGTTGCAAGTTGCGAGTACTGCTGCACGTTGGCAAAACGAGGAGGGAGAAAATGCGGGGGGGTGTTAGGATGTTTTACAATTTTTAACAGCTTCAGAGTCCAATAAATCACCAGTCAACAGATGAGGCGCTCAGCAGTGGCAGACTATACAATATATCAAAAGCCAATAACCAAAAGAACGAACTGTTCCACTTCCTACTCCTGCTCCTCCTCCTCCTTCTACTCTCATTTTTTTTTGGTATATCTTCCTTTTTTTTGGGAAAAAATTGAAAAAATATTCCGAAATAAAAATGCATCGAACAGGCGTCCAAAAGTGCACAGAAAGTATAAGGAAAAACGATATGGGCATGGACATTCGAGGAGGGGCGGCAACTCCTTGGAGCAACGAGACGGCCTGTTGATTGGCCTACTCCTACTACCCCTACCCCTACTCCTACTGCTCCTTTTGTTGGCCTCCTGCTGCAGTTATTGCTCCCTTTTTTTCTTGTTGGTTGGAAGCAGCTGCCCGCCCATTGACCTTTTTATGCTGTGCAACGAAGCAAGGCAGCAGCAGTGGCAAGGAGCGGCAGCAAGAGGCAATTTCGGACATGTCGCAACATGTCGACATTTTCCCCTTGTGAAATTTTGTATACGAAATATTTTCCAATATTTTCCATTGCTTTCTTTCCCCTGCCAGTCAGTCGCCTCTGGTTGCAGTTCCATCTGCCCATCATCCTTTATTGTTGCTCCGTTTGGCATTTCTTTCCCCGCTTTCACCTTAAAATCTCCCGTAATGACGGGAATGACACACAAAGGAGGAAAACAAGAAGGAAACCAAAGAAAGACAGAGAACAGAAGATCCAGGTAGGCAGCAGACATCTTCCTTGGGCTTATGAGCGCCCGTTTGTAAATTACTTTATGGTGCAATAAAAGTCGCTCTCCACAATCCAGGGCCTGCTGTCCCCTGTAGCCTGTAACAATCCCAATCCCAATCCCAAATATATCTTTAGGCAAACATCACATGTCGCAAATCGTCTTTAAATCTGTCCTTTAGTGCGAAATTTTGCAGCTTCCTTGGGTTATTTTCATTCATTAAGTCCAACGGGAGAAATCTTGTATCGCTCATCTGGTTCAAGCAATTAACATTCGCCGAAAAAGTTTTAAATTTATTTTTGGGAAGTTTTAAATACAAAACATACATATGTACGTACGTATGTAGATGTTTTTGTGGAAAGATGACTTTGGGAAAATAGATAGATCGGGTTTATGAATGGAACGGAATGATTTAAATTTGTTTAATGTTTCTACATTTTTGCCATTTTTTAAAATATGTAGATAAATATTTTTCAAGATAATTTTAGTTTGTTGGGCTTCCATCTTTTAATTTTAAAGACAGTCGGTCTAGATTTTTCCCTTAATTTCGAACTTTAGGAATCGTTTTTCTTGGCAAGTCTGCCATCCGAAATACATAGTAATTTCATTTATTCTTTGTGGAATTTCTCAACCAAAACTTGCAGTTTTCCCCATCTGTATCTATGTGAGTATGTGTGCCTGTGTGTGTGGGGCCGTGAGAAAATCTATGCGGCATACAGCTGGGCGGTCATATTCGGCAGCACAACGACCGGCCTGCATATAGGCTGCTCAGCCCAGCTCTGCTCTGCATTTTGGGGGTAGGTGTTTTTGGGGGCGTGTCGCAGCCCCCCACCCCACCCCACCATGTCTCGATGAAGTCGGCGCACATGAAAGCACGTTGAACTTTGAAGTTTGTCAGCGCTTTGATGTGATGTTTTCTTTCTTTCTTGCTTTGCGCCGTGTTGCGGCAACAAAGGTTGCGGAAACATGCTAATTCGCTGGGAGCCAGAGTGAGAAGGAGAGATGGGGAGAGCGAGTGAGCTTTTTTTGTGCGAATGTTGACTGTTGCTTTTGTTCCCGTTCCCACACACACACACACACACACATGCATACTCGAATATCAGATAAAAACGTTCGTTGGGTTTCATTTCGTTTGCTTTTCTTTGTTCCCCTACGGAAACAAAGACGGAGATATTCGCACACACTTGTGGCTGTATCGCCCCCCCAAGGGTGTGTGCGTGTGTGTGTGTGTTTGTGTATCCCTTTGCATGTGTGGAGTTTTGCATGCTGCATTGAACAGGCGCCCATGCTCGGGGAACCAGGCGCCGCTCCTGCACTTTTAACAGGGCCCAGCTTTGCAGGAGGTCAGGGCTGGGCTGGCTGGGCAGACCAGTCCGAATCCCCATCTGAAGCTCCATCTCTGTCTCTTATTACCGAACTCGCTGTCGCTTGGCTAAAACAAAACTCGGTTCGAGGCTGAATGCTTGGCCTTCAAAAGTTGAAAACGCAAAAGCAGAAGAGACCCCAAAAGCCAGAAGCACAGAAGAAACCCAACGAACCAGCAGCTCAACAAATACACTCTTATAAACACATGTCTGCGTATGTATGTGTGTGTGTGTGTCTGTGGCAATAAATAAATAAACTTAAATAATTGCGTATGACTTATGTATAACAAATGGAAGACTTGGTCTGCTGCTGCTGCTGGGATCCGCAGAGACACCGGAATTAGGCTGGGAATACTGGCAACAGTTGAGGGGACACCGGCAGACACCCCACCCCCTCCAACCGATTCCCCCTTTTGTTGTGCGATGTCGTTTTATTTTAGTACAAACAACAGTCGGAGAAGCAACAACAGCAGCAGCAGCAGTGGGGCTAGCAGTGGCGAAGCTAACAGAGCTACCACTGTTAAAGAGTCTCCACCTAGCCAAGTCCATCACCAACACCCAGCTGTAAAAATAAGAGCCAACACAAAACCACATGAAACCCCACCCCACTCCACTCAGCAATCGTAATCCAGAAGAGGAAGTAAAAGTACACACCCGATAGAATTCCATCGTTTTGCTTTGCTGTTCCGGTGTAGGCCCCCACCCGCTCGCCATCCCCTCGATCATTAATCATCAGTTCAATGAGCGCCTTCTGCGGCAATTTGAAAGCTTAACGATCAAAAGTCAACACACACACGCACTCACACACAGCAACTACTGCAAGCGAATTCAAATTCAAAATTATACGTTAAAAGCGGCGAAGGCGAATGTAAAGTCGACAACAAAACTTTGTCGTGAGCGAGTAGATGAGAGCGCGGCGAAAGAGGCACACAAGAGAGTGAGAGTGAGTGAGATGTGTGGAACATATTAAGAGAGAGAGAGAGGGAAGTGTCAAGTGCGGAAATACTAGGAAAAAAAAACTGCACAGAACCCGCCGCCGCTGGGAGCGGAGCTGCTTTGTCGACTCGACGACGAAACGAACGTTAAATTTGAAAATAAGCGATAAAGTTCCGAGTCGGTGTGCGCCCCCCCCATGCGAGTGTGTGAGAGCTCGTGCGCGTGTGTTGGTGTGTTTGCGGTGCGCTGAGAGCGAGCAACCGGCCGGCAAATGTGCAAAAACGTTATTAAGCTGTTGCCGCCACCCACCCCCCTCGACACTTACCGCATATTTGTTGAAGAAACCCTCGTGTATGCCGCTCGAATAGTCCTCTAGCTCGAACATTTTGCGCTTTGTTGTGTAGTGTGTGGGGTGTGGGAGAATCTGCCAATTGCCGAATTACTGCCGCATACGCTTTGTTTTGATCAATTCCTCCTCTTCACGTTCCCCGTCGTTTCACTCTTCTTTCGTCGAGCGATTAACCGTTGCAGCGATCAAAGTTGGAAGGGGCAATATTAACCGTTGGATCGCTCTCCACTGACTCTTAATATAAGCCAATATTGCAATTCCTCTACAATTCTGCTTGACTTTTATTTATTATCATTTTGACTCATTATCATTCGCGCACAATTTCAATAGAAAACACCTTCGAAAATAACCAACAGGCGACAGCAGCGAAAAGCAACCAACCGACGAACCGCGAAGAATGTTGATGTTGGGGCTCTTGTCGAAAATATCAAATACGGATATTTATCTCGGCAATACTATTGAAGTTTGTATTGTACCAACGGAAATTTCTGAATTCACAAAAAAATTGGACATACGTCCGGTGCGTTGTTTACGGGTCCGCGGCGAAATTTCGATTTGATGGAAGCTAGAGGTGTCAAGCCATCGATGGCACTATCGATAGTATCGATATTTTACTGCTAGCCTCTACTATCGACGGTTTTGCGACTATCATGATAGTATCGAGCTACAGTCGTTGTGCTTTTGATATGTTTGGATTGGCTGCTATAAAATACGAAGACACATTTGTAAAAAAATCGACAGGTGGCATCTAACTTTTACAATGAACAAGTTCCTAAGAGGTTTCAATGGTTTTTTAATAATTATTTAAGCTCGATACTATTACGATAGTATCGATTGTTTTCTCCAAAACATTCAAAGTTGATATTCCTCGATTTTGATATTCCGTTTAATATTACCAGCTAGTTTGCCCTCTCAGCCCTAAACAAATAATTTTATCCGATAGATATATAAATTTCCTGCAAGATTGGCAAGTTTTCAGAAGTCCCTTTTATTGGATTATTTACATATTAAGGTTCAAACAAAAACAACATAAAACGAATGTGACGTCGTTTTTGTGGCGCTGCCAGACTCGTGCAATTCGTAGTAGCTGCGGGCTGCCATACCATGATATTTTGTGATATGAAATTCGTCAATTTTGATATTCAGTTTAATATAACTAGCTAATTGGCCCTCTCAGCCCTGATCAAATAATTTTATCCGATAGAAACATAAATTTTGTTCAGGATCGGCTAGTTTTCAGAACTTTTTTTCATTGGATTGTTTACATAACAAGGTTCAAACAAAAGCGGCCAAAGCATAAAACGTAAATGTTGACTAAATGTGACGTCACGTGTTGCTGGTCAACCAAGTTTCTTCCATGCGTATGGACTTTGGTATACCTTATTTCCTTTAATTTATGTAAAATTTGTTGTTTCAGGCTGCTTTGAAACATTAATATTGCATTTTCGTAAGATTGAGTTATTTTTTACCTATCTATGCATATGTTTTGTGTTTTATATATACATTTATCCCGGTTCTGATACCTATTATTGGTACCCATGAGCTACAAAATTTCGTTAATATCTTTAAATAAGAGACTGAGTAGTTTCTGCATTAATTGGAGCCTGAAATTACAAACAATACCTCAAGTCCATAATGTCCATTTTCCCAAGGTATGCAGATTGTTGCTCACCCCGTGCCAAAGTTGCAGAACAATGCTGCTAATCCATTTCCACATGTTGCTGAATTTTTTCCCATACAAATCAAATGTATCATACGGGAACGCGTATGGAATGACGCAACAATGAATCTTTATTCCATACGCGTTCCCGTAAGATACATTTGATTTTGTATGGAAAAATTCAGCAACATGCTGCCACACCACGAAAATGAGGGGAAAGTCTCCACAAAAACACTCTATTCTCCACGTGAGGGCGGGTAAATTTGCAAACTCTCCACGAATGAGAGCAAATTTTGAAAACCTCCACGAATTGAGAGTGAATAATATCGATATTTTTATGCGATAAGTGGAGTCTGGCGGTCATTTTGAAGCGTATCTTAATATATAAACAAATAAATTGGAACTTGATTAAATAATATACCGTAAGTATTCTGAAGGACACGAAAAGATGCGTTGATATTCCTAATATTCAGTTTACTATTACTAGATAGTTGGCCCTCTCAGCCGAAACAAATAATTTTATCCGATAGATACATAAAATTTAAGAGTTGGCAAGCGAGTCCTTTTATTGGTTATCCTTAAGGTTCAAACAAAAACAGCATAAAACGAATTTGTCGTCGTTTTGTGGCGTTGCCAGACTCGTGCCATACCGTGATATTTTGTGATATGAAATTCGTCAATTTTGATATTCCGTTTAATATTACTAGCTAGCTGGGACTCTCAGCCCTAAACAAATAATTTTATCCAATTCCTCAATGAATTTTGTTTAGGATTGGCTAATTTTCAGGACTATTTTTCATTGGATTGTTTACATAACAAGGTTCAAACAAAAGCGGCCAAAGCATAAAACGTAAATGTTGACTAAATGTTTCTTCAGTGTTGCTGGTCAACCAAAATTCATCCATGCGTATGGACTTTTGTATACCTTATTTCCTTTAATTTATGTAAAATTTGTTGTTCCAAGCTCCACAGAAACATTAATAATGCAGTTTTCTTAGATTGAGATGTTTTTTACCCATTAATGCATATGTTTTGTCTTTTATAAATACATTTATCCCGGTTCTGATACCTATTATTGGAACCCGTGAGCTGCAAAATCTCGTTAATATCTTTAAAACAGAGGCTGCGTAGTTTTTGCATTAATTAGAGCCCTAAATAACAAACAATATCTCAATAATAATAATATTTTGTGACCCGTTTCATTACCGATTCGCTTTGAACCGATCTGGCAGCCCTAAGAAAAAACATTTTTTCATTTAAAATATGAGCTATCGACGGGAAAGAGCACAATGCAACAAAATATCGATACTTTTGTGCGATATGCGCAACGAATTTGGCGGCAACATATTATATTTAAAATAAAGCCATCATTTCGAATTTCAAGATTTTTGTTTTGAAAGAAGTCCTTTGTGATCAAAACAAAACCAAACTGTAATGTTTAACAGGCGTATAATTATGTATTTGTGGCAGATGGAAATTAATACAGAGGTATTTTGTTGAATGGCAGGGTGCAAGGGGGCAGAGGTACTTCCGCAAAAAAGATGCAAAAACGAAGCAAAGATAACATCCAATCCAATTGCATTAGAACTTCAAATCAGAAAAAAAATAAATTCCAAAATAGAACAAAAAAATTTTTTTTAAAGAAAAAAAAAATGTACCCTGCAGAATTTGCATTTTCCTTCACGCCCTGCCGCCTTCCCACTAATACTACTAATGTCTAGTGTTTATATCTAATGTGAATGATGCACGAGGATCCGATCCAATTTGAGCCACCTATTTGCGAGCGAAAACCTGTTCCTTAAAGCGCAGCGCCGACAACATGGCAGGATTCTGCGTGGTGGCCACCTTTCCGCCTTCTTTCAGCTGCTGCTGGTGCTGCTGGTGCTGCTGGTGCTTGGACTTCTTGTGAGAGCCGGCTGGGACGCGCTGCACGCGGAATTTGGGGTGCGGCGGCGAGTCCGGTTCCTCGCGGAAATACTTCTGCTTAGGAGTTGCGGGCTCCACGCGCATAATGCCCGAGCGTGTCTTAACCAGCTCGATGCGCGGCTCTGGAGCATCATCCATGGTAACGGTCACGTAGCCAGCGGTGGTTTTGATGCGATTCACGTCAGCAGACTTGTGGTGGTTCTCCTCATCGGAGCTTTTAACTGGCGACACCAGCAGCGGCTTCGGCAGGGCCGTCGTCTTCTTCTGCTTTTTTATCGACTTTGCCTTTTTTTTAGCTTCCATCGGTGGCTGCGGTGACAGTTTGCGGACCAACGAGCGCGGCTGTGGAGGAAATGTTAGATGCTGAATGAATATCTGGAGGCCAGGAGGTGACTTGATTCTCACCTCTTTGCTGGCCGCTAGCTTCGGGGCCAACAAGTTCACGGCGTGACTGACTGCGTGGCGGGCTGCCTGCAGACGCTTCACATCCTTCTTGGGTGGCATTGGTTTGGGGGCGGCGCTGGAGCAGGCTGTGGCAACGGTTGTCTGGTTGTCAACCGATTTGAGAACAGCCTCCGAAACAGCTCGTTTCGGTTTATGCTTCTTGCCCGATGCAATTAGCTGCTCAGAGTGTGGAAGAGAATCGGTAAGTGGAAATGAAAGGGAAACCCTACTGCCCTTACCTGTTTCTTTTGCTCCAGCTTGGCCTCGTTGGCTTTCTGTAGGATTGAGTCGCAGAACTCCATGTAGTGTTCAGCATTCTTCGACCATTTTCCCATGGGCTGAGCCTTCTCTGCTTCCTTCTTCGATTGCTCCGCTGTCATGGCCGGTTCTGGCTCCTCTTTTGGTGAGTCCTCGGTGGCAGTGGCAGGCATATTGCCAGCAGAGAGTTTCTCATCCTTCTCTGGATTTTTGGGCTGTTGCTGTTGCCCCTCCGACTGTTCTTTCTGGTTCTTGGGGGATTGGGATTCGTCTTGGGTTATGTCAGGCACATTGGCCGGGTCTGTGGCTTGCAAGTTCTCCTCCTCCATTGATTCCGATGACTCATTATGCGTGTTTTTGCGACGTTTGTTCTCTTGACGAACTTCCATGGACTCGAATTCCTCGGCCGCGCCTGAAAAACTCTTGGACAAGCGCTTGCGCTTTCCCTGATGACTCTTGCGCTCGGCCACCATTTCGACAAAGGACTGAGAGGGGCAGAAGTCGTTGACCGTGCCCCGTTCACTGCGACGCTGTAGCTTGGGTTCCTTGGCGGCCATCTCCGGGCTGGGCATGTACAGCGATTGGCGACGCGACTTCTGGAGCGGATTGAACATGGTTTTCAGATGTGTCAGATCGCCGGAGGCCAGTTCGGCCAAGAGGGCCTCTTCATCGTTGGCCTTTTGCTTATTTTGGCGCACAAAGGATGAGGATTTGTTGTGTGAAGACGAGACTGTCTCGTTTTCCTCTTCATCAGCGTCTTCCCCATCGTCCTCGTCGGAGTCTAGTACTTCATAGACGCTCTTGTTGCCTGTGACTGCTTTCGGATCCTCCTCGTTGCCCGATTGCTCATCGTCTGTGGAGTTCACTTCCATGGCAGTCATGTCCAGGCGTGGAGCGGTCTTGTTGAAGCACTCCGACTTGTTGATCTCGTTAAGGAAGAGCTTGCGCGAGTTCTCGAGCTCCGTTTCAGAGGTGGAGTAATGCTCCTGGCTGCCAATTAGGATCTGGGCAGCTTCGCTCAGTTTGCTGGCATTGGAAGAGCAGTCGCTTCGATTCTTTGGCGTCTCCCGCAGCTTCTCTTCCGCTTCCTTGGGCTCCTGCTTCTCCGTCTTCTCCTTTTCTGTCTCGTGTTTTTGTTGCTCATCCTCATCGGTGGAGTCCATAATTATGATGCGGGAACGAGGTTTCTTGCCCCTGGGCGAAATCTCCTCGCGGTACTCATCATCCTCTCCATCCTCGAGCTCATTGGAGGAGTAACGAAGCTCTACAACGTCAGATGTATCCGACACAATAAAGGAATCATTGCCAATGGACTCATCCTCGAAGGACACATCGGTGTCTTGGCTGCCCACGGATTCGCCTTCTTCGATAATCTCATTGTCCGCGATCTCACGTCGCTCCGAGCTCTCCATGGAGTCACCCGAGTTGTAATCATCAGGCGCAACCTCCACTTCGTTGTCAACAAATTCGGACAAGAATTTATACTCATCATCAACCTCATCCTCATCGTCGCTGTTCAGACGCAGTACGCCGGAAACATTCTTGGCGGGCTGGGGCTTGGGTTCTGGCTTGGCCTTGGCCTCTGCCTTTAATTCTTCCTCTCTGCGTTCGGCCTCCACCTGGTCCCATGACTTAAGGCAATCAATTCGAGCCGGAGCCGGCTTCAACATGGTAATGGATGCCTCTCGATCGTCCTTCGTTATGGGTGTGGAACTGTTGCGTGCTTTTAAAGAGGCCGCCTTCAGAGGAGTTTCCGCCTTCAGAGGAGTATCTGACTTCAGAGGAGTATCAGCCTTCAGAGGAGTGTGCTCCTTCAGAGAAGTATCTGCTGCCATCAGAAGGGTGTCTGTCATTGGCTTCATAGGCTGAGTACCCGCCTTGGCCAACATTAGCGATTTCTCCAACGAGAAGGCCGATGGATTCTTGCAACGTGACGGAGTCTTGGGGAACTTAACCTTATCGTCTTCCGCGGCCTCCGCTCCGTTTTCGAAGCACACCGACTTTTTGGAATCTACGCTGGCCGTCGTCACCAGCCGCGCCTTGATGCCAGGCGTCAGATCTGACAGCCGAACGTTGTCAATGACCTTCATTCCGGTGCTTGGATGGCGGCTTTCCAGTAGCTTCTCCTCTTGGCCCTCATCTTGGTCCTCATCACTAATCACAGCTGAGGCGGAGCCTAAAGATTTATTTGGCAAATCGATTGGCTCTGTGTCTTTAAATGGAATTTCAGGATCTTCATCCACTTCCATGGCCATATCCTTGAAGTCCAAATTGTTGTTCTTTTCCATTGTCTCCAAATCGGGCGACTGCACTTCCTCTCGCTGCTCATCTTCCATGGCCAACTGCTTGAGGGCTGAAGTGCTGATACTTAATGGTTGTGGTTCTGGATCTGGAGAGGCTGGAGATTCAAAAACTTCGTCCTCAGTAATTGATTTGGATGCCGCATTCTTGATGTTTTTCTGCTCGACATCATCCTCAGCCTCTGTCTCTTTTTCTTGATCTCCATCTCCACTCTCGAGCAGGTCAGCTGGAATTTTGATTACGTCTATATCTTTGTCCACTTTCTCCAATAAATCGATTGTTTCACGTCGCTCGGGACTCTTAGTTGGAGTTTTAGTCTTAGCCTCCGCTTCCATTTTCTCTGCCATTTGCTTGTCTTCTGCATTGGACATTTCCACAGCAAGTGACTCAACCTGTGCTTCGTTTTTCTCTGCCATTTGCTTGTCTTCTGCTTTGGACATTTCCACAGCAAGTGACTCAACCTGTGCTTCCATTTTGTGCGGAGAGCTGCTGTTAGTTTCCTGCTTCACCGCCACCTCCATCGAAGGTCTTTCTGCAGCCACTGATTCTAGCGATTTCTGGAGAGTTTCCGCCATCACTGATATATCCTTATCTATCACCGAAAGATTCTCGACCCTAACTGCCAGCTTCGATCGGCTGGAGCTCAATTGTTTATTTTTGTTGGCCGTCTGTTCTTCGACGGAAAGGCTGGCGGCATCAGGTTGCAGTTGCTGTTCCCACACTGGCACTGGCGTGTTATTGGCTGAACGATAGGCAGCTGGAGGGGTCTGCGACATCGAACGTGTGACGCGTCTCTCGTCTGTTGGCGAGCCCTGCGCCGTCGCGGGGCTGGAGTGGTTTGATCGTAGTTTGTCATTATTATCGGGCTCGAGCTCCTCCACTGTCTCTTCTTTAAGTGGCTGCTGTTGCTGCTGGCGCACACCTCTGGTCGACTTAGCTGGTGTGCGCGCTGAGCGTTTGACCGATGCAGGAGTGGTCGGCTCCGGTGTTTCACCGCGTACCACCGATGCGCGCGTGGTTCGGGTTGGAGTACGCAGCAATTCTGTGGCTGAGTTCAAGCGTGTTCGGCGTGTGGGTCGAGGGGAGGCCGTGCCTGGAAAGTTCGAGAACACGAGGATGTCTAAACTAAAGCAAATGTCCATAAATCTCGCACTTACCACGATCGGATGCCGTGTCCAGCAGCGGTGTTCCGGGGCGGCTGTCGGTGTCCAGAACAGACAGGCGGCGTGTGCGTGCACGGGTAACTAGAGAGAATGGGATTTAAAGGTATTATAAGTGTGACAATCTGACAAGGAACGTGTTTAGTTTTCTGCTGCAGTTGCGACACATGTGCATGTGGGCCTGCAATTCTGTGCCACGAAAATGGCGACTCTTGTTGTTGAGGCCTGCTGGTCCCGGTCCCGTTGCTTTGAACTATATCAAACGGTATCGGCATTTCCTCCGGCTATCTGATTAGAAATCAGAATTTTGGGTTGTACCGCATGTTACCACTTACCTCGCACTCCCTCTGTGTTCTCTGTATTCTCATCCATTGTGCTGCGGCGGATTATTTAACACAAGCAATTGAAATTTGCACTATTGGCAATTTCTACGAACAAAAATCTAACAAAAACGATGACGCGGGGACGCTGGATTTGACATGTGCCGACTGAGGGAATTTCGCAACACTAGGCGCCGTTCAGCATTTCGATAATTGCTACGCTGTGGCCGTTAAATTTGAAAAGCGATTCAAATAAACGATACATTTACCATGCAGGTGGACAAAATTTAAGGCCTTAAGCGATTGAGCGACGGACGCCCACCGGCTCCCAACGCAACTTCTTCTGCAATATTATTTTATATATCCACTTGCGGAACTAGCAATTTATTATTACCAAATTTATCGAATTCTCAGTAGTCTTTACACGTTTTTCAACACCAATTAACTTCCACGAAGACGGTTATTTTCAAACAACTTTATCGCATTTATTATTATTTCAACAATGAAAATCTGCCGTACTTACAAATAACATTGTTCTAAAAAGTATATGTGACGTTGCAGTTAAAGCATATTTTGCTTGGCCAACTCTGGATTAAATTGGCTATTGTACTTCTGAACAATCTTCGGAGTTGGCGCTGGCGTGCTCGCTGCACTGGCGGGCACGTGCACCGCAGCCTCCTGTGGTGCAAACAAGGCCTCGGATCGTTGGCGCTCAGCTGCTTCCCGACGCAGTCGTTCCTTGCGCAGCCGCTCCAGCTTCTCCCGCTTGTGCCGCTCAGCAGTCAGGGCCAGTTCTTTCGACTCCTTTCCACTTTTGTGGCTTTTATGTTTCTTGTGTTTACTCTCCCTGATGCCCTTTTTGTGCTCTTTCTTGTGCCTTTTCGATTTGTGGGCTGAATGTGTGGGAGATGGTGCCGCCAGAGAAGGTTCCGGTGACGGTTCCACTTTCCTTTTGGGAATGCGTTTCGGCGCCTTTTTCTCCGGTGGAATCAGGGCATTTATCAGTGTAAGCGGATCGTGGGATAGCTTCTGCATGAGGTGTGCTTCAGTGGCATTGTGGTCTCCGGCTTCGGATCGCTTGGGTGCCACCTCGTACCAACTGCGCGTTTTCAGTGCCTCGTTGGTGTCTTGGCCCAGATAGGTGAGATATCCAATCTGTTTCTCATACTTTTCCTGCTCATCCTTTTGCTCCTTTTCCAGATCTTTGTTTGTGGTCTTCACGTGCGTTTTGTAGTCCGCAAACAGATCCACACCTCTCGGTTCGCTTGCGGTGCCAGATGTGGGTGTGGCGTCGGCTCCATCTTCGGCCCGGGCTGGCACTGTGGCTTTCTCGGGGAGGCCCGATTGCCGGCGCAGGAAATTGATGCGTGCCTCGCTTTCCTAAACGAACAATTCATTGAATTCATGAATTCATATGGAAAAGGCCATTTAAACGACTACTTACAGCCAACTCAAGTTTTCCCTGGCGCTTGCGATCCTCTTCTTCAGCGGCGGCCTCATCCCGGCGCACACGGGCAATGTTGTCTTTGGTGCGCACATGCCAGCTATGAATAGCATTGTTACAATAGTTACATTTTGTTAATTATCTCAGCTCACCGTTTCTTTGGTAAAATATTCATTTTATGTTATGCTACCTCGCTACCCTTGTTTGATTGGCAACCTGTTATGGTCAAAGAAGTGGATGGAAGGCAATTAGTTTAATGTCGATGTTCTTTTCAATAATACAAACAAAAATTGTAAACAAAGTTAATTTTTTGTTTTTAGTGTGACCGCGGACATATTGATTAAATATACCGCGTGTTAATCAGAAAAATACTGAAGTATAATTTTTTCGATTTCTTATCCAAAACTTTTCCCGCCAAGAATATCATCTCGCCACACTCTCGCAGCGCGCTCGATGGCCAAATCGAAAGCACCTGAAACACATTAATTTTTCATTCCGCAATCAATTCGAATGTACGCGCCATACCAACGAGTCGAAATCCAACATCAACAACATGCAATAGCAGGCTCAGTGCTGTAAAACACACTGAACACATATATTATTTATTTGTTTGGCATAATTTTTGCGTTGGCAACACTTCTTTGATGTGTATGACAATTCGCAAGTGAGCGGTCACACTGCACACATCTGTCAGAAGTCAGAAGCGAAGAAGAAGAGAAGCGCAGCAGATTTGGTCCCAAGAGCAAAAGTAATTGTGAAAAATTCCAAAGTTGAAAACAAAAAACAGCCAAAGTGCGTGGCCAACAGCGGTTGCTCGCGTGCCAACAGTTACAGCAACAGCATGGCCACCGAGCAGCGTATTCTAAAGCAAGACGGTTACCTGGATGTGGGCGACAATAGCGGAGCACCCGCTCGTCCGTTTGAGATGCGCAACATCGTCTACCATCCGCAATTGAATGTACTGCTGTTGTTCGGCTGCAATAATGTTGTGAAGGTTCTGGATGTCAATTCTGGAGTTGTATTGCAGACCTACAAACTGAGTACAAATGGTAAGCGGCAGCAAAGAAAATAAAATAGCGCTACACATACCACCGCACAAACACGCAGAAATGCAAATGTCACTACAGTGCACACTTGCAAATCAGAACTAACACGAACACACACACACACACTGGGGGGGTAATTTCGCATGAAATATTTTCCTTCCTTCAATTAAAACTTTAACGAAATGCATTCAACTCTCTCTTAAATGTTGTGCTATTGGGTTTGTATTAGCGAGCGACCACAGTAGTGCATTTAGTAATTGCTTTGCACTTGTCTGTCCGTCTGTCTGTATGTCTGTGCGTGTACATTTTTGTGTGTGTACGCGTGTGGCATACATTTTTTATGCAGTTGGACGCAAGAAATCCCCGAATTATAATATGTCAAACCTTAAGATTTGGTAAATTCCTGATATTTACCACGCCTACCGCACAAACATGTATCAGCACTATTTTTTTTTTTTTTTTGTATAATTTGAGTCGCCTCTTTCCCTATCGCAATATGTTTATAGTTGCCATTTGAGTCTGGGCAGCAAGCAGCATGGGCATTGTTTTTGTTTAGCTTCTATTACGCAGTTACTGCGCGGCACACACACACACACCACACAAAACACCGAACCGACCCCCGCACCATCAGTTCCGTTCCCCCAGCCGGTGGCATCGAATAAAACACCGTCGCTGTTTTGCTCTATGCTTTATTAGTCATTTGCAATTTCCCCTATTTCCTCTCTATGGCGAAATCGAAGATGCTGACTGCGCATGGTGCAGTAATAGTGGTACGGGGGTGGGTCGTAGGTGCTTTGTTGCAAGTGCAGCAGGTTGATTTTAATGTTGATTCGGTTTCCATTTTCGTTTCGTTTACCGACAGGCGAGAGCGTCGTTCATGGTCGTTACATGCCCTTGCAAGATAAAATCTTGTTCTGGGATGGCCACAATGTGGGCTTGCGCGGCGACTACAACGGCGTCCTGCTGCTGGATACCATATTGCAGGCGCCAATTGGTCAGAACGACGACTACATTAAGCTGGAGATCATATTGTCCGAGGCTATCATCTTTCAGCACTGCATAAACGAACTGGAGAGCGAGGGGCTCGAGTGTCCCTGCGACATAAGCAACGAGCTCACCCAGAAGATAAACAAGGCCCAACTGAATGCCAAGAAGGGCATCAAGGCTCAGCGGGTAAGAATTGATTGTGCATTTTGCTCATTTATCGCTTTCTCACACTCACGCTTTCACACCTTTCACTTTGCAGTGGAATACAATATGTTTGGAGGTGCCGTATTCCAGCATGAAGCTGGTGGCCAACAACGTGGTCATCCTGCTTAAGCGTCTGGAGCGTCACATTCCCGTGCTGGCCATAGCATCCGCCATCAATGAGCGCCTCACAGACATGATGATGGGCTCACGGGTGCCCGATTTTGGTTGGAATTTCAGCAATTTTAAGCGCGTGCTCATGCACTCGGAGGCCGTGCGCCGCCAGACATTCGAGAAGTGGCCCCACATGGACTACAAGTGGGCGCTGCCAGATCAAATGGCACAGGCCGGCTTCTACCATCAGCCATCGTCCTCTGGCGAGGATCGTGCCATGTGCTTCACGTGCAACGTATGTCTAGTTTGCTGGGAGAAGACCGACGAGCCCTGGAGCGAGCATGAGCGCCATTCGCCCATCTGTCCGTTTGTCAAGGGCGAGTACACGCAGAATGTACCCCTGTCCATCACGTATGCCACCAGTCCGGCCCTGTCGGCACCCGGCCTCGGCTTCGACATCATCTCCAACAGCGACTATGCCAATGTGCTGTGCACCAGCTGCTCGCAGACGGGCGAGCTGAGCGTCTGGAGCATCGAGCGACATCTGAGGCTAATGTACAGCTTCCACGTGCCGACCCTGCTCAAGGATGTGTTCGAGGAGAGCTTCGAGTGGGCCCGCGTGACGGCCATCTGTGTTCTGCCCAATGCCCGAGCCCGCACCAAGGTCAACTATGTCTATTCCGCCGCCAACTATGGGGGCTCAAGCAGCGGCAGTGGTGGCGGCGGCTCACATGCTGGCTCCAATCAGACCAGCGGCAAATTTGGCAGCGTCAATGCCCAGCATATAACCTCCACATCAACGTTGCGTGCGGGCGTCGTGGGCTCCAAGATTGTGCTGGGCGTCAGTGTGCGCCAGAGCAGCGGCGAGGTGGCCCTGCGCATGGTGGTGCTGAATATTGTGGAGGTCGATCGCCAGAGCGAGACCTCGGCCTGTGTGAGCAACGACAGTGGGAGCGTCTCTAGCGTTGGGGGAAATCTCAAGAAGACCTCGTCACAGATTGTTACGGGTACCGGTAAGTATTCTGGATATATATCCTCGTATAGGATGCTGACGCAGATTCAATTTTCCATTTTACAGCCTCCTCGAGTGAAGCCAATGGCGGCGTGGGTGGAATCGTTACTCAAGAGTCAAAGGACGATGACAACAAGGCCATGACACCGTATGAGAAATTTGCCGATGGCTTCGACAGCAATGGCTTTGTGTCCGCTTTGATGACCTACAACAAGAACAACGGTGCCAGCCAGCATGCGGACGATGCCTCTGTGTTGTATGACTTTGATTTGTGCACACTGTCGCAGATATTGGACCATAATCTGGAGGATCCACTGGGCGGTCTGATGGTCACCTCGAATACCGTCAATGTGGGCAGTCTTCCTGCCATGGGCAATGACATGGACAAACTTGTCGACGATGCCGAGATGACACATCAGAATATCAACAACAACAACAACAATAACAACAATAATAACAACAACAACAATGATGGCAACTCTTTGGGCGGCAGCACAAACAACAACAATAACAACAACAACAATAATAATATAATGCTAAATGGAAGCAACAGCAGCAGCGACAAGCTGTCGGCCAGCGAGGAGATCGACTGTGTGGTGGAGAGCTGGACGAGCGTGAAGCGTATGAATGCACTGGATGGGGGAGCGGTAAGCGGCGAGAACGGTGCCGTGCCCAGTGCAGCCCATGAGATTGTGGAGATAGCCGAGATAATGCCTTCAACACCGAAATGCAATCAGCTGTTGGTTAAATTGCTGCGCACCAAGGCCCCAGAAACGGAGGGCAGCAAGATCATCATGGCCACCGTGGCCAAGGAGGATGAGGAGGAGGAACAGGAGACAGATGAATGCATGGATACGGGTAAGTTCATTTAATTCTTTAATTCAATTTTAATGTTACATTTTGTTCCACCTTTTGATAGACAACAATGCCGAGTGCAGTGTGGCCGCTCAGCTTTTACTCTTCGACTACGATGATACGCAGATATCGCATGACTATACCCTAGCCATGACCTTCAGTCGGGCCAAGTGTCCCAAGCAGCTGTGCGTCCTGCCCCACTTCAACACCTCGCCGGAGCACAAGGAGATTGGCGCCATTTGTGTGGTGTGTGCCGATGGCAGCGTTGAAATATACTCGCTGGCCGATTTCCAGACCACCACCGTGATCGAACAGGAGGGGGAACACTTTGAGTCCGTCGTCTACTGCCGCAACATGGACAGGCTGTGCTGTTGTTCTCGCCAAGGCGGTTTGCTCTTCTACTCGCTAAATGAGGGCGACAACGACTCCGGTGATGAACTGCTCGAACTGGAGGATGAGTGCAGCACAACCCTAACGCAGACGACGCAGGCAGGGGAATTGAGTGTCACAGACGGCACTGGTCGCACCTTGGCGATCGGTCACGAGCAGGACGGCAGGCTGTTGACCGTGAATGATAGCATTAGTGTGGATGTGGGCACTGAGGGCACGGGGGCATCCACATCAGGAGCAGCCGCCACACACCAAAGTGTGAACGTGCAGACATCACCGTCGGCCCAGTCGATGGGCTCGAGCAATGCAAATTTTCTAGCATTCAAAACCACCGACCTGACGCTCGATGACCTACGAGTGTTCCATGCCCTCACACAGTTCGATGACAAGCTGACCCTCTACTCGGCCGAAGTGCCCAGCTGCTGGAACGATCTGGGACAGGTGCAGAAGCAGCGCAAGCAATCCCAGAACATGCGCCATGGCGGCGATGAGCGTGACTATACGCGCACCTGGCGCCTGCACAACGATGCGTAAGTCTCCTAAGAATGCACATTCTGAGAACACTAAATGATATGCTTGCTTGTTGTTTTACTCTACAGCACCACTTGGGATGAGCATATCATTGAGCTGAATCTGGCACAGCCAGTGTCCCTGGGTCACATTGATCTGAAGTTCACGGTGTACCAGCAATGCTCCAATCCGGCGGCCATACAGGTCACCCTGCTCAAGCAGAATAACAATGGCTTTGGCTATCGCATGAAGGGACCCCATGCCAGCTACAAGCCGAACGTCATTGACGACAACATTGATCTCTCCTACAGTATGTGTCAAGATATTTCCCTCTGTCCCTCTCTATCTCTGACTGAATCTCTCTCTATTTATTTTGCAGTTGCCAATGAAAATCCCGTACTCAGCGAGGAATATCTACTGGCGCACAACGCAGAGGTACTGGCCGGTCCCATCGAGCTATCGTCCTGCATTGATGTATGCGATCAAGGAGGCACTGCCACGCTGACCTCACCGAAGCTATTCAAGACTCGTACACGCAACTTTTTGCTGCACATCAAGACGGTGGCGGATCCATCCAAAGAGGGGCAGACCAAGACAAGGGGTATGTACCCACTGTACTGCTGGAAATATTGCTTTGAGTCTGGAAAGATTGTTGTAGTTTTTGTGGGCCTGTGGCTTTTCTTTTTTTATGTTTGTGTTTCTCGTTTAAGCTTCGATTTTGCATAATTTTTACAGCATCCTCCCCACGACGGCACAAGCGCCGGCCCCATCATATAGAGGTGTTGGTTAATCGCCATAAATCAAATAATCACTCGAATCCAAATCCGAATCCGAATCCTCCTCCTCCCTCCCTGAGTGTGAGTCCAAGCCAAGCTCAACCCACTCAAGTCAAGAAAATCATTAACGCTGGCTATAGTATCATACATTTGAGCAAGGCAAAATTGAACTCTGCTGGTCCTGGTCAGCTTCCAATCCTTACGATTTCAAATCAAACATCGCCAGAGCCACCACCTCCAGCTGCAGTTGATCCATTTTCTGCTCCTTCTGCTGGGGTACTGAGTAGGGAAGGTATTTGTACATGCTCATTACAACCATTTAACAATAAATTGGGCGCTCTTGTTGCTCATACAGCAGACACTCATCCACTTCTTTCTCTCCACTCCCTCTCTCGTAGGCTGCGACTGGCTGCATGAGATCTCCATTAGTGTGAGGGCTGTCAAGTCGCAAAGTCGCATCGTAAATGCGAGAATGCAGCGCATTGCCATGCTGGAGAGCAATGGCCTAATGGAGCAGCTGCTGCGCATTGCTAGCGATTCGGGATCCACGCCGCTGACCAAGAATCTGGCCCTCGACATCCTCAATTGGATATGCTTCATACGGCTGAACCGCTTCCGTTCGCCGAAATCCGAGCGGATAAAGGATCAGATTAACAAGCAGACGGCAGCCAATATTCCCGATCTGCTGGCCCAGCAGTTCGAGTGCATTTCCCTAGCCGAGAAGCATATTGAGCAGCTGATGCGCAACTGCATCATCTACAGCGAGCGTAGCACGGCCCACAAGTGCTCCAAGCTGATAATAATGCTTACAGAGTGAGTGCTATACCCAGAGAGCATTATCTAAATACAAATTCTAAACTGTATCTATATATCTGTATCTGTATCTGCATAGGGGCGTGACCAATCTGCCCACGGAGTTGCAGCTCTTCACCACGCTGGACTACACCATTAAGGAGGCTATCACAAACACCTTCCACGAGCTGCCACGCGCACAGACCGGCAGTGTTGTGCGCTGGTACACCATGCTCACGTGCGCCACATCCACGGCCGAGTCGAACAACAGCATATCGGAGCAGGCCATCAATTTGCTCAAGGAAATTGCCGGCGAGATAGACAAGCGCTGGGATCCCTGCTGCGCATTGCTGAGCACACGCTTTGGCCTCTATGGCTTCCCATTCGAGCCGGAGATCTTTGATTTTGATTTCCCCAATCTCAATCGCGTTGGCACCAGCTCCTCTGTGGGCTCCCTGACGAATGTGATACGCAGCAGTTCGGCAATTCTGCCCGTAACGGCACTGGACATAAAGCGTTTGAGTTCGATTGGTAAGAGGCGAGAGATAATTGATTTTGATTTACGAGCTGAGTTGAGTCTTAAAATGTTGCAGATGGCGTCGACTTTCGGACGTTTCCCTATCTGATACGCGGCAAAAGCATCAGCAATCAGTTGCGCGGCCTACTGGAGGTGGTCCAATTGCATTTCAACTGTGTGCAAACATCGGAGGCCACTCGCATCGACAACATCGACAGTGTGGGTGGCGCAGCGGCCGCCAGTCTAGTTATTGACGATGTGCTGATACCCAAGCTGTTGGTGGCCAAGGACAAGAATGACGATGTGGTAAGGATTTCCTTCACATCACATAAATCTGTTTAATATGTTTCCATTGCTTGGCAGTTGAACGATCTGGTCAACGATGTGGAATCCATGGTGGAGGAAATCACGGACAAGGAGGGGAAGATCGACTTTGATTCGTTTGGCATGGTGAATGGCTTCAAGGATAAGTCCGTTTCGTCGCTCACCGATCTGGAGCATGCCCTCAAGGAGGAGGTTAAAAACCAGAAGGCCGCCATTATGGACAAGCTGAAGCTGTCACAGTTCCTGCCCACGCTCTCCCTGCTGGATAACTACATTCTCAAGAAGCAACAGCATGCCATGGATGCATCGAGCAAGCTGGATAACTGGGAAATGACACCGACATCCAAGGCTCAGTTGGCATTGGAGACCCTGAAGCCATTTGCTGGAATGTTGCCAATACAGGCAATGGCACAGGCAACAGCAGCAGACCCAGCAGCAGCAGCAACAGCACCGCCACAGCAACCAGGAGTCGGAACAGGGACTGGGGGAACTGGCGAAAGCACCGTCGTTCTCGATGATGCCGCCGAATGCGAAAAGATTATGGAAAATCTCAGCGCCAATCCGTGCCAGCCGATTGCCTGGCACAAACTGATCACGCCGCCGCCCAAACAAATGATCATCATCGATCGCATGCACTCTGGTGCGAGGCGGTTTGTGGTGCTGGACTTTGGCCAGCACATCCTGCTAACAGATGTGGTGATACCCTCCTGCGACGAGCTCACGTCCCTGACCATCGACATCTGGTGCTTTGACGAGGAGACGGACTGCACGCGTCTCGTCCAGGTGGCGGATATCCAGACCAAGACGTTGGTGTTAAGCGACATACAGCCGCCGCCGATCTGTCGCTTCATGAAGGTGACCATCATTGGGCGCATCGGGATGTCGTCCACCAAGTGCAAGGTGCCGCTGGGTCGCTTCTTTGGCCATCCCGTTGTGCTCGAGCACGACGGTTATGGGGATCAGTTGATGCGCTTCATCAAGCAGCCCACTCAGAATCTGCAGGCGCAGCTCAAGTCGCTCAACGCCCTGTACGAGGATGTGCACTGTCGCTACAGCTTGGCCAGCTCCAAGCTGATGGATGTCCTCGCGCCCATGCGCCACAGCGAGCTCTCCAACGTGGCCCATCTGCAGGCGTTCATCAACAAGCAGCGCGACGAGGAGCTCGGCCATCTGGACACCAGCAACAAGGTGGTGTCCCTCTACGACGAGTGCATGCTGCTCCAGTATCAAATCAATGTCATTAGGAATGTGGTGCTGCGCCTGGAGCGAGCCGTCAACCCCCATTTGGTGTGCACGCCACCGCCCGGAACGGGTCCGCTCACAGAGGAAACGCTGCGTGCTGCCTCGCAGGACAAACTGCGTGTCCTCAGCCTCACCTTGGTGGAGGTGCTGCTGCACTTTTCCATCGAGTATGGCATCAAGAACATCCTGCCCGTCTATCAGCGCTTCAATGCGGCCACAGCCAAGGCGCTGTTCAACTCCCTGGTGGTCTATGGCGATGCCCAGCTGCAGCTGGCCACCTGCTCCCTTCTGGTGGTCATGTGCTGCTTCCAGCCATGGTGGGGCGACTTTCTGGCCGACACCTTTTGTAGCCTCTTTTCCGCACAGAATTGCAAGGCCTTTCCCCAGGATCGGTGAGTACTGCTGCGCTCCCATCGTTGCCATTCCCTTGGGTCTAACTCTTCCCTCCTGTTCCACAGCATATTCTTTTTGCTCACGTATCTGGGACGCCGCAGCATTGCCATGGGTGCCTGTCGCTCGATTGTGATTGATGCCGTGCTCAAGACACTCCTTAAGCTGCTGGCCCCCATTTCGCCGCACTACAAATTCCAGTCGGAGCAGCCGAGCACCTCGGCCAGTGCCTCAGAGCGTAGCGCCACCATGGGCAGCACATCCGATCTGCAGCTGATCACCTGGCTGCTCCTCTTCCTCTCCGTGTGCCTGGACGACAATGAGCGCAAGGATAAATGTGAGTGAATGCAAGCGAAAACCAGAACCAGAACCAAAAGACTGATCAAACATTTTACAGCTGCAGCTCGATGGGATTTCATGAGCTGCGAAAGCGACTTCACCAAGTCAAGGCCCAGCAATGTGCCAAATAGCAAACAGTTGCGCTGCTTCAAGAAGCGCATCATCCAACAGAGCAAGTACTCCGTTCAGCCCTACACAGATTGGGGCAAGAAGATATACATGATTCAAAACGAGGTAATGACAAATGTAAGAAGCTGCAAGCAAGCAGATTGAATGGGGAGAAACCCCAGCTTAAACTCTACTCCTAATATATTCAGAATAATAATAATAATTGAATCATTCTTTATGATAGCATCCTGGCATATTTATGGAGCTGTCCACCAAAGCAAAGAGCAGTGGGGCCACCAAAACGACAACAACAGCCAGCAAGATCAATATGGCTGCGGCAAGCATGTTTATGTCGAGTGGCGGCGGCCTGCCAAGTGGCAGCAGCGCCACGAAGAGTGCGGCCACTTCCACGTCTTCGCCGAAGCATGCGGAAGGAGGTGCCGCTGGCGGCGAAACTGAGCGGGATAGTAACTTTGACAAAGGCCTGAAGACGCTGCGCATGGCGAACATTAAGGTCGTCATTCGTGGATTGTTTGCCCTGCTGCTTGAGATGGACTTTGACTGCAATATGGATCAGTTTCTGCTCACCTGCAAGGTGATTGCTCGCCTGGTGGCCGCCTGCCGCCCCTCAGTGCAGCTGTGCAAGATTGTGACCACTGCGCAGCTGGAGCAGCTCGTTCGGCTGGCCGTGTGGAACGATCAGCAGCAGCCGTGGGCTGTGCATGCCATTACATGTCTGCTGCAGGATCTGCTCGATGCGGACAAGCAGTACAGAGACAGCGATGTGACGCCCACCAACGATGCACCGCCACGGCCCATGGAGCCAGAGGTGCAGGAAGTGCGCGATATTTTCAGTGATTTCACATGTAAGCGAAAATTTTATTTAAATTCATAAATATTTATGGCATGCCACTCGTTGTGTGTGTTCACTGTGTTCCAAAATGTTCCCCGAATGTTGCATGTGTTACGCCCAACCCACCAGATACCCCCCAGCCCCACCCCTCCCAGTAGATATGTAGATCTCTCTCGGAATACATACATACAAATAGATGTAGATATATATTCTGCCAGAAGCAAGAATCAAAATATTTTTCATCTTTTTAGCATCGTCTTCCTCATGCTCCGAGGCACAGTTCGAGATGCTAATGCCGACAGCTCGAGAGTTTTATCAGGAGGGTAAACAAAAACCAAAGACAATTAATTAATTATTATGGCACGATCCACCTGGCACCTGGCATGGATTGGCATGACACCTTTAAATATAAATATATCATATATGGATATTCAGAGGAATGTTCTGCTGCCAGGTGGATAGATTTATATCCCAAGCCCACAAGCCCCCAACCCCAAACTCCATCCAAACAAAGACTAGACAATTACCAAGATGTTGCATAAGGCACCAAAAAGATGATCTATGTCGGCTTCGTTTGTTCGCAGCTGAGTCAGTCCACAGAATCCAATAACAATATGCAGTCTCTGTCGGTCTTTTTGGATGCAATCAATGTCTTGGTATTTTATAGTCTCTGATCCAACCCACAATCATAGTCCTGTTTTTTTATGTTTACCCCCGTATTATTGTTGAGTCTTTTGTTTATAATCCCTTTATCCATATCAATATATCTCTGCTCATCTTCTAATAATTAATGTGTGTGTGTGCGTGTGTTGCAGCTGTTAAATACAACTACTTGCCCTCCCTAATCGAATGCGATGATGCGGAATTTGATGATATGCTCAACGACATTGACATGATTGAGCGCACAAAGCCTGTGACCAAGAAGGAGAGCAATGCCCTCTGCAAGAACACCTTCAACTTCTTCTGCAAGTCCATTTCGGTGGCATTGGACTCACGCCTGGATGTGGGCTTGGAGCTGCATGTGGAAACGCAGCTGCGCCGCCTCACCAATCGCACCTCGTTGGATCTGTACGCCTCCCTGCCGCAAGTGCTGACCAATGAGTTTGTTTCGCCACCGCCCGAGGCGGCACCCTGGCCAGAGTATTTGACACAGCTGTGGTCCGGCTCGGAGTACAATGGCCGCAACACCTATGTGATGTTCAAGAACGTCTTCGACTCGATACTGGCCGATCTGCACTACGAGGACACGTGGGTGCATCTGGAGCAGGTGCTGCAGATGTGGCTAACGCTCAACTGCGAGCTGGCCGAGAAGCCCTACACCACGGGCATCTCCCAGACGGACGTGCCCAAGATACCGTTTGGGGCCAATGCGGTCCAAGGACTTCTGCTGGCCCTGGCTTGGCACAATGACATCAAACTGCGCACCTGGTGCCTGGGCTTCCAGTGTCTGCTGCTCGCCTGCAACTCCCAGCCCATTGGCGATGATGCCGACTGCACGCGAATCAATGAGGTGATTGTGAACGATGAGAACTTTGAGAAGATGCTGCTGCGTTTCTTCTCCGGCTACGGCATGAGCTCATCCATAATCACGAATCGCTGTGTATGTACCTCTGCGTCTACCTCTTAGCCAATATCATTATTTATCCTACTCCTCATCCTCCTGTTAGGCTGGACCCACCATCTGCAAGCATCTGCATGAGCTGCTGCTCTGGCTGCATGGCAAGACCGAGAGCAGTGGCATTCCCTGCAAGCGCCAGCTTAAGGATATTCTGCTACATGTTGTACTGCAGCTGGTGCAGCCTGGAGGAGCCATTAGCAATCAGCAGGGACCCATAGATGCACAGAATCAGCTGGTGCGCGACCTGCTCATGATGCCCAACGACAAGGGAGATCTCAACATAGCCCTCAAGATCACCGAAAGTGTTTGTGAGTGTCTCTAAAAGAGTTTCTCTTTACCTTTCTCATCAAATTTGTTGGCTTGCAGCTTTCCTGGTGTTCAACAACATTTCCAATGGCGAGAAACTGCAGTGCCAGCGTGGCAGTGAGACGGGCAACAATCCGGGCAACAACTTTAGCAATCTGTTTGCCAATGTCCTGGGCTCAGACAATCCCATCAAGCAGAATTCCACGATATGCGACAACTCGCTGATCATAAATCTGCTACGATTATCCACGCACATGGTGCTCACAGAGATGCCCAGGCAACCAAGCGTAAGTGTCCCGTTCTGCTCTCTCGAAGGCAATATTCATTTCCGATTCATTTCCGAATGTTTGTCGCTGCAGGAGGTAACCATTCCGGAGGAGGAAGAGCTCTCCAATGAAAGCCAGACGGATGAAACCAAGGCAGAGCAACTGAATACGGAAGGGCATCGCAGCAAGGTGCCCTGCATAGCCGATTGGGGTAGGATTTTGCACTTTTATCACTTTCCGCAAAACTCCTTTATTCGATTTCGATATTCCTTTCGATTTTAGTCCTGCGTCAATTCCCTACGATGAAGCGACTCTTTGGCACGCTCTCCCAGTGCTCCACGAGTACGTTCTCGATGATGACCTCTGGTGGCTTTCTGCTGCTCAAATCGAACACGGTACTGGATGATCCCCAGACAATTGCCGATGCCGTCTTCAGCCTGATGATAACACTCAGCGACAAGGCCTCCAATCCACGACTAGTAGTAGCCCCCATCTGCCAATATCTCGCAGAGAGTAAGCTTTTGTTGTCTGCCAGCCAAGTTGAACCTCTAATGATCTTTCTTCCTTCCCATCGCTTTATATTTATAGCCACCATTCAGCGAAATGCAACGCTGCCGCGGCTGCCGCTATCGGAGCCCTTCCTGTGGTACATATCCAAGGTGCTGGAGGTAACGGCAGCCGTGCAGACCTTCACCCAGCTGGGGGGCATACACATTATCTGCCACAATTTGGTGCGGCTCAACAAGACGATAATCAACATGCAGCCAGGATTGGTAAGTATCTTTCATTTGGCTTTTCGCCTCCAGCCAGTAATGAGTAGTGCACCCTTTCTATAGATCTCGCTGATTATGCAGCACATGACGCGCAATACACGCCTCAAGCTGAACACCCACATGGCCGCCAGCAGTGCCTGCAAGAAGACCACCACCAGCACGGGCGCCACATCGGCGCCTGCCACCCAGCATCCACAGCGCAGCGGTGCCCAGTACGATGGTCTCATCAATTTTGCCCCCTTCTCGCACATCGTGTCCGAGAATGATGCGGCCCAAAGTGCCGAGGTGCTCATATCAAATCCCAATGCGACGCATCGGCGTCCGCGTTCCCCGGCCTGGAGCTACATGTTCTATCCGAATGAGACGCACGTTGACCTGACCATCACGCTGCCCACGGCGATTCTGCTGAAGGAAGTGCAGCTGGTGCCGCACACCTCCAATCTGGCCTCCTGCCCCTCCGCAGTGGCCCTCGAACTGTCGCGAGACTATGGCGTGGGCTCCATTCCAATTGGTGCGCCCATGGCCACCACGGGACTCACCTGCATCCGGCTCAAGTTGTCCAAGGCGGAGGTGGCCACCAGCATTGTGATCAGGCTGTACAAGTGAGTAGAGGAGAACAACAGCTAAACAGCTGGAACATGGATTGATTATTGCTTTGCAGACCCAAGGATTGTGGGAATGTGGGTCTGGTGCAGATTGCCGTGCTCGGCCAGACAATATTCGGAAATCGCATGCAGGGTCTGCGCTCGCAGGGTCCGTTCATGGACTCACTGGCGTCGTGCTCGTCGCCGCTGCAAACGGCAGCCATGTCCACCATAGATGCCGATGCCATGCCGGAGGATGATGCATTTGCCAAGACCAGCATCGGCTGGGTGCGCATCCTGTCGCGATGCTTCCATGTGGCTGCCCTGCAGCCCGATACCAAGCTGGCCGACCTGATTGCCGCCTATCCGGCTGCCTATCCCGGCTTCCTGGAGGCCTGCTGCTCGCTGCTGAACATCATGCCAATGATACCGAGCCTGGCCCAGCAGCATCTGGAGACTATACTGCTCAAGCTGGGCGCCTACAATCACGAGCTCAGTCTGCAGCTGCTGCGAACGCTGCTGTGGCACACCACGCCCCAGGGTGAGTCTCTCTATCACTGCATTCATTGACCATTGACTTATCCTCTAACAAAATCTTTCTGTGACAGTCTTTAAGCTCTCCAGCGATGCTGTGTGCGATCTCATCCACGAGGTGGTCACTGGCTCCGCGGAGCATTTGCTGGACAAGCTGCGCGTGCTCATCGACTGGATTATGCAGCTGCACGACAACTACAGCAAGCAGGCGCGCTGCAATAATCCTCAGAGTGGGTTCGTCAAGGTCATTGCCTCGATCCTGTGGCGGGTGCAGCTCCAGTATCAGCTGCCAGAGCTGCCGCAGCTTGTGTCCTCGTCGCTGTTTGAGACCTGCTTCGAATGGGTGTCTGTCCTGGAGCAAGATGAGCCCCTCAAGAGCAGCTTCGATTCGCTGCTCTGTGCGTTGTGTTTCATCAAGCCGGAGCTGTTCAATCAGCTGCTGGTGAAGCTGGGAGTGAAGCTGGAGCCGCCAGCTCGTGGCCAGACCGACGACAGCAAGGTGCAGAGCGGCAGCGCCTGGTTCCGTCGCGAGGGCAGTGAGAATCTCACGGTTCTCCTCGAACGTCCCACATTCCTGAAAACTCTGGCCCTCGCCTGCCAGTCCCCGGCGGCTGTCTATCAAATGCTGGACTCTGGACTGCCCAAGCTGCTGGCCCACGCCGTCTACGAGTACTGCACTCACCTGCTGGCGGGCTTGGAGCAGCAAGAAGCTCCTCCCTCAGCTTCAGCTACAGCTCCAGCTCCAGCTGAGGCAGCGGCACCAACTGATGGCCAGCAGGGCTCGTCTCTTACCGACTTTGACAAGGCGGAGGCGCCCCCAGGTGCCAACCACAACAGCCCCCCCAACACTCCGCTGCTGAGCAGCTCGGTTGTGCCCAAAGTGCTGGACTTCTTTGCCGAGTGCTGCGCGGAGGGACCCATGCGCAACTGGCTGGGTACGATGCAGGGCTCCGTGTTCTGGAAGCCGCTGCTGCAGCTCCTGTGCCACACGCACTCGTCGCAGTTCAGCAAGACGCTGCCCATGCAGCAGTCGTTCATTCGCCTGGAGCGCTCCACCATCAACTTCCTGACGCGCGTGAGTGCCTGCCATCCCGAGAACCAGGAAGTGCTCACCTCCCTCCTCATCGGAGCCATCATCTGCAAGCCGCTGCGGTCTGTGCACGGCACTCGCCCGACCATTTCCGGCTTCACGCGGCAGCTGGTGTTGCAGCTGCTGCTGGAGAACGAGCACATCACCGTCGCCGTTCGCAGCCAGCATCCGCTGCAGCGGCGGGATACTCTGTCCACCATCATGGGTGGTGGTGGCGGTGGTGGGGCTGCGGCTTCGAACTGCGGCACCAGCACCAGCCTGCCGGTGGCGGCAGTCAACAATCATCCGGCCAAGCGCAGCAGTGCCCACGACATGCTCTTCAATGTGACCACGAGCACGACCTGCCAGGAGATTCTCATGAATTGCGTTAGTGGTGAGTCCACTCGTCCTTCTGGCCCTGTAACTGGAATCTCTTTTATGTTTTGTGCATTTGATTACTTAATTTGATTTTTATTTATTTATGGCACCTCCCTCCCACCCTCTAGTGTATAGTAACTTAGTGTACAAACCACCAACAGATCCGCGCGCTGGCGAGCCCTCCGGCAGTGGCACAGCAGGTACCACAGTTGCCGCGGGAGCTGGTGGCAAATTCATCAATCCCAAGCAGGACAAGAACTGGGACAAGAATTGCTACATCAACCTGAGCAATGTGGATCTGAGCAGCCTCGAGTTCCTGAGCGTGGGTGCCGCTGTGGCGGCCAAGGACAAACGCATCAAGGATGCCAAGAACATACTGGCCGCCGTTAACAAGGACAAAGAGACGCAGACAACCAACGCGGCTGCCAGTAAGTCACCAAATCGGTTTACCACCTTACCAACGACCTTATTATGGTTTATGCTACCTTTTTTAGATGTATTCAATGTCGAAGAGTTTCTGCTGCCATCGAATGTGGCCAAGAAAAATCAGCTGGTCGTTCCGGACTATCCCAATGTAGTGCTCTCTGGTGATGCCACAATCTCTCAGGTGCTGGCCACACTGGAGGCTGCCGGCCACTCGCTGGCCATACCGTGTCTGACCCTGGATCTGGTGCCCCTGCCGCACGGAGACGAGACCATCGATGACAAGAAGACAAAGGCAGCCTGCACAGAGCCGCTGCCATCGCCGCTGCAACGCTTCTCCAGCAATGGTGGCCTCTCCCTGTTGGCCCACTATCTGCCCACGGTGTATCCGGAGCACTCGGGTCGCAAGACCGTAATGGTGGTCACTGAAAAGGAAAAGAGTCCACCGCTAGCGGACTGGGTGAAGCTGGAGCCAAACGATGAGATATACGAGGATCTGGAGGACACCATTTGCGAGCCAGTGGCCAAGCAGACGCCCGTCAGCTCAGTGCCACAACATTCGCTGGCCGCCTTTGGACTGTTCCTTCGTTTACCTGCCTACTCGGAGGTTCTGCTGAGGGACAAGTTGCGGGCCCAGTGCCTGCTGCGTTTGGTGTTGGGTGTTACAGGCGACGGCGAGGGCAGTGAGTATTATTTGAATCAAAGAAATATCTCGGAAGGTTATGGCATTTTCTCTCTCTCTCTCCTAGATGACATCTACAGCCTCTCGTTGGCGCCATCGCTGCCCACGCTGCCCTTTGAGGTCTTCCGCCAGCTGCTCGACACTGTGCCGTTGTCTACCGATGATGGAATGCTGCTCCGCCGCGTGGTCATCGAGGTGGGGGCCATGCATCTCGTGCTCAATTGTCTGGGCATCTTTTCGCATCAGTCGCACAACAACAGGATTGGAGCACCGATCAACCAGCCCTCACCCAGTGGCAGTGGCAGTGCCAGTGTAGGTGGCACAACCACAACAACAACCACAAATGGAACTGCCGCTGGAACCAAGAGCAGTGCAGGGGATGAGCCCACGCCCAGTGGAACCTCGGATGACAAGAGCCACATGTATTGGGCCAAGGGAACGGGCTTCGGCACTGGCTCCACCACACAATCGTGGAACGTGGAGCAGGCGCTGCTGCGGCAGAAGAGCGAGGAGGAGCATGTCACCGTGCTGCTGCTCGTGCTGGCCAGCTACATCAATCCGGGCGACTGCATACCCAGCGACATGTGCGGCGAGGACATACTCGCCTATCACGATGTGCGGGACGTGACCGGGGAGCTGCCTGTCCTCTTCCAGACCCTGCTGCAGCAGTCCTGTCTGATTCCCGCCCTGAGCTCGTATCTGCGCAATGATTCCGTGCTGGACATAACTCGACACATTCCCCTGTATCGTGCCATACTGAAGCTGTTGCGTGCCCTCTCGCTGTCCAAGTCTCTCGTGTCGCTACTCCAGCCGGCGCCCAGCGCCTGCGGCGAAAGCACACCACCCATCGCGGAGCTGCTGACGAACATGAAGACCTGTGTGGACACCTATGCCAAGCGTTTAAAGTGAGTAAAAAAAACCATAGATCAATGCCCAATCGGATTACCTTACCTAATCCTTATTGCCACTGCAGAGTCAACAAGAAGTCGAACATCAAGGGTCAGACCCAACCATTGACATTCAACATTGATGATGGCGATGACGAGGGACTGGCGCTGCTCATACCGGACATACAGGAGACGAGTGTGCTGGTGCAGAAGACCACCGATGCCGATGCTCTGATCAACATGCAGAGCAGCAGCGTGGATGGCAGCGGCCAGCTGGAACGTCCCCTCAGCAAGTCGATCGAACAGCGCTATCTGGAGATGATGAAGAAGCGGCAGTTCGACACGTTCGACATGATTGTGGAGTCGGAGAACAACAGCTTTCGGTTCGTGGTGTCGCATCATTTTGAGAAAATGGTGCGACTGGCGGGCGATCGCTATCATCCGTCGCGTGTGAAGCGGCTGGCCCAAGAAGCGGTCACACTGTCCACTAGCCTGCCTCTGAGCTATAGTAGCTCTGTATTTGTGCGCTGTGATACTGACAGATTGGATGTCATGAAGGTAAGAAGAGCATTCCCCTCCCCTCAACCAGAAAATACTCATTACGATAATGTATCTGTGTAGGTGCTAATAACTGGGCCATCGGACACACCGTATGCCAATGGATGCTTCGAGTTCGATGTCTTCTTTCCGCCAGACTATCCCAATCTGCCCATGCTCATCAATTTGGAGACGACTGGCCGCCATTCGGTGCGCTTCAATCCCAATCTCTACAACGATGGCAAAGTTTGTCTGTCTGTGCTGAACACCTGGCATGGCCGTCCCGAGGAGAAGTGGAATGCGCAGACCTCGAGTTTCCTGCAGGTGCTCGTCTCCATTCAATCGCTGATCCTTGTCCCAGAGCCGTACTTCAATGAGCCCGGCTTTGAGCGCAGTCGTGGGACGCCTAGTGGCACCAACTCGTCGCGGGAGTACAATAGCAACATCTATCAGGCCTGCGTACGCTGGGCCATGCTCGAACAGATACGCAATCCGAGTCCCTGTTTCAAAGACGTAAGCTCTCATTCTCTCTCTCTCTCTGTATGTGCAATGCTGTAATCTCTTTTCCTAACCGAACTCATTTGACAGGTCATACACAAACATTTCTGGATGAAGCGCGAGGAGGTCTGCACACAGATCGAGGGCTGGATTGAGGAGCTCAGTAAGCCGCAGTATACAGAGCGGGCCAGCCGCACCATATCGTTCAACTCGATGGTTCTGCGTCGACATTATCGTCATTTGCGCGAGGAGCTGGCCAAGTTGAAGCCGCCACGAGGACTGGAGGATCTGGATGCACCATTCAATCCTGTTGCCACGCTGCCCCCAATGGATGTATCCACGGCGCCAGTTGTCCCAGCCACAGCAAATGCCCAGGTGGGAACGGATGATCCTATAGTTCCGGAACTGAATCTACTGACGGATGATGGGGACGACAGCGACAATGGGCCTTGCATCCTGGATCCAGTATCTGGCGTCCTCAAGGGCGTCGAGGAGGTGGTTGAAATTTTGAGTGATACCGAGAACGAGAGCAGTGCGTGGCAGGAGAAGGAAGAGGAGGAGGAGGAAGGCGATGCCGACGCTGACGGCGATGCCGATGGCGATGGCGAGGAAGAATAAGATCAGCTGCCCAATGGAAATGATAGTGATGCCCTAGGTTATGGCATTTCCCCTGCAGCTGTGTCTCCTGCCCCACCTCTGACCTTTTTGGCCCTGACTGCCACTGCTCAGACACTGGACACCTTTATTTAAACACTATAATTTTTGTTTTACGCCATTAGTTGTTTTATTTGTAAGAGAGAGACTGCAACAGAACTTGGTGTGCTTTACTTAAAGGAACCGTAATGATTAATGTTAAAAGAAGAAAAACAAACCTATGATAATGATCTTCAAGAATAAGCAGCAGATACACTTGCATCCCCACACACATCGCCACACACTCGTGCACACATACAAATGCAGAAGACACTCCCCTTGGAAATACCAGGGACTTGCGATTTCAATAGAATATATATTCCTCTCCACGCCACTCCACTCCACTCTGCATATACCTTTGTATCGGAGAATAATGTACCGAATACACTGTACTTTTTATAAATGCTTATACTACAATACACAAACAGTTCTATCCAATTCTAGAAGAATATTCACCGGTGTGTTATAGTAGAATATAGAAGGACCCTGCGTGCGACTTGCATTGAGAATAATATCAGCACCCTCTGACAGCACACACACAACACACAAGAAAAACCACCAAACCAAAATTAAATTAATGTGTATTAAACTATGTATGTATGTGCGTAGTGATTTAGTTAAATATTTACAGATGAAGAATGTAAACGTTATTTTTCCGATTGAAATAAAACGCAGATTCAATTTTGTTTCCCCCAAAAAATATATAAAGCAAATAATCTTGTTTAATCTCTGCATTGGTATCAATGTAATAAAGCTGATGCATATGCATACACTTTTCCAGAAGATTCCCCTTCGGCTGAATTTTGTATACAACGGAGCGGTGCAGCGCCAACAGCTCAAAGTATCTAAAAGTATGCCATACAATTTGTATGTCAACATTTGTATACACTTAAGTAGGGTATTATTGAATTGGTCATATGTGTGTAACGCAACAAAGGGGAATAATGTGCTACATATAAGTGCGCTATGTACATATATATAATTTTAAGCAGCATGGATTAGGCCATTCAGTCTGGCTGATTGTCTTTCCATTTTTTATTGCTCAATTTCTCAATCTTTCAGTTTTGGACCTACTCGTATCTCAACAATATCGACCACCATATCATATAGTTGCCATAGTTTGATGATGATCTTAAGAACTGTTTTTTTTTGTATCAATTATTTACATTTGTGCAGCTACATTTTTGTACATAACTCACAAGGATTTGGGTGACATATACTGGAGTAAATAAAATTAAAAATTATACCCTTTAGAGCAAAAAGGGGCAACAGTGGTTCGACTTTGGACATAAGCTACAGACATGGCCAAATAGTTGAAAGTGAGAACGAAAGATAATTTATTTTTATCACGTTACCCAATTTTTGGGTTGCTATCTTTATAGGACACGTTTTGGCACTTTTATAGGGTAGCATTTGACTACCATAAAATAGTCTCTGCTTATCTTTGCCTCATGGCATTCTTCTGCTCGTTATCCGAGTCGTTATGAACAATCTTGGGCAGATCTTTCCATTCCGGAAAGTAAAATGGATAAATATGAAAAAGGTATAAATTTGACTAAAAAATCCCTAGATGATTCTTCTGTATTATTTTCCTTTTATTGGTTTTTGCCTTGTAAAAGTTAGCTCCGCTGAGAGAATTCGAATGCACTGCAATCAGCTGCTCTCCGATGCTTTCTGTAGCCGTTCAATTGGCGTCAATGCGCTCCCCCATCCATCCTCTCCGATCCAACTGTAAACCCGATAGAGAAATTCGACAGCTTGCTGATAGATCTTCGCCATTCCGCCAAGGCATTAAGTCGCGGGCCTTTGTCGCGAGCAGTTGTCGATTGTCGAGGCGGTATAGCACTTAAGAGAGGTTCTCCTTCTACCCCCCATACGTTCTTCTTGATTAGTTTATGGCGGGCGTAAAGTGTGACATCGCCTGATCATGGAGTTGAACAACGTTACCGTCGAGGACAGCGCCTCCGTAAGTAATAATTTTCGTCACCTGGCTAGAACCATCTCACGTGTGCGTGGGTTTATATAAGAAACTGCTATTAGCTGTCCAACGGACTCTGCACAATTGCTCTCAATTGTGGCAGCTTTTGCTCTGATACTTATCGGTTTTTGTTTTGTGCTCAATTTTTGCCTGTCTTGCCTGCCATTGGCATTGCCCATCAAATTGAGGGACATTGCTCGAGAATATAACACCAGGCAATTACAAAATCATTCAAAACTATTTGTTAATTGTTTTGTAGGGCGATAGATGGGGGGTTAAAGCAATATTCGATCCCAATTTGTCTCATTTTTGAGTGTGTCTCTCTCGGTAAAAAATGTAGAAAATTGACAGCACACTGATTTATCAACTATCCCAGCTAATCAGCTATTAATTTATGGCTTGATTAAAACAAGATCTGAGAACAAACCAGCATCTCAGCATCCCCTGGACTGATACTCACGCTCAATTAATCACGATTGCCGACCGACGCTGTCAGTCAAACTCGGACTACGATGAAAGCCCTCGCCTCTTGGGACTCTTTTGAGCCATAAACTCATGCAAATGAATGCAAGAATTTAATTGTGATGCTCATAAATAAAACAGTAAAACAGTAAAACTTCCCCGCCAAGTATACGGGGTATGAAATTAAAATTGCCTGATACATACTAGTACTCCATAGCAGAGATGCCTAATTAACATAAGTAAATAGATATTCGCATTAATAAGATATAATTATAGTATGTGGTTACATCAATTTACAGGGGGATGCGCACAATCGATCACCGCACAATCGTGCGCCTCCGATGGGAGCTGCATCCACACCCACACCCACACATGCCGAGAGATCCAAGCCAAAGCTGCTTTATGCCATCAACGACAATCCGCCCTGGTATCTGAGCATATTCCTCGCATTCCAGCACTATCTGACAATGATTGGCGCCATTGTCTCCATACCGTTCATACTGACGCCGGCGCTGTGCATGTCCGACGAGGATGCGAATCGTGGCATCATCATATCCACCATGATCTTCGTCACGGGCATCGTGACCTACTTTCAGGCGACGTGGGGCGTGCGCCTGCCTATTGTTCAGGGCGGCACCATCTCGTTTCTGGTGCCGACGCTCGCCATTCTCGCCCTGCCCCAGTGGAAGTGTCCGCCCCAGGCCGAGATGGATGCCATGCCCGAGGAGGAGCGGCTGGAGCTGTGGCAAGTGCGTATGCGTGAGCTATCAGGCGCCATCGCTGTGTCCGCCATGGTCCAAGTCATTCTGGGCTACACGGGTCTGGTGGGCAAGATCCTCAAGTATGTCACCCCGCTGACAATTGTGCCCACTGTGTCGCTGGTGGGACTGACGCTATTCGAGCATGCGGCGGACACGGCTTCCAAGCACTGGGGCATAGCCGTCGGGTGAGTATTCCGAGATCTTTGACTGCCCTGCCTCCTATTTACTTATCCATCACCCATGCAGCACCACGGGCATGCTGACGCTCTTCTCGCAGATAATGTCCGATGTGTCCGTGCCCGTGGTGGCCTACCGCAAGGGTCACGGCTTCGAGCTGCGCAAGTTCCAGCTGTTTCGCCTCTTCCCAGTGCTGCTCACCATCATGATCATGTGGGGCCTGTGCGGCATCCTGACAGCCACCGATGTCTTCCCACCGTCGCATCCCTCACGCACAGATGTCCGGCTGAATGTCCTGACCAGCGCCAAGTGGTTCTATGTGCCGTATCCGGGCCAGTTCGGCTGGCCATCGGTCACGCTGTCAGGGGTGCTGGGCATGCTCGCCGGCGTGCTGGCCTGTACGGTGGAATCGCTGAGCTATTACCCGACAGTGTCGCAGATGTCGGGCGCCCACGCGCCACCGCTGCATGCCATCAATCGAGGCATCGGCACTGAGGGACTGGGCACTGTCCTGGCCGGACTCTGGGGTGCTGGCAACGGAACGAATACGTTCGGAGAGAACGTCGGCGCCATCGGAGTGACCAAGGTTGGTACAGCGACGCACGTGGCTGCTGGCGCTTGACTTCTCCACTGATGCATTTCTTCGGCTTTCCAGATTGGTTCACGTCGCGTCATCCAGTGGGCGGCTCTGATAATGGTCCTCCAGGGAGTTATTGGCAAGTTTGGGGCCATCTTCATTCTCATTCCCGATTCGGTGGTGGGCGGAATATTCTGCGTGATGTTCGGCATGATCATTGCCTTTGGCCTGTCCACGCTGCAGTATGTGGATCTGCGTTCGTCGCGGAACCTGTACATCCTTGGCCTGTCCATTTTCTTTCCCATGGTTCTGTGCCGCTGGATGCAGGATCATCCCGGTGCCATTGACACCGGCAACGAGACAGTTGACTCGACACTATCCGTGCTGCTGGGCACAACCATTTTGGTGGGCGGTGTCCTTGGCTGCTTTCTGGACAACGTCATACCGGGCACACCGGCCGAACGCGGGCTCATCGAGTGGGCCAACGAGATGCCGCTGGGCGATGACAACATCAATGACGGCACTGCCACCGACTATGACTTCCCCTGTGGCATGGATACCATACGCAGCTGGAAGTGGACCTACTACATACCCTTCATGCCCACCTACAAGCTGCAGAAGCAGAGCTGATTGTACCCATTACCGATCTGGCATCGAGCGATGGGAACTTCCACAGAATTATCAATGCAAAATTCCATTTGTAATTCAGTGTTTTTTTTTTTATTATTCATTTATAGAAAACGCTGTTCGCTGTTCTCTCATGCCCTAATTACAATTTGAACACATCCAATTCGGAGTCTACCCAAAAACGAGCTAAAGATTTTAAGTATTTTTTGTTTTGTTTTTAAATTCGCTTATTGTTTGATTTGTTACTACGTTTTACTGTTACTGTACGCTCTCCTCACCGCCTTTGCTCACAGTTTTCATATTTTCTATTATTTCGCAATAACATCAATAGACCTAGCAAAACGAAAGACTCCCAATTAGCCCCAATTAAACACTATTCAAATCTCGGAAAACCATCCATAATCAGTTCGTTCTGTATATACTCGTGATGCACAATAAAATAAGTGTTAAAATTATTTTGTAGAAATTTTAACGCATTTACGGCGCGAGGCTTTTCACCTTCTTCTACTCCTCCTCCTCCTCCACAAAAATAGCATAGAAAATACATATACAATATATTTGTGAAACATATCCATTATTCCCTTTCCCCCCTCTCTCTCTCTCTCTCTCTCACTGTCTCTTGTCTATCCATTCACACTTATAGTTAAAATCAACGTGTTATACGGCTATGGCTAAATCTAAAACCGTCGAGGAACCAAGGCACAATCATTTGAAAATCGTTTACAAGTCACACGATCTATTTGTGAAACTCCGCTATATCCGAACTACAACAAACCTACGACTAATAGCAGCGTCCAAGGTTAGGAGGCACTGCCCTCTAGATTATAACTTTTGGCTATATCAAAAAATTATCAAAAATTCTCTACAACTAAGTGGATGCACGTTCGCAAAGAGTCTAGAACTTGTTGTGCTCATTATGTGGATTATGGTTATGATGATGGGCAGCAGACTGGGTCTGGGTCTGGGTCTGGCACTGGGCAGGCTGTAGCTGTAGCTGCAGCTGTTGCTGTTTCTTGTTGCCGGCACTGCTGGCGCGCGAGGATGAGGCCGATACCGACGAGGAGGCAGTTGTGTTGGGCGGCGTGCTCATGGCCTGGCCACTTCCATGCCCCGTTGCGTGCTGCTGGCCGGGACTGGCCTTTTTCCGTTTGGAGTAGTAGCAGAAAATGCAGAAGCCATTCTGCGGTGTGGTACATCAAATGTTTGTCGGACTGCGCGTCGCCGAAGAAGTGCGGTAACGAGATCCGGACCTGCAACAGGCCCACAAGAAACGTCAATGGGGAACAATCGAAATGTGGGGCTAAACTTACCGTGAAATGCTGGAGGTATAGTCCCGCACAGGAGTGCGTGCTTCTCTTCTCTGATAGGCGCTGCTGCCAGCAGCACTGCTGCTGCTGGTTGTTGGTGGCTCGAGCAGCGACATCGTCCGATGATCGTACGGCCGAATGGAACGTCGCCCCAGGGTGGCATAGCCATCCAGATGGCTGCTGCCGGCGGCACTGCTGCTGCTGGCCGTTGGCAGGCTGCCGTTCAGCGTGTAGGAGGAGCGCCGCTTGGGATTGTAGGTATTGTAGTAGCCACTGGCGATGGCACCGTTGCTTGGACTCGAACTGGAGGAGCTCTTGTACCGCATGGGCACCGAGCTGTAGTCGTGCACCTCGTACCGCTTGCTGAGGAACGACGGCGAGGTGTTGCGTATGTCGTTGAGGCTCTTGCGCGGCTTGCTCGTGGCCCCCCCGCCCGACGAGGAGGTGGAGTAGTCCAGCGGCGAGCGGTACATGGGCGGCTTCAGTTCCGTGCCCACGGGACTCAGCTTTAGTGGCCTGAAGAACTGCTGGGCAATGTCCGGGGAGTGGGCACGCGGCTCCACCTCCGCCACATGCAACTTGTGGCTGGAGCGAGCCTTGACCGCCGCCTGCTGCTCCCTGTAGTAGTCACGCACCGCCGAGGGACCCACAATGCTGCTGGTGCGACGCGGCTTCTTCTGCTCGTTGAAGCGGCTGTAGAAGCTGCGCCGCTTGATGCGATCGATGACGCTCTCGTTGGGATCGGAGCTCTCCGAGCAGCGCGTGGGCGAGGAGAGCGAGGCACGCGACAGGCGCGACACTGTGGGCGAGGGCGTCGCGTGCAGCATGTAGTTGTCCTCGGAGCAGATCGACCAGTTGTCAAAGTACAGCTCCGGCTCCTCGGTGGGCGACAGGAACGTGGAGGTGGAGGCGCAGTCATCCTGGTAGCTGCGCGAGTCCGATGAGTAGTTGGCAATGTTCTCGAAGGAGGGCGTCAGCAGCGGATTGTTCCGGTTGATCTCGTGCGCCGACGAGGTGCGGTAGCCCGACGTCTGCGAGCTGCAGTTGTTGTTGGTGTTCGTGGAGTTGTTGTTGGTGACATTCTCCACGGACTGCTGGCTGGAGCTGTTGTTCGAGGAGGCGCTCTTCACGGCACCCGGATACGGTGGCAGATTCGAGTACAGTCCCATCCCCCCGTTGCCATTGATCAGCGCCGGATTGGTCTTGCTTCCCCGATAGCTGCTGCCACTTGTGGTGGTTGTGGCTGTAGTCACGGCACTCGCCCCACTGGCCCCACTGGCCCCCTGGGCACCGGCCAGATCCAACATCAGACCTTTGCGCTTCTCCTTGATGCTCGGTGTGGCGTGGCTGCTGCTGTTGCTGCTGCTGTTGGGCTTCATGGCCTGTCCCTGGTTCTGTCTGCAGTCCGGACAGGCCGTCTCGCAGTTGCAGTTCTCCTCGCTGGCCGGCGGAGCGGTTGGCTTGGCCTTCACCACATTCTGGTAGATGGGCGATGTCGGCAGCAGGGCATCCTGCTCCTCGCGCACCTGTCGCTCAATGTTGCTGGTGGATCGAGTGTTCCGCACACGCCGCTGTTCGCTGCTCTCCCGATCGAAGCGGCGGAGCAGTCCGCCGAACATCTTGTTGACAGCGCCACTCTGCTTGCCACTGCCCGCTTCCGTGTCCCCTGCGTGCAGCTCTTCCACGCTAGCCGCTCGCTTGGGACTCGCCCTGGAGCTGGACTGGGAGCGGCGCGGCACAGAACGCTCCCGGAGCGAGCGCAGCATGCTGTCGAAGCGCGACCGTTTGTCCACTCGCTTGTCCTCGGCCGGCAGCTCGATGGATTTCTCTGGCTCCAGAGATTTCTTCTTGCGCATCAGCGTCACCTTCTCGGGTGAGCTGCGCTCCTCGGGCGAGCCCTGCTTCTGGGTGCAGGCCAAGGCTGTGGCTGTTGCTGTGGCCCCACCGGCTGTGGCCGTCTTCTTGTCCTTGCTCATGGCCGAGTCTCGCAGCTTTTCGAACTTCTGGCCCAGGGCGTAGAGTAGGCCCTTGCTGGGCTTCTTCTCCGGCGACTTCTCCTTCGACTTGATCACCGGACTCGACTCCTTGGAGCTGTCTGCGGGTGTGGTTGTGGCCGTGGTGTTCGTGGTTGTTGCGGCTGAGGGCGACGTGGCTGGCGTCACTGGCGTTGGTGGCACCAGCTTGGATTTCTTGGACACTTTGACGATCTTCTTGATGGTCGTGGGTCGCGAGTCGCTTGAGGAGGAGGCCGTGTCGATCACGTTACTCATGGTGCCGGTGGGCGTGGCCGAAAGGGATTTCTCTTCCGACGTGGACTTGGAGCTGACGGGCGTGCCAGTGGCAGAGGCAGCTGCCGCGGTATCTGGCGTCGCCTCCGCAATGCTGGGAATGGCCACGCCACTGCGCGTCACCTTTCGCAGTTCCTTGGGCGTGGCCAGCTTGGTGGCCGGATAGCTCTTGGGACGCATCAGGCGACTCTCGCGGGGCGCACTCTCTCCAGCCTGTGATTCGTTGTTGCCCACCGCAGACGGCAGCTTGCTGGGCAGTTTGCTGGGCAGGGCCGAGGCAGAGGCGGAGGGTTCGGGCAGCTCCGTTGGCGACTTGAGGCTCAGACCAAGGTCCTTCATGGGGTAGGACTTGGGACGCTTCAGCCTGGTCTCCTTGGGCGTGCAGCCAGGCACGGGTATCTCTGTGGCTGCTGTCTCCGTGCCGGGCGTCTTAAGCTCGTCTGTCTTCCTGGACACCTTCTTCACCTTGCGCACCAGCGTCGTCGTAGTCGTTGTTGTTGTCGTCGAGAGTTTGGTGGCTTCCGCATCATTGGAGTTGGCGGTTTCCTTGGGCTTCACCTTCTTCACCTTACGGATGGTGGAGGTCTCCTCTGTCTTGTCCGTCTGCCCATCGGGCATCTGTCCCTGCTCGTGCTGGGTGCGCACGGCGGAGAGCAGCTGCAGCTCCTGAAGTATCTTGTCTGCCAGCTCATGCTTGTCCAGATCGGTTTCCAGTTCGCGTGGCCTGGACACACTGCGTTGACGGAGTCCCGAGCGCTTGCCGGAGGCATCCTGTGCCGTCTGCCCTGCCTGTTGGGCATCTGGGAGCAGTTCCACGCTCTTGTTGCGCGTGTGACGCATCGATGACCTGACTGGCCCCGGCTCCAGTGCGGGCAGCTGATCAGCCTGCTCCACGTTGGGCAGACTGTGCTTGCGTCGCCGCTGATCCGCCTGCTCCGTGCGTTCGCTGGACTTCTCGCGTATCTCCCGCAGCATGTTCTGGGTCTCGCGGTCGCGCGGATCGTCGAAGAAGTCGGGCCGCAGAAAGCGTGAGATTCGACGCTGCGAGGAGCGTCCGCGCAGCGAACTGCTGCCCTCGGCCGCTGCTGCCACACTCGGCGGCAGTGCACCGTTCGGCGGTGGTGACAGGCAGCCACTGGGCGGACGCCCCAGGCCAGCGCTATAACGCTTTTCCGGCACCTCCTTCGTCGTCGCCGTTGTCGAGGTCGCTCCATTGCTGGACTTGCTCAAGTAGGGCGAGTAGTACTTGTACTTGTCGCTGATGTCGCTGGTGTAGCTGCTGCTGCAGAGCGAGGACTTGCCGTAGTCATCCCGACACACGCTGCTGCTGCGACTCTTGCTGGTCGTAGTCGACAACGTCGCTGGCTGTGCTCCAGCTCCAGCGCCAGTTGTTCCCTCCTGGCTGGTCTGTGTCTGGGTCAGAGCCTGGCTGCGGCTCAGGCTGCGTCGATAGATGGCCGTACTGGCCGCCGTTGTCTTTGGTGCATCGGTGAGGGGCTTGGGCTTGAAGTCCTCCTCCTCCGGCTGATCTGGCAAGTAGCCGCGGCCACCGCTCTGGCTGCGCTTGTAGAGCTTCGGGGTGACGGCGCTGCTGGGGGCACTGGTCTGCACGCTCAGTGTGCGGGACAGTTTGCGGGCTTGGGTGGGCGGCAGCTTGGCTAGCAGCTGCTCCTGAAAGCACTTGGGCAGCCCAGGCGTAATGCTGGACAGGGTTTCGAGATCCTTCTTGCTGAGCCGCAGGCGCGAGAGATCCAGGTCGGCCAGGTCCAAAGGTTCCTCAGAGGTGCCGCCTGCTGCTGCTGCTGTTGCTGCACTTCCTGTTGTTGTTGGGGCTACCGCTACCTTCTCCACGTGTGCTGGCGCCGAGCTGGGCTTGCTGGCGCTGCCCTTGCCCTGGTGGTGACCTGCGGGAAGATTGAAAGAGTGGAAAGGTCATGGATGAACATCGAGGGCACTTGTCCGGCGGCTGACTGCGAGAACGATTTAGTGGCTTCGATTAGTGGTGCACTTACTTGTCGACTGCTGGATATCGAGTGTTAGGGATCTACTTACAGCGCATCCAGCGACTGACTGCTCCGCTCCGGTTGCAGGGCCCAGTAACCTGTAAACGTTTTGTGTCTTGTTTTGGCAACCAAAAGAACTCGTTCTCGACGACGGACTATGTAGATTCGAAACACTGAACAAACAAACTGGCAGGCGGATTTAACGAATTACAACAAGGATTAGGAGGACACGTGCAGGACACATACGGGGCGGGCGGGCGTTTGGTTGTGCCCAATAAACAAATGCTCAACAATTTTAATTTCATGTTTTATTTCAGTGTCTATAAAAATAGTGTCTTTCATATGTTGTCTGGATGTGTGTGTGTTTGGTAATGTGTGTTGTGCAAGTGTTTAGTTTTTTTTTCAGTTTTTTTCAGTTTTAAAATATTAATTATTAATTTTTGTTTAGTATAATGACTTAATTGGTAGGCTTGAAGCGCTCTTGCCCCAAAGGAATGCATTTCTTGAGTTGGATTCAGTTAGATTGAGTAAATGACTGGAAGTTGTAGGCCCTGCTCCCTCGAGCAGGCTATCAAATAATTGTCTAACATTTAAAATTATACAATAGTTAAAGAAATAACAAATATAATCACAAAGCGTCGCGTTCTAAGTATATTATGAAACTTCCCATTGAAGGTGACAAAATCAAATGGTTCAAATTTAATCCGAGCATGTTCAGGAATTTCGATTGCTGGCTTTCGACTTTAATTAAAAGTTTTGTCCCCCCCTCCAACTGCTTGTTGTTTCCAGTGCCGTTGGCTCCAAAAAGGAAATACAAACAATTTTGTTAAACAATAAAACAAATGTGTAAATCGAATTGGGAAACATAAAAGAGTTGAATAATTTGTGCCAGGTTCTGGTGCCACCAAAACAACAACAACACCCACTGCAAAGCGCTCCACAGCTGCACCCATCCCCCCATCCACGGCCAGCAACAACACCCACACTACCATCCACTGAGTCCACCCACAGCCAGCAATGGGCAGAGCAGAGCAGAGCTGCCATAGCTTTATGGCTTCTTGGGGCTTCTTGTGGTTGCTGTCGTGGTGGCGTTGTTGCTGGTGATGGGACTGCTGTTGTTGTTGGTGGTGGTGGTGGTGGTGGTGGTGCTGCTGCTGCTACTGATGGCTTTTGCCCGCTGGGGTGTTGGGGTTGCAGTGGCTGTTGCTTGAATGGTGGCCTGGATGGTAGTGGCTGCTTGTCTGATTTGCTGCTGCCGTTTGCTGCCGCAGTTGTTGCTGGAGGTGGTGGTGGTTATGGTTAGCTGCGACGGAGTGCTGGGCCCGGCACCGGCCACGGCAACGGCCACCGTCTTGGTTGTGGCAATTATGGCGGGATGCGTTTTGGTGGCAGTGGCAGTGGCAGTAGCAGTGGCTGTGGCGGTGACGGTGGCGGTACTGAACGGACTCTGGTTAATGGTTATAACATGCTTTGTGGGCGTGGTAGTAGTTAAAGTAGTTAAACCAACTGCAAACGAAAGTAAGTACGAAATTGTGTGTAAACGGCCAATAATAAAATTATCACTCAAAATCATTAGGGTAAGTTTTATGCGGCGCACTAACAGATACAGCAGATACAGATGCAGATACGGAACTACGGCTCTACGGTTTTACGTTCTGCATCGACTACGGGCTAAGGCTTGTTTGTTGGATGATGGTTTGAACATGAGATTGGGGTTTGGGTTTTGGGGGGTTAGGGCTGGTTCTACGGAATGATGATGAACGAAACAAGTTCGATTAGTAGCTGAGATAATTTTCACTTCTGTACAAGTATTATCGTATTCAAAGTTTTGGACATTTTTTCATCGACATTTTGCATTTGGCATTTTGATTACAACGATTATTATTATTTTTTGTTGTTCGTTTTTGTGTTTTAAAGATCGTTTCGTGGCGCTCTCTTTCACATCAATTAATATGTACATGGTTGGAAAAAAAAGCCCAGAACTCAGAAATTTGTTTTTGGTTTTTCGGTTTTAACACAGATTGTTTTTAGAGCCAAGTTAGTGGTGGTTGGTTGGTTTCTATTTTGTAGTTTTTGGTTTTTTTTTGTAGTTTTTTTTGGTCTAGTAGCTTTGGCTTTTTGGCGGTTTTGAACAGCGTGGACATAGTAGACTACATTGAGAAGCTTTTTGAGTGGTTTTGGTGTTTGGCTTTTTGTGCGCATGTAGTTGTAATTGGCATATGCGTATGGGTTTGTGTGTGTGTGCGTGTGAGCTTAGTGGTGTTAAACAAATTAATTTCTTGTACAACACAAATTTTTTTTTGGTTTAATTTCGGTTTCTTAATTTTTGGTTTAATCTTGTTTGTAACTAATAAAACAAACACATTAAAAAGAAGAAAACTGGGAAACTCAACTTGAAACTTGGATAATTTCGTTTTGATTATTAATTAATTTTTTGTGTGTGTGAATTTTTTTTTTTAGGGGTTAGCGCATTAGAAAAGTTTTTAATTTCTATTTTGCTTGATTTTTTTTATTTTATTTTGGGTGTGTTGTATGACAGGAATTGGAGTACGATTACGAGTATATATAACTGGTAAAAACTAAAACAAATTTAAGGTAGCGGGGCCATTTGCATAAGAAAAATAACTGTACAACAATCAATTTACCAAAGGAAATATACGAGAGTGTATTTTCATAGAAATTCTTTTGGTTGCGAAAACAAAATCTCTGTGGTCCACAACCACACAAATCAAATAACAACGAAAAAAACAACATTTTTTTTTTGTATTATTTTATAAGATTTTGTTCTTTGTTTTGTCGGTTACAACAAAAGTATTGCAATCTTTATTGTCCTCTAGATGGTTCTCACTGCAAAATGTAGTAAATTTATTAGGTGTTTTGTTTCATTTGCTTTAGTTTATTTGATGGTCGTTAAGATTAAGTACAATTTCCTCGAATCAACATCATCATCCATTAACAATTTTTCTTTTTTTTCGAATAACATTTGGGTCTGACGGAGGGGCGGGGCAGGTCGTACATTTCTCTACACAGGAGGATAACGGAGTATATATCCTTGAGCGTATCAATATATTCTATGTATGTATGTATCTAACAGGTATACAGAACTTTGAATACGATTTCATTTCACATTATTGACTTAACAAATTTGTTTCTTTTTTCTTTTCTTTTCTTTTTGTTTTGTTTTCATTAAATAGTTTTGTTTGTAGCTTCATTTTCATCATCATTGCATGAGAGAGCGCGGTACATAATCATAATAATCATTGAAAGGCAAATCATAAAAGGTGGAAGGGGGGGCAAATAATAAGTGGTGCATGGGTTAGGAGAAGAGAACGATTAGGGGCACGTCTTGGGGGGTTGGCTTGGTTGGTTCTTTGTTGAGCAATAAATACGAGTACGAGTATGTAATTGTGGGCTACACACATAAACCAATCGTTCGAAAAGCATCAGCGGCATTAAGGATTAATAACAAAAGATTTGTGCTCTAGGACAGACAGCAGATTGATATAAATTTCACTTGATAGAGCGATAGATAGATAGATATAGAGTGAATATAGTAGAATATAGAGATGGTAGAATTATGCTATTAAAAACTGTGCGCGCACACAAAACAGAAACTAAAAAAAAAATAAATATATATAAATGTATGTGTAATATATTCATATCATTTTCAACAGAATTAACGTTTTGTCATTGTTTAAGTATTAATTGGCATTTTCACTTGATAATTACAGTAGACACTTAATTAATAATTATTGTGTTGCTTGTTGGTTTTGTGTGTTTCATTGCTGTTGCTGTTGCTGTTGTTTCTGGTTTTGAGGGGTTTTCAGGCTGCACATTATATGATTTTACTATACGGTTTTACGATTTACGGTTTATGGTTTAGACTATTTAGAGATATTGATTGGATCTGTATTCAATTTGTTTTGGTTTCTTTTTTGCGTTTAGCAAACATCAAAAAACTACTAGAAATATGTATATAGGCATAGGTATACGAATATGTAAATGTAGATATAGTAGATATAGATGTAGGCATAGGTAGATTGAAATTGAAATAAACTCTTATTTACGTAGCATACTCTGCAGAACATTTCTATAGATTTATCTGATGTCTGGACAGCCAGTTTCTGAATCAGAATTCAACATTCAGATTCATCTTTCGGCTCTCTCTTTTGTTTGTTCTTTGTTCTTTCTGTTTTCTGTTTTCGGTTTACTTTTCCTGTTTCGACTGTCTCCACTACTGATCTAGGTATTTACTCTTTAATCTGTGATATTCACCTCTTGGCAACGTGGCGCCAGTGCGCGAGAACATCGATTCCATGTCGCTGCCCAGGTCCCGGGACATGCTGTGGCGCCAGGGTGCGCCCAGGCCAACGCTGTTGCTGCCACTGTTCAGGCGGCTGTGGGGAAGAGAGGGGGAAAAAACAAGTCAAACAAGTGCACTATGAACCCCATCTTCCCACCTAGAGGACGACACGTATAGCCGAGGGACTTGCACATTACATGGAGCCCACTTACAGGCAGCATTTGTGGCCGCACGGCCACGAGCCCAGCCAGCGGCGTAGCCGTGCCGCCGTAATGTTCAAGGCCCCCAGCCAGCGCTCCCCGCACCTGAAAGCAGGAGCAGGCGTGACAGCAGCCAAATATTATTTTGTATGGATTGCGGATTAATGGTGTAGAGCAGGAGATGTTGCAAGCTTGTTGGCATCCCACAGTGCGTTTCACAATAATAATAATAGTTACACGATCCATGGATAATGGAATGTACATAGTTATTATATATTAGAATTACCAGGAATTACACCTAGAGAATAAAAGCCAAGAAACTTTAATATTTACACTTAAATTCAAAAATGTATAGCAATAGATTTGACTAGAAGAGAATGGAAATTGATAAATATAAATATATTTCAGATTTAAATAAAATATTTTTATATTTCAATTATTTATATTTCCTACAAATTTAATATATTTTTACTGTATATATTTTTTTTAAATATATTTTCAAGTGTTTTTTTATTTAGATTAAATATAAAAAGTATTAAAAAATATTTTTAATACATTTATGTTTAAATGAAAGGGACTTTTATTTAATTTCCCTTTTATTTTAATTCAAAAATGAATATTCATTTAATCAATGGGTGTGCTTCTTTTCCCTAAGCCATTTTTCTCTGAGTGTACTCAAATTATTTCATAACCAGTGTGGTTTCCGTCCACTTTTAGGCGCCTTTTTGGTTGCATAACGCACTGCAGTTGCTGCAACATTCTGGTAGTTCTTGTAGAGTTCGTGTTCTTGGTGGTACTTACACTTGCTTCTTCTCGACCGTTTCGCTATAGCTACTCGTATAACTAACTTGAGATCTATGCACGCTTCGTGAATGATTAGTTTAAGCATTGGTGGATTGGTGGTGATGTTGAATTTGTTATTGTTAGATGGGAGGCAAGTGGCAAGGCAGCATGTAAGAAATGGATAACAAAATTAACAATGTTTGAGTGGTGTAAAAGCACAAATCCAAAATGGATTTGGTAGAGAAACTGAAGAGGATGCGACGCTCAGATCACATCCTACTATCCATGGGTCATAGTACTGCCACAGGAGTGGACTCTTAATCAAATCACTTTCGACTGTGACTACTCCAACAGAAGAAGGTGATGAAATTATTAACTGCAGCCACGCTGGGACACGTTTGCATAAGCTCTCTGACTGACTGACGGACTGGACTGTCTGTCTGTCCGTCTGTCCGACTGGCTGGATGGGTGGCAATCAACTTTGGATGCCACTCCACTTGTGCACAGCACAGCACACTCCACCCGCTTACTCGGACAGCACTCACCTGGCAAAGGGTGAGACGCCCTGACTCCAGAATGGACTGTGGCTCTGTGCCTGCCGCGAGATGTCCGTGAGCAGGCGACTCGAATGGCTGGGGAAACCGACTGTCAGGTCGCTGTTGACGTTGAGGCGATTCGTTAAGTTTCGCACCTGCAATATTCCGTGAATTATATAGTTTTCCATCAAACCAGGGACTAGTAGAGGTCAGAAACCGGGGACCAGGGACCAGGGTAGGAAATATATATTAAAGCAATGTCTTACCCGCTGCAGCAGTGTCGAGAACAGATTCTCCGCCGTGAGTATCTCAAAGCCATCATCGTCGTCATCATCCTCTTCGTTAGAGCTTTGCGAGTCGTTGTCCTGACTAATTTTCTTGACAGGTCTTGAGCTTCTGCGGGTGTGTCAAAAAAAAAAAAAAAAAAAGAGATGGCAAGAGATGGTAAGATGATGAAAATAACTGAATCAAAAAGCAGTCAAGGAGCAGAAGAGAGAGCGCAATGAGTAGAGGAGACTGATTCAATCCGGCAATCCAGTTACGTATTCATGCCGTGGGGGGCCTTTGGGGCACAACCTTTGGTCTGAGACTAAGCGAAAAGGATGCTGGCGAACCTGAGTCGGTGTGGGGTGAAGCGTGCCTCCTCATCGGCTCCGGCTCCAGCGCCGCCGTCACGTGTTATCGAGGTGGTGCGCATCTTCTGGAATGGCGAACCCTCATCGAAGCCGGCCTCGCTCAGCAGGGAGCTGTATGCAAAATTGAATTCATTCAAGCGCAATGTTGCACACAAGTTTCGATGGCAAAACTTTTACCCAATGCGACGCGACGGACGCAGTCGGCTAAACGTGGACCGACTGGAGGCGGTGGTGTGACTCGATTCGGATGGCTCGATGCTGCGCTCCCGGGGCGTGATGAAGCCACCGCCCTCGACGGCAATCGGTATGATAAATTCACGTGGACTCTTCTTGATGGGCTGGGAGGTGCCCTGTCCGGTTACGGTTGCCTGTGACATATTTGTGGCCGTGGCCGTGGTGGTCGCATCCGACTCGGACTCAACCGTGGACTGACGTGACAGTGAGCCGGAACTGCAAGAGGTCGTAAAACATGGAAATACTTTTATAGCATCTTTTATACATGTATATCTTGGATATATAATGATATCCTGGCTACTGCTTCCTCTTACTTACCGCGTGGTTGTGTTGGAGCTGGTGCGTCCGTAGGCATGCTGCGTGGGCGGTCGTTGGATGGTGATGACATGCTCCTTGGGCTCCAGGCTGGTTGCACGCCCCGGCAGCGTCGTCTTGATGGGGCTGTACGGCATGGGACCTTCACGCGGCGGTGCACTGCGCAGATCGGCCACCGGATGCTGCATCTCGGTGCTGAAACGCATGGCCGGCTGGGGTGCCTGCTCTGGGATGCGTGGCTTGATCTCCAGCTGCACCTCCGACTTGGCATTGATCTTGCGGCGCGGCAGCGTGGCCGACTTGAGGGTAATTGAGGCTGTGGAGGTCTTGACGGCTCCCGGTGTGCCCGGCTGTCCATCGGCTCCGGGTGAAGCTGCAGCGATTAAAGAGATTCTCAGATTAGTTGTGCATCAATGGGTGGATGTGAGTGGGGCGGGGGCTGTGGTGCAACAGGAACGAGTAAGCAATGAAGCATAAGTGAACAGTAACAGAAATAGAAACTCGAAACAATCAGTGGGTTAAAGCGCTCATGTACTACATTGTTGAGGGTTAATTAACAGCAGCAGTGGCAGAGGCAGAGGCATAGTCAGAGGCAGAGGCACAGCGGCTACAGATACAGTACAGATAAAGTACTACAATCATTGGATGGAAATTGAAAGATAGAAAGAACACAACGAGCACGAACAACAACAACAGCAGCAACAACAACAACAACTACAACCAGAACAACGAGAACGACAACCAGAACAAACAACGTCTAAAAAAAAGAGCCCAAAGGATTCAGGATTGGATTCGGCCAACAGGAACAGAGCAACAAACAAAAAAAGAAGGGTAGAGAGGAAAGCAGAGCCAGGACTACAGAGAGCGGTGTGAAGAGTACAGGAGTACCAAGCCAGGATGTTATCACACTGATTAGACAGAGATTTCCATGCCACAAATGGCAGTTCGTGGGCAATCCATCAGCCTAACCAGTGTGTCCCGACAGCAAACAAAAACGGAGGAAAACAAATAAGTTTTTGAGGAACGCAACAGGAATCAGGAACGGGAACGGGAACAGGAAACGGAAACGGATTGAGTGGGTTGCTGGGCAGGCACACACACGCACACACACACACACACACGCACATAGCACAAAGCACATGTTTCTGGTGGGATGGGGGTTTCTCCATCGGTTTCGGTTTCGGTTTCAGGTTGGTGGTTGGGTGGTTGGGTGCCGCCGCCAAGACTTACATTTCAGCCACATGGCCGCTGGCATGGCAGATGTACTACTGGCATTGGTATTGAGTGTGTCTTGAGCTTGATTATGAAATGGTCTCGTGCGCGAATTGACATTGTAATTGACATTAGGCTGCATCGTGTTGCAGTTGTTGTTGTTGCTGCTGTGGCTGTTGCTGCTGTTACTGCTGTGGCCGCTTCTGTTGACGGTGCTGCTGCTGCTGGTGCTGTTGGCTGGCTGGGCATATTGCGGCGATGGCGGCGGCGTAAACATGGCACTGCCAGCCCCAGTCGATCCTCGCTGCTGTTCCTGCTGGTACTTCTGCTGGAGCATCTTGAACGGACTGCTAGACGCTGGCTGGAAGATGCTCGCCGAGCTGTAGGCTGCCTGTGGCTGCCAGGTGGCTGGCCGCTTTGATGTGGGCGACGATTTGCCGGGCAGGCCACCCCCGAAGAGGCGCTGCTGTATGGTCTGCTTGGCCGCCGCCAAAGCATTCGGTGAGATCAGCACTGGCGGCGCTGTCTGTGGGCCACATATCGGTGGCGAGGGCGACAGATAGCCCATAAAGTTGTTGCCACTTTCCGCACGTATCGGTGCACTGTTCGGACCGCGATTACCACTGCCACCGCCCAAGCCATTGCCATTGCCGATGCCACAGAACGGTGCCGGCCTGCGTATCACTAAAATTAAGATGATGAGTCAATGAATATGATGAGGCATGTATGTGGGGGTGGATGGATAGCTGGGTAGTCATGGGCTGCGAAGACAACAGACAGGTGGGATTCCATGAGTATGATAATGAGCGGAGCATTTATTTGCTTTGGGATTAAGCCCCATTTTATTGTTTGGCCAAGCGAAAAGGATAATTGACGGGGTAGAAGGGAAATTTGCTTTGGATTTTCACTTAGTTTGCTGGGATTCGCTTTGATGGAGAGACAGACAGAGAGAGAGATAGATAGAGAGAGAGACAGAGTTCGGTGAGTGAGTGTGTGGGTGAGCCGAAGATTATATTCCAAAAGCCAGATATAATCCATGCAGCACTCCGCTTGCAAGACGTTTACATACACATTGAAAATCGAAAGAAATTAAGTAGAATGTCAAAGTAAAAAGTGTGGAAAAACAAGACGATGGACTGGAGTTGGAGTCGAGCGCACAAGTCGTGGATTGTGGATTGTGGATGTGGTCTGGCAGAGCTAAATGCTTAAACTAAATTCAGGATATCTTTTTACCAGTCGAATGGAGTCGAGTATCAGTGTTCCTTGTCATGTGCTCGACATGTATTTTGTTTTTGAATTCTTGGACATTCTCTTTGGCACTTTTCGCTTGTGCAACGAGCCGCTTGGTAGATTTAAATGTTTAATTACCAATTGCAGCAATAATTTGAATTAAATTTAATTACTTATTTCACAAAGTACAAAAGAAAACACAATGTTTATCCATGGATAATGGGTATTATCCAATTATAAAACTGTTTAAATAATACCAAAACCGGCAACAGGAACTGATAAAGCCTCTAGCTTCAACTTCACATATCCATATGACTTTTCACTTCACCCATGGACGCCGCTGCGACTTGTGCTCCGAACTCAACACCAGATTCAGGATTCACTTAATGCTGGATAATATTTAATGTAGTAATGCTAAGGTGCTAGTAGTCAACTTTAAAGCGCTGCAGGGTTTAGCTTAACTAAAGTACGACTATCATAATAATGATCACAATCTCTGGCAGGAGGCACATGCGGAGTCTTGGCCACTCACCCGGCTGTATGGCGTTTCCGATGATGGCGCGCGCATTCTTCAACTTACGCTCGCGCTCCTCCCTGGTGGGCGTGGACTCGCTGACGCCGATTGTCTCCGTCTGGGCGCACAGCTGGTCGACCTCCTTGTTGGACTCGTTCTGGGCCTGCAGCAGCAGGGCTATGGAGTTCTCCATCGAACGGCGGGCCTCGTCCAGCGAGATTGAGGACACCGAGTTCTTCGAGTCGCTGGCCTCTAGGGACTGGGCCACCACTGGCGAGGCCGGCGGTGTGGCCAGGGACTGCGACTCGGCCTCCTGGGCAGCAGCCGCCGCAGCGGCCACCTGCTCTTGGGCGCGCAGTTCGCCGGGCGTGGGTCCTGCGGTGGCTGGCGGATTGGTCGCCTTCCGCTCGAACTCCTTCTTGAAGCTGCCCACACTGACGCCGGGTATGCTGAGCTTCTTGGGCTTCTCGGGCGCCGCCGCCTGGCTTACTGGTCCCGTCGTGACCGGTGGCGGTGGCTGGAACTTCTCCGCCGTCTCCAGGATGCGCGACTTGCGCCGCTCGGCATTGAACTTGTTCAGCGTGGACTCATCCTGCAGGCTGCATTTGCGCACGAATGGGGGTGCAGGAGCGGGAGCTACCGCTGCTCCTGCTGCTGCTGCTGGTGGTGCAACCTTGCCACTTGCCGTGGCACTCTCGTTAATGGCATTGACCAGGTCGGCGGTCTTGTGCTTGTTCACAAACTTTTTGATCACCTTGGTGGCATCTTTCTCCTCGGGCGTCTCGGCCACGGCATCCAGTTTGCCGCGCGTTGGCTGCCGGGGCACAGCCACTGGTGCAGCGGTGGCAGGTACCGGCGTGGGCGTCGGTGTGGGTGTGCCAGAGGCGTCTCCACCCATCAGCTGCTCGCACAGGTCGCCCACCATTTGCATGTCCTTCTGCGAGAAGCTTGGCTCCATTCTCGGCTTCTCCTCAGTCTCCGCTTCCATGAGGGTCGGTGGTGCAGGTGCGGGTCGCGTTGGCTCAGTCGGTGGTGGTGGTGGTGCTGCTGCTCCGCTGATCACAAACGAATTATTGGCCGGCTTCTCCTTCTTCTTGGCCGTGGTTCCTGCCGCATTCTCTGTGGAGACGGTGGGCTGCAGCTTCCGTTTGGTTTGCACGGGACTCTGGGCGGGCGTGATGGTGCGTGTGGGCGATGGCATCAGGGCAGCCTCTCCGCCGGCTGGGAAAACAGAGACAGACAGACAGAGAGAGAGAGAGAGAGAGAGAGAGAGAAAGGGTTGTGTGGTTTAATGAGTTTTGTGGTTAAATGACTTTAGTTTCAAGTGGTGTTTAGTATCCTCGAGAGTCGAGAGTGATTGGGTTGTATGTATGTGGTTGGTTGGTTATGGTTTGGGGTGTTTGGGGGGTTTTGGAAGTTGGAGAATTGGCAGGTGGGGCATCAGTTAGTGTGTGGATTGGGTTGGTAGTGTGGATGTGGTTGTGTGTGTGGTTGTGTGTGTGTGTCGCTAGTTAGTCTCCATTTATATATACACAAGAAGAAAAATCTCAGCGTGGGTTTTCTCTTCGGGGTGTTCTCTGACGTGGGAGCATTCAAGCGCATTCGAACGAACAAAGCATCTTCGATTGACAGGCGATGGATGACGTCAACTCACCAGCAACCATGTCCAGGATGCGGCGCTCTGCCTCCGTGTTGGGTGGGATCATGTCACGTATGGAGCCCACCGAATGGGAGCGGGGCACACGCTCGTTTGCCGCCGCCTTGGCCGCTGCGGCCGCCCCCTCGGCGGATGGCACCACCAGTTGGTCGGCCGTTATGGCCGCCGGGGTAAGGGAGAGGAGCACATCCAGACGCACGGGCGTTTGGTTGGCCAGATCCTCGGCCAGGTCCAGGCAGGAGACATTGTCGTTCTCGTTGACCCACCAATGCGCACAGATCTGCTCGATGCTGGCCCGCTTCCTGGGGCACACCGTCAGCATGTCCCGGATGAGGGTGGAGGCGCGCGACGGCTTCCGCGGCTCATAGTAGTCGCCCTGGCTGATCTGCTTGACGAGTCTTTTGAAGTTGGAGCCATCGAAGGGCATGGAGCCGTAGACTAGAGTGTAGAGCAGCACCCCCAGCGACCAGCAGTCCACCTCCGGTCCCTGGTAGGGTGTGCCCTCGACAATTTCGGGCGATGCATACAACGGGGAGCCGCAGAAGGTGCCCAGCAAGCGGCCAGCATCGAACACATTCGACAGACCAAAGTCAGCAATCTGGAAAGGTAGAGGCAGAGAGCGGATCTTGGCGTTCATTTCAACACTCTGTCATGAGTGAGTGGCACTCACCTTGGCATTCCCCTTCTCGTCCAGCAGTATGTTCTCCAGCTTCAGATCCCGATGGCAGATCTTGTGCTTGTGACAGTAGTAGACGGCGGTGGCCACCTGCCGGAAGATGCGTCGCGCCTCCTCCTCGTTCAGCACCTTTCGCTCGGACAGATAGTCGTAGAGTTCGCCGCCAGCGGCAAACTCCATGACCAGCACCATTTTCTCTCGATTCTCAAATACTAAAAAGGGAAATCGAAGGGGAATGTTAGGCTGTGGTTATTCCGTAGGGGTTCCATTTTGGCGCAGGATCATACCTTCATAGATGTGTATAATGTTGGGATGCTGCACGGAACTCATGATCTGCACCTCACGCCTGATGCGCACCAGATCGGCCTCGGCCTCGATTTTGCATTTCTTGATGGTTTTGATGGCCACCTCCTGGCCGGTTTCCTTATTAATACCTAACTGCACCTTGCCGTATGTGCCCTGGCCTAGTTTCTTAATAATATCAAATCTGCAAAGGGAATATCCAGTTAGCCATTATCCATTCTAATCACCAATCACCAGCAACTAACTCACCTTTGTCGCAGCTTTTTGCGGTGATTGTTCATCCGTACATCGCCCGTATTGGCAATGCCGCTCAATATATTGTCTATTTGATCCTGTGGTATTCCCGACGGATGTGCCAGACTATTGCCGTGTGCATCCAGGTCTGGGGCAGCCGCAGCCGTAGTAGCTCCAGTTGCCGCTCCATTGGATTGCGCGCCCACCGATTCGGGTTTGCTTATCACCATGACTGTGGGGCTGTGTGTGTGTGGGTGTGTGTGGTTTGGTGTCTGCGTCTGTGGCAGGAACTGCAACTGCACCGGGGGGGCTACAACTGGGGCTGGGTCTTCTTCTGTCGAGGCTGCTCCACTAAGAGCCGTTGCAAATTACTAAAAAGAGAAGAGAAGAGAAGAGAGGGGAACGCAATCCCGTTAGCACAAATGTCAACTCGGGGGACTCAGGGTCTGTCTACACAATCGCACGGCACGGAACGGCAGGGCAGGGCACGGCACGGACACAGCACTCATCCATCAAACGTTCAATCAAATGGGCAATCAATTAATTATCCACAAAGCGCGACGCACACACGACGACACACGATGGAATGACTGGGGAAATGCTGCTGCTGTTGCTGCCACTCTCTCTCTCTCTTGCTGGTTGCGCTTTTACCACCCGGTGCCGCAAAAAAGGAGGAGCAGCCGAATCTGCACTCGACCTAGATTTTAATTATGCCCAGGCAAGGCGATCCGGATCCGAGGCCAGCACCAACCAACAAGAGTTTAATGCCCGTTTTTAGGTGTTTTATGTGAGGATTCATGAGTACGGGCGGTTAGCTTGCTTGATAGTTTTATTTTATATGTAGTACGGCTATAAAGAAACAATACTCCTTTACGAGTATATCGTACGTACATATATGAGATATTTAACCAGAAGGAACATTTAAGTGGAGACACAAGTGCCTCTCTTACAGAGTAGCTTAGCTGTGGCAGTACGAGTCTCACTAGCATAAAGATGACAGTGAAGGGAGGGAAACACACAAGGGGGAAAAAGTCGTGAGTGCGCCAGAATGCGATGAGTCAGCCATTGGAAATTGTGTTCTTCATTTATGGCTAAAATAATGTTACGATCACTACCAAAATAATATATATTTTATGGTTTATGGAGTATAAAAAAGGAACTTGCTAAAAAAAAATTACTTATCTAAACAGATAATAAGCCGAATGGACTCTGAAATTCTCGTCTTGCCTATACGTCCAATTTTTGGTGTAGCCACGCAAGAAAAGATCTGTCGACTGTGTGAAGGTTGAAATAACTAAAAGATAATATCCCAAAACGTTGCAGTAATTGCGATGTTTGTTTGAAGCGCATTAGAAATGTTTCCGTTATGCAAATATTATATTCCGAATATACTCGTAAAGATCTTTCATGGGTTTGCTCTTGATGAGCTGCCAAAAGATGTCAACAGCGACAGAAATGTCCCTCTGCGCGGACAGGAAGCTAGTTGAAAGATTCTTTAGTGATATTTATCAACGATTTTTGACAGCTTGCTGTGAACGAACAAACTCTTCGCTGGTTTATTCTGAACCAGGGCTTATATGTAGTATGTGTATGTGTGTGTGTGCGGGCGTGGCAGCTTGGCGGCGGCGGAGGGGACATTTATGCAATTTTGAACGTCACGGCCAGCTCTCTCGCTTTTGCGCTCCACGCTTCTCTGGTTGAAGGGTCCCCCGAGTGTCTGGGCGTAAAGTGGTCACTTGTGCAGCTCTCCCTTGCCTCCCTCCTTCCTTCCTTCCGCTTCTCCACACTCCCCACTTGCCATTGTATTGTCTGAATCCAGAATGCGACACTATTAGGGGACTAATCTATCAGCATTGTGGATGAGCAGAGCAACTATCAAGAGAGGATTCCGCATCACCCGAGCCAGAGGTTTAGCGCGTTTTGTCTCTGACAGTTATGACCTACAAGCCAGGAAAAGGAATACGAATAGGAATAGGGAATAAAGGAAGGTCTCAAAAAGGAATAAAGACCCAGCAATTACAGATACAGATGCAGACCAAGGGAGAAATGATGATACATACAGCCAACGACAGATACAGTTGAAAGCCACTCGAGGCGAGAGAGAGTCAGAGTCTCACTAGCGCTGCCACTGCCTCTGCCTCTGCCACTGGCACTGGCACTGTTCCAATTATAAATGTGCACTTGATGGATAGTAAATTAAAGTGTAACCACAACAGAACCGAACTGAACCGAACCCAAGGGGAGCTCTGATCTGCTCGAGTGTGTGCCGCCACACGAAGTGGAACCTGGCAAGAGCCATGTGCAGTGCTTGGCACGAGCCGTCGCCGCCGTCGCCGCCACCACAACAATAACAATGGTGGTGGGGGGCTGCAATTGTATCTTTAAGATACGATTACACAAACGAGCGCAGCACGCGTGCTGCTGCTGCTGCTGCTGCTCCTCCACTTCTCTTTCACCGCTGTCACACACATAAATAAATGAATCTTTACACGCAATTATACATATATATATATATATATAGCACATATATACATTGTATATCGTTCTCCCTCTTTGCTTGATATATAGATGCCCGTATATCGTATCTTGGGCATCTGGGGCTGGGGAAAAAAAGAGCCAGAGAGCCAAATCCACATCCAAAATCAAATCAGGGCAACGAACAGTATTTAAAGTGCGCTGAACCCGACCGGCACTGTGCCGATGCCGTTCAATTTCGCTGCTCGCCAATCCAACTCGCATCTGCAACATACAATAACATTGCGCGGCGTCCAGTCTCGACGGCCTCTGGCTCGCTTTTCTTCCACTAAGACGGCGATTTTCCCCCATTTCTTCCCCTTTTCTCTTTTTTGTTTTTTGGCACTCAGACAGCACATGTCATTGAGCAGCTAGGGAAGCAACTAACTATGTGGATGTGGCATGTGGCATGGGGCTGCGAGATGTAGCACGGCGACGGCACCCGGCACGGCAGCAGCAGCAGCAGAGATAAACACCACAAGCAGCAGCTGCCCCTTGCCCATCATCCTTCCTCTTGAGTAAAAGTTGTTGAAATATCTTTGCTTGCTTTTCCGTCAGTTTGGAATTTCTTGCATCGTTGTCGTTTACGTAAAGGGAAAATATTTTCTTACTTATACCCTACACTAGAGCGGGTATCATCAATTTGAATACATGTTTGCTATGCAGAAAAAAAAACGAGCACGAGTTTCACTAGGATAGAGCTAGAGGATAGGCTAGAGGCTAGAGAGACAGAGAGAGAGAGAGAAAGGTGGTTTGCTCTCTTGAAAACTGTATTACTAAGCTCCTCTGTGGGAGAAAGATCGAATCTAATTTATTTTTTAAACTATTTTGTATTCTATGATTTTATTTTATAATTTCATTATTTTTGAAAATACGTTTAAAATTTTATCGCACACCTGCCAAAAACATCTACCAATTTGCCATAGGGTATTCAAATGTTTGGTCCTTCTTTTATTTAAGTTATTTTAGCTCAATTTTATTTTTTGCTCTTGCCTAAGATAGGATAAGGAATAGCAACAATAAATTCCATCCAGATAGGCAATGTAAATATGCAAATGAAAATGTTTTTCTGGGTCAAGTCGAGCGCGACATTTTGGCCAAGAAATATTTCTGACAGACGGATCTTGTCTCTCTCTCAATTTCTCTGTGTCTCTGGAGTACTCGTACATATGTGAATTTTTTTGGTATATTTTATTTGGTTAAATGCGAGTTCAGAGTCTGGAGGCGGGCATATGGCCCAGTGAACAGACATCAATCCAGGCGAGAAATGTCCCATATAATCGAGAATAATGGCATGAATTAATCAATGGCCATAAACTGACGGATGAATCTGGTGTTCATCGAAAACGAAATCAATTCAATGGCATAATTGAATTTCAGCTGCTGGAATCGTGCAGAATTCGTGCCACACTGCATTCGATGGAGGAGGATTGGGTGGACTCTAAGGATTGTGTGTGGTGTGTCTGTGTGTGTGTGTGCTTGTGGAGAAGTCATGGAAGGTCGGACGATGACAAAGGGCAACGCAGAACGAATGGATTCCCATGGAAAATGACAAATTATTTGTTTTTAAAAGGGAATACCGCATACAGAATTGATATTCAAATGCGAGTAATCCAATTTCAATGTAATTGTTTACGAAATTAAATGAATTTCTCTGTTGATGTATTAATATTTTCAGTTTGGTCTTCAATTACATAAATTTAATGACATTTGAGTGGCAACAAGAGGAAAGGAAGCCCCAAGAGTCTTCGAATTTGTAATGATTAATGAACACTCTGCAATTACATTAATGAGAAAGATGATACGATGGAGAAAGGTTCTGTTTATGTTGAGGCTCGTTGAACTTAAACAATTCAAATTGACGCCATAGAAATTTGTGTCTCAGTGTCAGTTCAATGAATTAAACTCAAGGAAATGATTTTACAAAAAACAAGTTAGTTAAGTACACAAATAAAGTCGGAAGACAAATTTTCGGGGCAGGATATCAATATCAATCAATCAATTTCTAGGCTACGGCAACGATTGGGAAACTTCCTTGGATTTTTTTTCTCTGTATTAATTTTAGTCCTCATCTTCCACTAGGGCACATTCGTCAATGAACTGGGAAATTTTCTACAGAAAAACAGTATAATTGTTAAACAGATTCTACACTTTATGCAATTACCATTGGAAATGTAAACAAATTGTAGATCCCCAAGTCGATCCACTATACTAGGAGATAGCTACCTTGAGTGAACATCTCTCTTAGTCGCATTCTATTTATTTAACCCATTTATCACGTATCCGACAAGTAATTCTCATAATAATACGCATCAAAGCATGCAATGCACCTTGAAATATCTCTAAATGATACCGAAATATACAAAAATATTCTATATACTTTGTATATCATTATATTTAGTCTCTTAACCCCGTCATATATCAAATTAATTACATTAATTTATTGTGTTAGAATAAATATGAATTCACTGTCAAAACCATTTCTTTTTGTTCAAATTGAATGATTCAAGCAAAGTCGAAAATATAATGCACAAGAGAAAGGAATTTTTGCCGTCTACTTGTCAAATAAATAATTAACAAATATGCATACATACAGTACATATACTGTGTATATGTATTTGTATATTATGAATGTATTTGGATGTCTACTTTGGCAATTAAAAGCAAGAGACGAGCAATTTCAAGTGTCAATAAGTCAGAGAAGTCATCTTTGGCATATGCGTTCAATGTACGGGAACCACAGTCCCAGTCCCAGACTCAGATCCAGACCCAGACACAGACCAAAAGCCAACCCAAATCAACATCAGCATTAATTGCGTTAAAAAACAATCAGAAGATTTATTGTTTTCTTGCCCCT